TCCATCCGAGTCCACAATGCTGGCCACGCCGCCCGTTATATACTGCACCTCATCCATGTCCTTCTCTGGTTGGCTGCCTACCTTCCTCGCATGTCATTGGAGCCAGAGGGACACAGGATTGGCTGCGGCCAGGTGGTCCAACATGTCTGCGCCCTGATCCGACGCCACACCACACCACAGCGCTTCGCGACCCCAAATGTGATCACGCGTGGAGTTGCATTCTTCCTGAACATTTTTCGGATAAAATTGTCTTAATATCTTTTCATTTCCATTACATCTTTTTACAGAGCTAGTTTTGAGAAGTATTTTTACGTTTTCGCTCTGCTAATCAGTTTTCAAATCTGCCTTACAATCAGTCTAGCGCACTAAATTTGATGGTTTTACAGATAATTTTAATTATTTGACATATCAGTCTTGTATTTAAGGAGGTATTTTTTTGAATTACTAGTCGTGCTTCGCGTTCTGTACTGTCCTGTCATTTTTTAACTCCCTTTCTTACCCGAGCAGATGTCAAGATAAGTGCATTTCCAAAGCATTGATTTTACGCACCTTTGCCTTGAACGTTGGTCGCTTATGATTATTCATTGGTGCAAAATTAAATAAGAACCCTTTAATGTTGTCAAATCAATAGCAGATCGCCCAGGAGCCGGTTTCTATTTTTGTCGAGTTGAGCTTCGAATATCCGCCTTTACTTTGCTTTAAATTCACCACGTTAGCTGTAGGCGTAGCCTTTACTACTGTGTGATGATAATCATGTCAAAAATAACTTTATCTCACAATGCTCGAAATTTAGGCTACTATCGGAAGATCTGTAACTTTCTGGACAACCTTCCTTTCGGAATGTTGTATGTTTCGTGTAAATTGAGAAGCCACAAAAAGACTAGATGTGACCTCGTCTTTAGTATGATGTCGAAGCGTTTGATGGGATTGGACTACATATTGTAGTTTCGTTCAGTATAACATCTTCCTTACCTTTGCGAAATTTTACCGAGTAGTGAAGGGGTGTCACGTCGTCTCCGGTCTTTTTCAATTACTTTGTGGAGCTGAATTGCCTATCAGTATCAAGGGTTTACGTCCTTGTCAAAGCTCCGAATTTGTGTTATTTATAAAATTTCTTTTATGGGTTTATTATCATACACATCAGTTTGGTCTAGTACGGTGAAGCTTTACGCTTTCTAATGAACATTCAATTTTAAAATTTAATTGGTATTAGTTTCTGTAACTGTGCAGTATCGTTGTTCTAGTAAGAAATTCACCCACTTTTTCCTTATATTCCCACATAAGGTATACGAAATAACATCTGGAAGTTATTTTAGACTGTTCGATCTTCACTCTGTGGGTCTGTTCGAGCCCTCATATCATCTCTTCGTTCTCCGCTTTTCCGTCAACATAGGAAATCTTCATTCCTAATTCACCTTTGTATCGCTTTATGCATATATGCAATTCTCTATTTTTGGCTTCACGTTGATCCCCGAGTGTCAACTACAACTGATCCAGGAACCCTCCAGGCACTTTCAGTTAGTGAAGATACCTATTCATTTCGTGCTAAGCGTTTTAATGCTTACGTCGTGAATGAAAGATTTCGTTCTGGACCGGGAGAGTTTGGACGAGGAGTTGATGCAGGCATATCAGAATCAGAAATGCAACGTGTTAACGATGTTGATGGCTACAATAGTCACGCCTGCAAGCAAATTGCTCTTGATCGTTCACTTGGAAACCGCCCGGCTAAAGAGTGTGTTTTTTCATGACCGTTATATTCTAGATGTCTTGCAATTAACTATCCCTTTAAACTTCCAACCGCAAGTGTGATAATAGTTTTCTTCAATGAACCCTTCCGCCTGGTTATGCGCACTGTATTTTCTGTAGTCAATCGAAGCCCGCCGTTCCTGTTGAAGGAGGTTATACTTGTTGATGATGGAAGCACTCAAGGTATGGTCTGTTTTGTCTTGTTCATGGTGTCAGAGCTGTTATTGGGGCATTTGAGTGACTATGTTAGGGAGAATTGGCCAGATGGAATTGTGCGAATAGTTCGTCTTCAAAAACGCACAGGTCTTATAAGGGCTCGTCTTGAGGGTGCTAAGGCTGCAACAGCTGACGTAGTCGTCTTCCTAGATGCCCATTGTGAGGCAACTTACCGTTGGCTGGAGCCCCTACTTTATCGAATCCACCAGAAACCTGACGCAGTTGTTGTCCCTGCCATCGCAAATATTGATCGGTTTACACTAAAGGTGTTCCGGACTGATGTTAGATACACCGAGGACGGTTGGCTTAGTCTCCGTGTGGGATCTTTTGCCTGGGATGGAATGTTTATATTCGAACACCCACCTCGAAGTGCTGTAACGAAAAGACGAAGCAACACCGATACTATCGAATCAATCAACATGCCCGGTGGTCTCTTTGCCATGCGCCGGGACTACTTTTTTAAACTTGGTGGCTATGACGAAGGAATGGAAGTTTGGGGAGGCGAGAACCTAGAACTGTCTTTAAGAATTTGGCAGTGTGGTGGCTCTCTTGAATTTTCACCTTGTTCGACTGTTGGACATGTTTATCGCGCAAACCACCCCTATAAATTTCCTGGCAAGTCTTTGTTTCCATCTTTTTTCTATTCTTTTATATCCGTTTTGTCCTCATCACATGCTGTGGCCTTGTATGATCTTCAATGAAGACATGTAGATACTAATTTTATATCGTCGTTTCCTATTACATGTGCGTTCCACCGCTAAATGGGCGTGTGTGACGACACCGAGAGCTATATTGAGCTCGCAATTTCGTTTTCTGCAAACAATTTACAGGACCGTTGTCGAAAGATATTAAGGATATCAAATTAGTTCAACGCATAACTCACACGTAGCCCCTATCAACAAACGTCTTGTTTCTTGCTTGTTGTAATCACAAGTTAAAAATTCATACGGTTTTATCGTCTACCGCACTGCCCATTACTCTTTGAATATTGCCATATCAATACCATTATAATGTCTTTCTTATGGATAACGAACGTATTTAAGTCACATTAATGTAATCGATATGGATGGAAAGCGTATATCTATTACCTGGTTGGTATATTTAAGCTTTTGTGGTTTACCCTTGAGTTTTCGACAAATTTGAATTTCGAATAAAAGCATTTAATCTGTATAGCATTCACACTTAAATTGTGTTTTCTACTATAGGCAGTAAGGACTACAACGGGTATAATACCGCTAGAGTGGCGGATGTGTGGATGGACATGTATATGGATAATTTCTATTTAGCTCGTGGCGATTTAAAAGTGAGTAACCATATCTGTCTCTTCTGGAACACCAGTCATTGTCGTGGTCAAAATTTTGGTCAAATTTGGTTTTTTTAACAGCCTTTTCCTGGTACTGTTGTGTTTGCCGGACAAATTATAGGTCTTCAAAACCACTGGTAGTAGTAGCTCTCAGTGTTTGATTTAATTAGGACTGTGGTTTCATTTTTAGCTTAGGTCACAGTTGAGGTATTGATTATGGAATGAGTTTGAACCCAAATAAAGAATTAAGGGAGGAGTTGGAAATCCTCACTAGCGTGCAAGAGGCTACTATTCTGCATCCATTCGTTTCTTGAACCCCTGAAGGGTTTTTTTTTATAGAAAACGTTTTTGCCCTTTGGTACTTTGTGTTCTGCGAGAAAGCCTAAAGGCGAACTTGGCCGGTTTACTTGAAAGTGATTAGCAGCCTTGTGGACCTAGTATAAAGTATTGACACAATAACACATTGAACTGTAGGGTACTGACCATGGTGACGTGTCAACACGAAGGCAAATCAGAAGCGATCTGCGCTGCAAGAGTTTCCAGTGGTTTCTTGACAATCCTGCTGCTCACAAGTTTGTCTATTCTCGAAACAGACTCGGATATGGCAGTGTAAGCATTTTTAGTTTCTGCATTTGCGTTATGTATCCTACTGCTTACTGAACTAGAACACAACAATTTTCCTTCGGTCTTTTGGGATTAATTTACCTTAAGAACTGTTTTATTGAGTCTGAATCGTTAAGTCTGGCAATCATCGTTTCCTTTTTTTGCACTCAATTTACATAAAGGCGAATTTATTGGAAGAACTTACTGACAGACGTATGTAGTTGTTATGCCAATACTGGGTTATTAGGGCGCGTTTACAAACTTCTGAAGTGGTACTCGTTGCTAGTCCTGAGGTCATGCTGGTTTAAGGACGTGCTGCGAACCGTGGTAAAGTTGTAGGGTCGCGGAACTAGTGAGGTTAAAAGTGAAATTTCAGACTCAGACCCACGTATCATGTGTTTACATAAAACAGTATGCAAATTTTTGTACTTTACAAAAATTCTCGATGAGTTTTTGTAATTTTAGTGATGCATTAACTGGTGGAGCTGAAATATTTGGACAAATTGATTAGAAAGACGTTTGCATGTTTGACTTAGTCCTTCATTTGACTATTTAAAATTTGTTATTGAAAAGATCCGACTGCGGTGATTTACACTTCAGACAACTTTCTTTTAGTTCAATAAACCTCTAGTATGGAACACATCTGTTTCCACAGTTGCTTAGTCAGTGTATTATTCAGTTTCACATTCGTACAATATGTGTAAGAACGACAGGACTTTAATTCTACTAATCGCCAAGGTGTGTGTTCATGTTTACGGAAACAAAGCAGAAAAGTGCAGCAAAATGATCTAGTTTGTGCCACATATGTACACGCAAATTAAAGCAATGCTGAAATCTATATTATGTTAAAATGCTATTCAAATCAGAAAATATGTGTTTTTCAAAGGTGAACGTCTGCTGTCGTGGGTGCTGATTGTTTTATCAAAATTCCATTTTTTGCTTACAACTGTTTGCTTTATCGCTAAACCTATAGTAATTCCACAATATCAGTTTTCGGGGCTGAAATTACTTTTGAGTTCAAGAAGTGGGTTTAAAAAGATAATGCCCTCGAAGATGCCAGTATCACCATGCAGATAAGGTCAAGTAAGTACACTGTGAGTGTCGTTAGGCCGGTTATTACACGTTATTTTATACTGTAAGGTATCTATTTACCCTGCAATTTAGTGTTGTACTACGGAGGGCCACTGTCTCCTTCGGGGGAACGATGGAAGCGAGTACCGGAAGCAGACTATGAGCCTCCTGCTGACCCCTTCCCGAGTGACCGTCCATTCATGGGCCACCCTTTTTGCCCTAACTGACACGGGTCTCTTACGAAAGGACTGGAACTGTGTTCGACTCCGTCGAGCTGGTGGCCCGTTGAATTCCGTCTGGGTTTTCACTCCGCATATCGTTGACTTGGAGATTTGTCCTCTGGAAGAGTTGGAGGAACCTAAGCAAAGGGAGTGGTGGCGTGCTTGGGTTGCTGATCAGATGAAAAGGATCGAACAGCGTCAGATAAGCCACCCAGAACAAGGCTTTCAGGCTGTGCAAACCACTAATCAGCGGGGCGCTCACTTCCGATGGCTTTACGATAAAGTGAGTGTTATTCCATATAAGTCTTAAGAATCGCGCTTCAGAAATTGCCGTAATTCCTGTGCTTCAAGGCAGATTTATAATTTAAGACCTTTGTAGTGTCGCATTCAGAGTGTATTTTCATGTAGTCCTGCACCCACTGTTTATTCCTGGATAAAATTCAGTTCGATGCGGGTGGTATGGTGCTGACGGGTATTATTGGAAAAAAAGAAAGTGTCGTGTAGAAAATAAAGAGTAAGCGCGTTGGAGAGAATAATCCAATAGTTATATTCCATGGGCATCCTTTACTCTTTGGTACAAGCCAATGCACTTTTCTCCCCACTGTATGAATTGACTTATACGTAAATGGCATCAATTTTCGTGTTGACGAAGGTTCATACCGCAATTATCTACTTACTCATTTTAAAAGATTCACGGAAAACTCATCAATGCACAGACGGGCTACTGCCTAGATGGGATTGACGGCCAGAGACCCACCCCAAAGCCCTGCGTTGATGACGCTCCTTCTCAGTCTTGGCACTTCAGCCACCACGGATAGGAGTCACCGACCACGACCTCTCTTTTAGTGATTTCAACGTCTTTTTTTTTACAAACTTTGTGTACCAACTCATCTAGACTATTTTCCTTATAAATTATTATTATAGTCGAACCACTATTCCCTTACATCCAGCGTATCTTTACGACAGTAGGCCATCATGTCTACCATTTGGTTTGACTAATTTCCTAACATCGACGGATGTGGCATGAAAGTGGTACTTGATTAGGTGAAGTGTAAACAGTTCCACGGTTGAAATTCATGATTCAGAATTTCATTCGTTTCATTTAAACACATTCAGGACATGTATTTAATGTTTTTATACAAATAAAACGGCTTGAAGAAGAGGGAGTGATTTCTTACAGACTCCCTTCTACAGTTTCATAGTAGGACGTCACAACTAAGATTTTTTGGACATCAACCTGACCCGCGCCTGACCGTTTTTTAAGAAGGATGAGGGAGAAAACCGAAAACCATCTGGTGGACAGTCCGTTTAGATTTCTCTTCAGCCAAATGTCTATCAAATCCATTCCCCAACGATTTACATTCCGGACCCCTCATCCTCATTAGCCTCACATGTGTATACAATCGGCTCAAGTAATTGCGTCTCTGCCATCCGTTTCATAATATGGAATCCCATTAAATGGTTTGGCAAAGCGAGATTGTACAACGTAACACGTAAACGGACTGAAACTGCTGTAAACACATCTGATAATAGCGTAGTCTGTTCTAGAGGTATCGGTCCAGCTGGAACACAATTTTGGTGAAGTGGATGGTGTAATACAGTGGATTCGACGGTTAATCGGAACACATTTCAAGCACAAAGTGTTATTGGGCGCCCAAGCGCTTCTCTGACTCGTGTGAAATCGTAAATCTTTTAAAATGAGAAGTGGATTCAATTTTATCCGTTTCAACTAACCAACAGTTTTAACGATTAACGCGACAACTTTATGAAAATTGGATGTGGTACAGGGAACAGGTGAAGAGGTGGTGCTAGGCACCTTAGTAACAAGCCTTCAGTTTCTTGTGGTACGCGCGAATAATGTCACTTCAAAAACCCTCTAATATTGTGTTCACCAAAAAAACAAGGTTGTGGCGTCATGCGCAAGGAATCTGTGACCATTCGCACGCGCAAAATCTCGACACGTTAGTCAGTGTGGATTGGGCCGGCGACGAGAGCGCCAAGGGGACCCTCATCGTGACCATTGGCACAATCGATTTGGCTAGCAAGGCACGTGTCCGTCATGGTGGAACTTGGGCCAAGCCACGCGCTGAAGTGTGCGTTCGCCGAACGAACCAGACTAGATGTTTTTGAAAAGGCGTCCTACTTAAGTAATTTTTCACGGCACCAAAGAGCATGTAGCCCTTTGGACCGATTGGGTTTGTCCACATAAGCGCAGAAATCGTTACGGGTGCATTGATGTCCGACGTTTTTATCTACGCATTTTTGCAAAGGAATTTGGAACTGAAGAAAATTGGTGTGCAATGACGTACGCATAAGCTTTGGTGTTGTGGAAATCAGATTTACAAAATATCCCACATATCCAAGAACTTATATGGGAGAGATAAGAAACGCCTACATCGCTGTCGGTGTAGTGACTGAAGTGGGGTGGTACAAGGCCCACTGGGCAGCCAAACAGAAATCGAGGATCAAACGAAATAAGATCATCCTTTAAGAGGGCATCATCAGTTCCCTGCATTGGAAGTAATTTGCTTCTACTAGTTGGTTACTATACCCCACAGAGACAAGATGAAGCTATTGAGTACATTTGACCGTCGCACACTATATAATTTAAAAGACGACGGTTTGGTGGTTTTCGATTCAAAAGGGGCCGATAATGTATATCTTAACAAAGGGTTTGAATTACTCAGCTACACCGCATCACAAGAGGGTGACAAAGAGGAGGCAATAACGACACGCCAAAACCCACCCTAATGAGGATTAACTGCAGAAGCTTTTCTTCGAAATTGCCATTTTTATCACATACATCGTTTTGTAAAGAAACGGGTTTTGTGCGCTTGGCTCTGTCGACGGGTTTACACAATAGTTCGGGTCGATTGGAACCTGTCAAGTAGGGAAGGGATGACTCCGTGTACGGAGAAAAGATAATCCCAAAGTAGTTCCTCAAACAAGAGAATCAGGTGGTGGTGGGTGGTAGGCAAAATTGGGACTACTCCCGCTGATAACTATTCCTGCCGCACCATTTTGCGTCACTGTAGACGGTGACGGCCGTCGGTTGGCGCTGGAAGAGGAATCGGAGAGAGTGGGACGCGCCAACAGGTGAGCATCGCCAGCAGAACTGCAGGCAATACGAGAACCTGCGCCAGTGCGACCTCCTGTTGACGATGTCCTTACGCCACCACAACTCGGCTTTGTTGTGTGGCAGTTAGCACCGCTCACCTTTGAAAACAAAAGCAAAGCACACGTAAGCAAAGCACACGACACAGAAATGACTCGAAGGTTACAACGGTTTGGCACAGGGTTTTATATTAATGTATGTTTGGCTTAAGCGAGAAAATGAGACCCCTCTATATCCACAGATTTGGTTCCTTCACGGTCGCCTTACCTAAATGTAAGAAGCATCTGAATTCAGGCACAAACGAAGTCCAGGTAGTTCGCGAAATGGGTGCAATTCCAGCTAAGCACACCTAGCACAGGGGTCCGAAGTCTGATAGCGACCAAACTTCTCAAAATTGGGAAGTTCCCACCAAGCCCCAGCGAACGGTAGGCAGGCCTTAAAAATTGTTTGTGCCATGTTTCACCAATAGATTTGAGTCCTTCTAGTTAAGTTTTACATACACCACGAGAACGTATGGGCATGTATGCGAGGAGTCAACGATATAACAATTCTAGGTCTTGCTCAAACGCAGGATTTGATTTCAATTTAAACGTTTTTTTTCTAAATTTTGTTAAAGGCCATTCCCCCACCATCTTAATCGCGTATAGGTACGCTCAAACACAAAAACGGAATGATACTGATCAGAATGCGGCATAATGGATTATCATATGTTAAAACATTGGCAATGACAATGTCGCCAACTTCGAATATTAAAAGAGTTAAAGGAAACGGACCTCTATAATGGAAATGACCACGAGCGAGAACTTCTCATGTCGATTTCTCAAGCGTTTCACAAGATGCATCCAACTTAGTCCCTTGTCCGGACCCACTAACATTAATATAATTTAGGCGAAGATCAAATCTACCTTGCATGGGAACTACAAAAAGCACCGAGAACAAAGGAGTGGACTTCAATCTGCGCCGCCACACATCAACCAAAAATTAGAATTGAGCATTCCACTAGGAGGCAAATAACGTTCTCCTTAGCAACGTCCAAATTTTAATCACACAATGTGAGATTACTTCTAAAGTGAAAAGAATGCAAACCTGGGGGAGAGATTTAGATGCAAGTTCATTGCGCGAAGGTGGAGGTTGGTGGTGGCGAAGAGAGGGAAGAAGCCGCAGTCTCATAGACGATGCCTGATCACCGCGGAGGAAAGACGGTAGCCCCGCTGACCGCCTGGGATGGGGTTTACTGCAAGAATCGAGGGCTGCCGCGAAGGTTCGCGCAAAAAAGTTGCCGTGGTGTCTCCGCCCAGCAGGCCCAACAACAGCGTCAGGGGTGGGAGGAGGGATGTTGCGGGTCACCAGGGAAGTTTTTTGGGGACATGAGGTACATTGATGAGAGGTTCCGCGTCCTGGAGAAAGAACATCGCCAGCCTCGGTGTCCTCATCACCGTCACTAGTGTTCTCATCGGCATTTCCTTTCAGGAAGCTGGGTGGGCGAGAATGCACATGGAAGGCGGATTTTTGGAGAAACTCCAGTGATAATGACCTGAAATAAATCACAGGCATAACGACTGAAATTGTCATCAAAGCACAGCATACCACTACATTTAGCAGTTGTGGTCGTCTTAGTGGGTAGCACATTACTCGGATACGTTCAATGGGATGGAACGATACCAAACTATACAAGGCATTTAGCGGGTAGTGGCAAAACGACATGGTCCTAACTTGGCAGCACGAAAAGAAACAACGTGGCTTTCCCAAGTGGAAGTTGGCACCGGATTTGTGCAACTTCAACTCAAGGTGATCAGTAAGCACAAGGTTTTATCAAGCATCGCTGAGGCCAAATCGTTGAACGAGAAGACGGAGACTTCATTTACCACGAAACATTTGAGACTCCTGAGAAAGCAACTATAGAGTCAACTAGACTGACAAGGGGTTTACGGAGTAATCCATTACGTAAATAATTAGCACAACTTAATGGTGGTAAAATTGAAATACTTTATTATCCCCACCTATCCCGTGTCATGCTACATACTTAAAGCTTGCGGTAGCGAATAAATAATTTCTATGGAAAATGCTTGACCACAATTTGGGCTAACACAGTACTCAAGGTAACTTCAAATACGTGATGTGTTTGCATAACATGACCTCCCCATTAGCTAAGACAGTTTCCAGGGGTCGGGAATCGGTAAGTGATTGAACAATTACTGATTACCTATTAGATTATCAAATCCAACCATTTTCGTCTCCGCAACCTGTGAGGTAGACATCCGTGTTAGTACTCGTATACACAGTAAAATCAGAAAAGACCAGCTTACATCAAAATTCACATAATCCAAATTTGGTGGTGATGAGATGAAGAGTGAAAACCTTTGGGATATGTGAAAAAGGAGGGCAGTATGCCGTGCTCCGTAAAAAATGATTAAAGACATGGTCAAAGATTTTCTAAACTTGTAAAATAAAAAGAAAGTGAAAAATTTGCTAGAGAAATACCGATTGGTGGGATTCAATAAGGGGCGAAATTCATCCAAAGGTTGGTAGCTCGGGGGCCCTGGGGGTGCATAAACCGACATCGGTGGTTGCACCCTCCTAGGTGGAGACTGACCAACCGTAATCGGAGGTGGAAAGTTACATGGCTTCGAGGAATTTGACGTTAGGGAAGCGGAGGAGTTGGCGGAAGGAGAAACTTTGTGACCTTCGACAACACAGGCGCCTCCGCCCCCTCCTCCGCTACCGTTTGCCGCCGTGTGGCGCTGACCATCGCCCATCGAAGGGGGGTCGGTGAATGGTGCCGAAGGATTCATGAAGGGGGCACCACCCACCCAAGCACGAGCCCCCATAGGAGCTGAAAAGGCGGGTTGGGGCACGGATGGTGGCTCTGGCATAATGCAAGCCGCAGGACCGGGAAGGAACTACACGAGGAGCACACATTAAATAAAGACGAAACCAACGAACTAGTGTTTTCCGCTAAATTAGATCAACTTACGGGGATCGCTGTGGTCTCAAGGGTAGGAGGTTCATCGGTGAGATAGGGACGAATGCAATTCCCATTAGCCCGTATTTCTTCAATAACCTGGAGCATTGACTCGGGACGATGTTGCCAATAGTATTGACAACAGCTCACAATAAGACGCCATCTAGGAAAATTGAAGCAAAAATCAAAGCTTTTTGAGAAGGCCTAATTTGAGACAACACACACGCATCGATTCTGGTTACAAATAAATTTGTGGCTAAGCAAAATTAGCAGCTAAGTGTCAAAAACAATCCGAACAAGGACAGGCCCAAGGAATGGATTTAGGCTGACAAAACTTTATTATATCACAAGCATAAACTCCCGTTTAAAAAAAACCATGATTATTTATTTTCTATCTATAAAATAACTCTTCCTGGTCACTGAATAGAATTTCTTGAGCTGCAACACCATGGTCTTCTGGTGAAGTCTGTTTAGATTATACGAATTAAACCCTCACCACATGAAAAAATGGAAGTAAAACGGCTTGAAGAAGAGGATAACGAAGGTGAGTAACACCAACTGTGGTCATTTTTGAGGCTGCATCAATATTTTTTAGTCGGGCTTTTTAACAGCAAAACGACTTAAGCATTAAACTAGTCACACACTCCCACACACGGGATATCTGATTTGGTATCCACGCTGTCAAGGAAAACCCAGAAAGTGTTGCACCAGAGTCGAGTCAACGGTAGGTCGAAGGCGAGTTTAAAAAGCATGCGCGCAACGTTGACGGCTGGAGACAGTCAGACTCGAAAGAACAAAACCCGTGATCGTAGACCTTAGAGTGCTACCAAAACATGGGGACAAAGCAAATAGCAACAACACTTAGATATTAGAAAATATGTGTCCGGTGGCCTCGCATGCAAAATCCGCTTGTGCTTACCCAAAAAGGGGGCTTGTAGAATTGTTGTGAATCGTGTTTATTCAATCCCTAAATCCGATCACTCCGCCTCCGACACAGGGTTCCCCTTTTTCGCAGCAAGGCGCCAGTCGCGCGAATCCTCAACTCCCCCTTTCACTCACACGAATATCTATCTTGGATCGTCATCGCCCCTAGGTCTCGATGTTAGCGCATTTATGACTCACACGTCCGAGGTATAAATACACACGCGCAAACCCCACACACGACACAACAACACCAACGTGGTTGAGCTTTGAAGTAAACGGTTGTGTCCACGTCCTCTCCAATCTTTTCCCTCATAGAGGGTATCAGGGAAGTGTAATCGGACCAGGGTTAATTCCGTGCCCCCGGCTTGGTTCAAGACCATATGCTGAGTCCCACAACAGGATAAAATACTTGGCTATCAGAGAACCAAAATTGCTCTGGATTGGGCCCTGAAGGCATAATTTATTGTTCACTAATAGAAACGTACTAGCGAGGCACTTGACACTACACCCTGAAGTTCCAAGTGTTGGTAAAAACAAACATACAGTTCAATTCATTGGGAGGCAGACTGCGGGCAAAATGGTTTCGCACCATTTTTAAATAACCCGAACATTGGGTTAAAGGATAGGATACGTTGAAAGGGGAACAAAAGACTCATCATCCACAAATGCATGCATGAGTGCATGGGTGCACGATGTGTACAAAAACGAAAGAGCATCTGTGTCACAGCAAAGTTGCCTCGAGCAAAAGGGAAAATGCGCATGGGTCAATGAGACTGAGGCTGCAGGGCACACTGTCAAATTCCTCTTACTAAGACAATGAGTTACACCTCCAAGGCTTAATATGCGACCTGCTTTACTAAAGCGGCTAATCGACTTGACGTTGCAAAATACGTGCTCAGAATGGGAAAAAGACCACCCTAAGAAATAATAACAAGAAAGCAAAACAAGGGTGTGTTGTGCACTAAATGGCGCACATGATACACAAACAAAAGCATTTGAAAATCAAGCTGAAACGAACAGTACAGGGAATAAGAACTCACAGTATTTAAGCCACAGTTCTGAGTCTTAATTTCTGAGATTTATTTTTTGGTGCATTTTGCTTATTTGCAAAAATAGAGGCGACTTGGATGAATATCTCAAATTCGAGCAACTTCAACTAAAGATGGGGCCATATTTAACTGAATCAAGGTTCTGAAAAGCAGTGCAGACCACAGTGTTAAGGCAGTAGGTAAGTTTTCCTGCCTCGAAAACCCTTATCAATTTAACGATTGAGCTGCTGTAAGGACAAACGACATTTAAAGCGAATAGAGTTAACTGCCACCAATAACAACAGCCCGTTGTGAATCATTAAATTATTGAGTGGCCAGGTAAATACCCAGTGCAAAAACGCATTCAAAAGGGGTGAAAAAATGAAAAACACATAGCAACTTACACAGTAGTTCCATTGGCCGCCGGAGGGAGAATCTGCGTGATAGAGAACTCAGATCGCTTCACCCTCTCCACAACTTCAACATCGCCCAGTTCAACGTAGGGAAACATTCCGAAAGTGATAATTTCGTAGAGTACAATACCGTAAGACCAGAGGTCAGACTTGACGGAAAAAATACCAAACTGCACCGCCTCAGGCGGCATCCACCGGATAGGCAGTTCAACGTTTCTCGTGAAACGATAGTAGCCGTAAGGTGAGCCTGCCGTAGCCTCTCGGGTCAATCCAAAGTCACCAACCTTTACAACATGATCTGGACCCACTAGGCAGTTCCGACAGGCGATGTCGCGGTGGATCAGTTGTTTACTATGAAGGTAAGCCAACCCCTCCGCGATATCGAGAGCCATTCGAGTGAGCGTGGCCGGACAAATATCCTCATGGTCGGGACACCTTAACGGAGAGTTGAGAAGGAGAAAGTGGATGGAAGAGTTCAATACCAAAAGAAAAGATCAGACTTCAGTGCCATGATGATGATGGGGTCGTAGTAGACAAATTGTGCCAATTCATTTATCTAACAACCGACACAATACGAGTGTTTCAATCAAAATCTGGTGAGCAGGTTGTAGTGGGGGCCCAGTTTGAAGTTATTTGGGCAGCTGATCCAACCTAGTACGATTTAACAGCACGTGAAATGCAAACATTAGCCTGAGCGAATAAGTGGCAGACGCATGACGGTACCCCCACAAGACGTCAATTACTGTCACACAACGAACAAGCTTCAGAGCTGTATAACCCCGGAAATATGAGGGCATATGAAACATGCTATAGGTCAACACAACAACTCCGAACAGGCCTGAATGGGTGTGTTGGTGTATAAGGCCAATTTTAGATGTGTGTGCATGTGTGCGTGTGTTGTAGGCATCAAGTAAACAAAGTAATGACAGAAAACAAATTGATCAAAGGGACCAGTGGGACAAAACACCTTACTTTTCACCAAACAACCCGAGACTTCAAATATTTAAGCAGAGGGGACCCACTACCGAAATTACTCAAAGGCTGGTTGTAATCACATCGTAGTTGGCTCCCGAAAGGTGGATTAAAATTGTTTAGTTACGTGACAGGTACAGTTGACGGATTGGTACCACAAAATCATTTTTCATTTGAATAAATAGAAAACGATATTTTTCATCCACTCATCGTAAGGCTCTAGAAAGAGCAAACAACACCAACAACGAAAATTCAAACATACTGAATGAAACCACCCGTCAAATGAACACACGAACGGAGGAACCAATCGCACGGCTCAATGCTTGGGGCTGTCACTACCCCGAAACCACTCAATGACAATCGAAAAAGCGTGTTTGTCAAAGAAACCGTCTGTGAAAAATCAAAGTGTTGAAAAGTGTTGTGTGGGCGATGAAGTCAGCGTGACAAAGGAAGCGAAACGAGCACAAAAGTGTAACGTGTTCTGTTGCTCCGCCTAAATGGTAGGTGTCAACAGCCAATCATATCGACGAAACAGCGGCGCTCAGCCAATCACAACCAGAGGAGAGGAGGATACAAATTGAAGGGTTAAACAAGTAGCCGAAGGTATCGTGCGTGCGCTGATTTGGCACGAGCGCGCACATGCGAACAAGCCTCGCTCTCAGCCGGGACCATGCAACCACGTGATGTCTAGGCGATAGTGGGGTTGAGCGCGCGTAACTAGATTAGGCTGTAGGCTAGCCAAACGTTGTTCACGAGATAAGTAGGAACTCCAAGCAATAATTGAGCATATACCCATTCAGATGGCTTATATAAGCGGAGGGATTGAGGTGAGAGTTCAAGGAGAACAAGAGATTTACAGAGCAAGGTATTCGACTGGATTTACCTGTATGATTCCATGTGTCCGCAAGAATACTTTTAGGCTCATGTACTCCAGTCAGTAGAGGCGCCAAAAAACGGAAAATAGAGCGGCGTACGCACGTTAAATTGATTGAATACAAATATTTACACTTTTCGGAGTTTATTTAGTAACGTTAGTCTGGATAGGCACCACAGAAAACAATGATGTCTATATCTCGGAAAGTCAAAAGATGATATACGTACCGTTGTGCAGTCAAACGGCGTTCAAGGAGGTATTTTTTTAGATCTCCCAGCAACATTAGCTCCATTATGAGATAGATCTCATCCTGCGGTCGGTGCATACAGACACCGACTAGACGGACGACGTTTTTGTGTCGCAGGTCGCGCATAAGCTTAGCCTCTGAGAGGAATTCCACCTTGGCTTCGTAAGTGGTTCGGTTGGTGTTCATTTTGACAGCAACTGCCTCCCAACGACCGGCAAATTTGGCCTCCCCGCCGTAGACTAAGCCAAAAGCGCCATCGCCAATACGACGGTTAATGACAATGTCACTCAGCGGAATCTGCAGCAGTGGAATTAGAGACGAGATTAGCAAACATCAACTTAACAGCAACCCCAATCGCATTAGACAAAACGGAATTAAATCGATATTTGAATAAATCTTTCCCAAAAGAAGCTTAGATGAACTATGGAGGGCTTAAACGGCAATGAACCAAAATGTCCTAGAGGTCTGATTTTGCAAAAAAATATGGCTTAAACCCATTAAATTTTTTTCAGTATCATGAGTCTAAAATGAAATGACGTTGATGACGGTTCCGACAATCGCATAACGCTCACGGACGTCAAAACAAAAAATAGAGATTTGCCGCCTGATGCAAAAGCTGGTGACATGCAGAAAGAACCATAACTTACATTGACGTCAGCCAGTAGTGCACACAACTCCTCATATGGTCGCCTTGTCAACTTTTCAGCCTCCTGGAGGCGTCGTCGGAAGTAGGCCAGCACAATGGCAACCACGGGAACGACAACTATAAGAAGGACACCCATTGCAAAGATCCAGTTGCCTACAACACAGCTCACTCCAAACCAGCGGGAGATAAAGGCAAATGTACAGTCGGCATCGGTGATGGAGCCGTCAGTGGGTGGCGTAGAGCCTCCACCGCCCCAACGTGGTTTATCGTAAGGCTTCTCAATAAGATTATCCACGAATGTCTTGAAAGCAATAGCGTCATTTCGGTTAACTTCCCCTCCGTTGTCTTCTCCCTCACCATTGTCGTCACCCCAATCGCTGGCAGCATCGGCTTTGGATCGGGCTACCCCACCACTTGCATGCATTCGATGGATATCATCAGATCCTGGTGTAGACTATAAAATAAAAGACACACAGAAAATAATAAAGCAACAAAACATAACTTAGGTCAAGATTTAATAAAGTCAGGGCCAAAACAAGGAAAAAAGTGAGTTGGTGCCACTTTCACGCCATGTAAACCTAGATTTACTGCTGTTGACATTGATTAAATTAAATGCCTAACATTTCAGACAAGCCACTTCGTCGAATTGTCCACTATGGGTCAAGTGCGAGCCAGGCGAGAATGCCAAAAAGATCACACATTCAGCCAGCCAGCCAGCTATTGCGGCAATGCAACTGCACGCAAAGACAGTTTGGACGGACGAAATACCGTTTTCCAGGGATGCCGCTCGTGTTGTTGGCATCTGTTCCATCGTTAAAAATCTATCATACAACTGCATGATTTCCCTCAGCTAGACACATTGACCTGAACAAGTTGCTGTGCGCGAATGAAGATCAAATTAGCTGCTAACAAAATTGGCTATGGGCATGAAATTCTAACAGAAAGGAGAGCATCAATTCCTCAAATTTATATTCCAGGCGAGTCCTGACTTTGGAGAAGAGGTACAGGGGAAGCAATAGTATAACCAAAATGAAACAAAAGCAATGAAAAATGGGAGAAGGGATCGCAAAGAGAGGTCGCGATAAGATACTGAAAACGTTAAAGGAATGGGGGCAAAAATACATACTAATGCCTGTGACTACTACATAACATAGGTCTATGGGCATGATTACAAATGAAAGGAACGATGAGGTGGGATAAAATTAAGTTAGCAATAAAAGTGCGGTAATCAAATCTAAGCAATAATGCCCCACCTCATATTCTGTTTCGCCTTCATGAGGTCCGGTAAAAGACCACAGAGTGATCGGAACGGTGGTCTTGTCCTGAATCTGCTTCAGCAGCCAAGCTTCCAAAAGTCGATCGTTGTGTGAATCGAAGCTTAGCTGGTGGACAGTGCTAGCGGGAGGATCCTCATCGTAGGAAGGAAGCGGTGTCTGAGGTGGGATAGGGGGAGAAGGGGGAGTGACGCCTAATCGATAGACAAGGGTCTCACCTAAGCGCTCGACATTGTTACTGAAGAAAGAGACCGCGTTTTTGTCCAGATATCCTCTGTTGGAGTACTCCATGTGAGTTTTTGACACAAAGGTCCGAAGGCGCCTTTCAGGAAGAGAGAACAAAATACTCTATGCGAGTTCTGTTGACGGACCTTTGGTTAAAGTTAACACGACGTGAACATCATTTTTAGGGGATCCAATCAGTCGGGTGGATAAACTTCAGTTTGGCATACTAATACCAAAAAGGAAAAAAATAGAAAGGAAACGGCCTGGCGCCACGACTTCACGAAGAAAAAAAAGCAAGCTGACGACAACCTACCCCAGGATAAAAATAGAAAAACGTGAAGGCTTAGCAATACCTTCAAAATTCGCCACACGTAAAAGCAACTACAAGGACAATTGTGGCATTTGAGCGATTAGGGATTTTTTTAGTAAGGATAGTGACTTTCTCGGCACCTAACTATTGACAATGAGCACACGACGAGTGGGATTCGATATCTTCACCCACACCGGTGTAAAAGGTGTTGGTACTCCGGATTATTGAGATTAAAAGATAACAAAGCTCGCCAGGATTTATGATTCGCAATGATTCAAGACATCAGACTTATCGGCTCTACACAATCACCTAGACCTGCTCCCTATGGGCGGTCGCCGTGCTTCCACGGACCTACGGGTCAAACTGACTTATTTGGGCCTACTTTTGTCATTCCACGCTAAGTTGTCTAAAATTGAAAATATACCTGTTGATATCTTCAAAGTTCACTCTAATTTTTACCAGGAGAAGAGCTTATTCAAAGTGCTTGTCTAAATATCACGTGTAAATTTAGAGACTGTTTCACCATAAAAAAAGTACAAACTGACGCCAGTCGAGACAATAAACGGATTCTTGAACTAACAGTCAAATTAAAAAGGACGCCAAACTCGTGATGGTGCTACAGACGATGCCACATTATTCGTGTTACAACAACATCAACAACATAAAGTAATCAAATGATTATCCTGGCAGTATAACACGAAGAAGGGAGTTCGTAAACATTTAAAAATTAGTATATCGAAACGTCAGTTAGCCAGGAGAGTCCAATAAAACAGGCTTGCAAAAATATTGACAGTTCTGTGACCTAGGACCGCAAGTAGAATGGCCCATGCTGTAGGACAAAGCAACTAGATGACATGTCTGTAATGTTAATCCTGCAATTGGTAAAAAATGTAGACAAGGGTATTAAACAGAGTGTTGAGTGTGAAACGAGGGCACAGCAACGTTTATACTTACTCTGCCATCTTCGGGCTATTCAAAACGGATAGTGAAGAGGGATTTTCGCGTAGAAGCCGGGCTATAGCACTTCCGAGGACTATAACAGATTCGAAAGTGCACTGCTCGTAGAGTTGACGTTGATGTGAGCGAATTCGCATTTCAGACTTTGCTGTAAAATACGAGGGAAGGAAAAATCCGTTTGACTCCAAGCATCATGGAATGAGTCGATACATAGAACACTTAATGTAAACAAATGGCTATTTCAAATGAGCTTCTAAGAATGCGGTGAGGAGAGGAACGTCCATGACTTACACATACACACACAAGGATCACTTTCTATTAAAAGGCAGTTCGGTGTTTCAAAATGTTGTGAGAAGTATTCATTTAGTAGGTCGGTGACTCGGAAGTGGGTAGCAACACTTGACCATAAGAGGGAGAGGGACGCTTAACTTGACGAAAATTTGTCTGGCACTGACAAGAAATGGATCCAAGCAAAAAATTATGGCGATTCTAAGTCATTAGCTAAATCGACCTCTGTCAGGGCAACAAATTATGCACTACACAGCCTTAATTTTCTTGACGAAAAAAACCTACCACCGTTAGAGGCATCCGAGGACCTATTGAACCCGCTCATGGGGGTCATGAGGTTGGAGTGAGTAACTGCGCCCGTGTGCAGGGGATGTGAGACACTGAATGAGTAATCGTGCATGATCTTGAGGTCCCCTGCACTGCATTCACGAGGCACAACTTCCGGCGATTCCCAAAAGTTCTTCGAAAGCCACGGACTGAGGAACCACACGTAGCCCTTCTCAGCACGCATGTTTAGATGGAAAGCGGCACAGAGGATAATTGCAGTGGCGGCGGCTGAGTGGTCCACGATGATGATTCGACCATTCCGTTGCTTCACTGACCTGACATTCTGCACACATATCGAGTTAGGGTAAACTTTTAGGTTGGTTACAGCTAAACAAACAACTACTTGTGCCCCCAAGGGAATAGCTTTAAGTACTAACAGCCACAAGGCGTTTGCATCCTTGGCTCCGGAACCAACTATACGGCCAACTTGGACAAAGACCAGAATTTTAGAGGGTTTATACCAAAAAGACGTCGGCACTTATATGAAACTTCACGGAGAGTATAATACGACAAATGCGACAACCCATCACGGATAATACTTTGCACACATTACTTGTCTCTTGTTGGCAAACATCGAGTTTTTGAACTGTTCACACTTAATTAGGGGGCAAGAGAAAAGAAGCTGAAGAGGAAGTATGCTATTGAACAAAATAAACTGAATAATTTGGAAACTGGAGGAAAGTAAGGGGGACTGAAGCATACCTTTAGGGCCACAGAGTAAGTGAGCATGGACTCCTTCACCTCAAAGTCGTCCACCAAACTGATATTGTTTGCTATGAAAGCATCACGGTAGAAGTAGTGGTCGTCTTTTCGGAACATCGCAACCCGCTTCCATCGCCACTGCTGGAACAGTCGGATGAAGATGAAGCTAGAGAGGAAAAAAATTGTTCCAAACAACAAAATTGATGCCTGGTTTAAGTGAAAAACACCTAGTAATAAAGTTTTTGAGCGAAATGGTGGGTAGCACGAAATTATTCATTTCGTTAGGAAATTTTAATTCTGAAGTGTGAAACTAAATCCAAAAAAATGCACTCTAGTTCATGATATTATTGTAAATCAAGTTGATTCACACTCGTTAATCGGGTCGCGATAGATGCACATGCGCAAACGCCACACATGACTCGACGTGACACGAGACGACAGAATCAAGGACGAATCGACGAGGACTTAGTTGAGGTCTCGAAAAAAGTCTGTTTTTTTGGCGTTGCTGTCTCAATCCCTGTTGCGTACTTAGTGTTAAATTGTGGGGCGACAATTTATTTGCTACTTTCCTAATGAATTTAGGATTACGCGCCAGAAGAGCTTTTGGTAGTTATCAACAAAAAAACTAAACTGAGTGTGAAATCAGACAAGCATTATCATATGCGGGAGTTTTCCCATTCATCGTTTTGCGAACTTAGACCTAAATAGAAATCAGAAGCAAAGGAAGAAGGCCAAAATATTAAATTTACAGTCTCAAAAGGGAACCGCAATATAGACGAAAGGTCTTAGAAACAAACTTAAAGTAATTTACTGAAACCAAATGTACCTCCTTGCCAAAAGAAATTAATAGCACAGGCGCGTTTGTTAAACGTAAACCTTGCCGTTGGTTTTTCATCAGTCAATTAGAAACGAAAATTGCTCTGATGAGAAACCTAGCGCTGTACAGAAAGGGCAGGTTCGAATTTGATCATAGTAACATAGCTGAAATGTAATGGAGTCGAAGCGACTGCCACAAACCACAGAATGTCAACGTCAAACCAATTGCCAATGGCTCCGCAATTTCCCATTTGATTGGCTGGACGGATAGACAACAACGTAAGCTACTTAGGGCCTGTTAAACAGCCTCCTCATATCGCATCTACAATTGAAGGACTAGACTTGCCAACGTACCTGGCAGTATAGGCGGAAGGGATGGTGCGAAAAAAGAACTTGTAATGTTTGCGCCACAGAAAGGAGGCAGACTCAACGGTTGGCGAAATGACAAGCACCCGGCGCAGGTTGGCAAGTCTGACGGTTGCCTCGATTGCGTCAGGACAAAGGGCCACTGTAATGAAAACGTTATGATGAATGGAACCGCATCAGGCGCGGGGTTCGCCATTGCTAATAGCCCCAAGTACGGCGACCTTGAGCAAAACTTTATAGAATGAAAATCACGAAAAAGCGCAAAGTTAGGCAATTAAGAAGTGATCACCGCAGTCAAGTCTGTAGCAAAAAATACATATGCACACGCGTCAAGAAGTTGATAGAGCATTGGGATTGAGAAAAGCTTTTGAAATCTGATAGGATGGCCACTGCAATCTTTCTCGCGAATGTGCCAAAACCAAGAACAAGTGTACTGTCATGAATGTCAAGATGAGAAGTTGACCACTGATAACAAGACACAGGCAACGAGAGTACCAATACGGAAAACGACTGCTACTCGAGTAGAGGAAGTATAAAACGAATATGGAGCTAAAATATGGACACACCAAAGTTACAAGTCACCACGACAGTAATGATTGACAATAGTCTTTGTAAAATTTCAATGAATTCTCATGAGGAAATAGACGTAAAGAGAACCAAAAAGAGAACAAAAGGACCTCATAGCACATTTAAGGAAGCAAGAAATTTTGGGTAGGAAAAAGTGAGCGACGATGCAAATCTACAAACAACACATTAGCGTAAAAAGCGACGGACAAAAGCTCCAGTATTACAACTACTCAAGGATTTGAAGAAGACAATGCTGTAGTATTCTCAATTGGAAAAAAAGTTAGAAAATTTGAAATCGTTGTCAAGTGTCTTCACTGAAACTTGACGATGACAAACAAATGGGGCAAAGCAAAAAGCCGCCATAAAGTAGGCAAATCGACTTTTCACTTCGGCCATTTGGCCAAGTGAGCCAATTGGCTGCACATATGTGCGATTTTTACTCACCATATTGAAAAAAATGACGTCGCAGGAGTGAACCTAATTTTCTCACGCAAAATCTGCACGTGACTTACACTCACAACGCTGGAATACTTCCAATGAGTTTTTCTCGTGGTGGAATGCTTGGCTGCCAAGCTTCCAAAAACAAATGACCAAGAAGACATCGACCTGAACGAGTGGGAAACGTCAATAGTTGCTTCAAATTAGACTTCCCACTAAATACATGCTGAAATTTAGAGATATTCTTTCCATTGCTGTCAAAGTCCATTCTTCTATGACTTTATGCTGCACATGCACAAGGTAGAAAGTGTTTAGCCACAGGTAGGAACAAAGAAGTTAATCGAACGGCCACTTACGAATCACGCCCAAGACGCTCTCGTTATTGGGATTGACGGTGAGGAAGTTGAAGAAGTCGTTCAGTACTACGTTCTGAGAACAGGTCAAATTGCGGACTTGTAGACGAATTGCAAACTCGGAGTTACCAAAGTACTTCTCATCCCCGTTCAGCACGTCCACAGCGTGAAAGGCGTCTTAATAAAGAAGAAGAAGAAGACAGTGAAGTGATAAAATGACCAAATGTCATTGGTTTCATATTCAACCTAGCGAAACGACGCTGCCTGCAAAGCTTATTAATAATATTCACTTTTTTCGTTGAATTTGTGTAATTTTAAGTCGCATAGTTTGGATCATGTGCGCGCATAAAACCCCGAACACAAACGCTGACACCAAGAGGCCATCGACTAGGACATTAGAAGATTGGTGATCAGCATTGTGAAACGCTAGTGGACTGCTAAGTTACTACCATAAACTATCTAGTCACTCAATTAGATTTAAAAGACAACCTGCATCAAAGGAATCACCCCTGACAGTGGTCATGGAAAGATTACAAGTTTCACGGGATCTCAATGATAGTGGTTTGTGGTCCCATCGCTAATAACTACCTAAACGTTTAGGCAGCTGGGTAAGACACTATAAAATACCAACAACGCAGAAACCAAAAGACGTGATTTGGTCGTACAGCAGAAAGTTTCCACACAATTAGGCTGTCCGCTCATTACAACCTACCAAGTAACTTGTACAGAGTTCCAGCAAATTTAAAAAGGTAGTTGATTGTTTTTCTCAAATTAACTAAACCAACATGCCTGATCACATTAGGCTACATTGCCTTCAATGCAGCAGCATCGAACCCCGGGCAGTTCTGCGAGTCAACGAGATCCCAAAAAGCACCCATCACAGCCAGACATTTTTAAGGCGGCTGATTGGGCTTAAACCGTGCGAGCTCAGGACCATCCAGGCAAGTACTCAAACGAACGTACATAAACACCCCAGAAAGGCTCGAAAGGTTTAGCGCCACAATGCAAAAGGCCGTCAAGCAAAAACAGAACACCAGTCACTGCGTGTGGACAGATAAGAAAGGCTAATTTGGAGTCAGGTCTGCAAACAAAGGACGATGTTTTCTCTTAGCCTCTGCAAAATGCATTTTGGCTGCGTTTATTTTTGAAACATCCATACGAACACAACAATGGCCTACTAAACTGAATCTGATCCTTAAACAGACCCAGTAACTGGCTTACATTTTGACACAAACATAGGAGCGAAATTCACGGACATGATAAGGAAAGGCGCAACTAAGGAGAAACAATGAAAGGAAGTGAGAGTAGAAAAATGTCGCGGAGAAATTAGCAATAGACTGTTCCAAAATTCATAGACAAAGTAGAATGTAAATCAGGCATAAAATGAAAGCAATCGCAAGTAAACAGAGTGAAGTGAACAATAGGGAAAGGCATGTAGTGTGACAGATTCCAGCCAGTGATGATTACCACCTTGATCAAATTGGACTTGCACGAATAATAAAATGAACAAATGAAATTCCAAAAAAGGCATTGATCCACATTCGAGTTTCTGGTGAGATTCTGCTAAGTCGAACAAGGCTTAGTGAAAAAGAATGCACGAGAAAATGACAGGGACAAAACACGGCCAATTATGAAGATGATTCTTGGCCTGTGACTATACAAGTTGAGGGCAAAATAGACGATGAAGTCCCAATTTTGCTTTATGCACACAGTGCAACTGACAAAAAATAGCTTACATGATAAAAACTTGAAAGGAAAAAGAACGGATGAAAGAAAAAAATGGACTGGTTATGCCACTAGACAGTTGCACAAAAGACCACACTAGGTCACGGTATATACCAAACAGATATAGCAGTTATCGCTGCGTAAAACAGGTTAAATTTACAAAGACAATGTAACAAAAGACAATCCACCAAACATTTCGGTCAATGACATTTGGCATATAAGCCTCTCGAGAATCTGGACGTATAATTCAATTTCATTAAATCCTGTTAAGTGTTACAATGATTCCACCAACAAGGCAATCGCATCCATTTAAACAACAGAAAGAGCGTGGTTATAGTTGTAAGGCACAAAAGGAAAAATTAATGAAAAATTGTACTGACTAATTTTGTATACTTATATCAGAGCAAACTTTTCGACAAATGTTCATCGCAATTCGATTCCGACTGAATAGAATAAAATCAATAGCAAGACGAATGGAAGATGAATATGGAAGCAAAACGAATGGTTGGTAGGTATAAGCATGAAGGTGATAGCAAGACTTCAATCACACTTGTTTTAACAGATACGAAGTAAAATCAATGCAAAACTGGATGAAAAGGTTTCTTTTGAGCAAAAAAAAGTCGCAGAGATAGCCGCTACAAAGAGAGAACTCGGGCTGCTTAAGGGGAATACCGAAATCGAGGAAAAGCATGTGTGGGAAGTAGCACCAACGAGTAGACCTTAAGTGTGTGTGAGCTATCCAATGACTTCAAGCGCTCGTCGCCACGTATGCCACTGGTCATATAGAAAGAGGGCAAACTTGCAAAATCACGTCTCTAGCTTACCAAGAGAAAATAGTTAATGTAGGGAACTATCACAAGTGACAACAAAAAAATTCTAAGTCCAATCATTTTTTAAAGACAGCCGTGCCCACACGCACAGGCACCTACATGAGAGCGTGAATGCAAGTGATGCGCGCACAGACACAAAAAAGTAGCCAACCGGATCAGACGTTCATGTGTATCTGATTCTCACTTTCACGCACACGAACGAGACTTAGCACCCACATGGTCGTGATGCGGCAGTCACTAGTGAAACAGAAACAGTGAACTGAACACAAACGAGTACTCAACGTTTCAGGCAGGCCAATTGGCTCAAATAAAAACGCAGGTCCAAAAATCCTGACGAAACGAAAGATAGTAGAAATGATGAACGTCGTAAAACAATTAAAAACGGCATTGACAAACCAATTACATAAGCAAATTCTCAGGAGCATAATGTATCAGCCCCTGCATGGACGGGGGTTCACCAACAAGCCGCTAGGACCATGCAATTAACAAACTTAGCAACATTAAAGAGGTGTTCAAATAAGCTAGTAGACCAATCCTATGTATGGAGCACAGTGTTCGATGAACAAAACAACGCATAAAAAGTGCAGAGGGCTACTTCTAAGTTATCGAGAAATTTTCCCCGGTGCGTTTTCGTTCAGCGGTATCGACTAACCAAGAGGATGACTGCATGCATACTGAACCAAACTGCATAACAGCGTGCCACATGCCGGCCGCAATGTCAACACTGCGTTCGGCAATGACACTGGCAAGTATCGAAACGTGGTTCGAAATATTCCTAATAGAAAACCGTGTGTCGGTTGTGGCAGTGATGCTAGTGGGGGCTGATCCCTCCCGTTCACTTTAAATTCACGCACACGCACCTGGACTAACTTGCTACGCCACCGACGACAGTCATTCTCTGGAGCAAGGTAGGAGTGGTGCGATTCAAGAAGTCGGGTTCCGTGTTCATCAATTAAACAACTTGGCAGGTACGCCATTTTTAAACTTCCGAAATGCAGATAAAGAGTTATCTCTCATTTGCGACGAATCATGGTCTGCATTTGAGGGATACGATAACACATTGACGAATTTTTACTTAATTTCGTAAATGTACTAAAGTCAAATAAAGTAATGCTTAAAGACTGATGATATATCAGTCCAAAATCACATTGAAAGTGGAGTTCAATAAAGGCATAAAACAGGTACTATGTTGAGAAAAAATGATTCGTTTCGGCCGACCTCATGCTACCTTAGAAGGGCTCACCACAACACATAAAAGTAGGTTTGAGTCGATTTGCTAGAGTTAGGAATTATGTAGTTGAGACGGAGTAGCTCACTAGTTTAGGATAACTAGTCGACTTCAAAGGTGCAGGGGTATTGGCAGGGTGGATTTGGTATATCAAGCCATGAGGAGGAAGCAGGAGAGTAAAGTACACAAAAGTCTTCTATGAGTGGTACATTCAGGTGCTAAATTCTACAATCCGTAACAATTACAATTATTAATCCAAGAGCACATTTTTGAAGTCACTTCCGTAGTCACAGATCCAGATCTATTTCTTAAGGAGGCTCATTCACCAATAAGTAGGCCGAATGATGGAAGCTAAGGGAAAGTCCATAACGGTGATTGATTGCGTAGTCAAAAAAGGCCAAGAAAAATCGAGTCGAAGATTAGAAAACCCTCATAAAATGTACAAAAAGTCGGTAAAAGGGGACAATTATAGCTTACTGGGGGCTAAGTCGTTAAATTCCTCCGTGCCTGTGAATGTGAACATTCCCCCGATAATTATTTCCTTTTTGACGTTCCAGCCCTCGGTCCAATGTTTCCATGTGGAGCGATGCATCCTTAACCAGCGACAGGCAATTTCTCGGTACCGAGATCGAAACTTCACCTCTTGATTCTTCTGTTCTGCATCAGTGTAGTTCAGTAGACTGGGATCTACCTAAAGGGAGAGTGGGTGCGATAAGCTACACCTAAATACCACTATCTGATCCATAAAAGAACGTTACCACAATGGATATTATGAATAAAAACATGTTTCAAGCGGCCACAAAGAGGAAACACCGGTAGAAAAACAAGACATTTTAATTGCAAACACTCGCACGCCGCAAAATTACACATCCTTTAGCCAATTACGCACGTGAAGACCGATTATAATAGTAGCACTAAATTTCAATATCCATAAGGGCGTAGGAACCTATGTGTGCGATGGGCGCCAGAAACAGCATGTAGCACATTTTCGTTCTCTGGTGGCCACGCATCATGGAATGCAGCAGCCCAGTGCGGTAAGGGAACATCCCGTTTTGACAAGAAAAGTTGTCTCTTGGTCGCCATAGTGTGGTAACGTGGAGTTACAGGAAACATTAGTCATGTCCGAGACACAAAAGGAAGCATATCAACCGTGTAGTAAAACAACCTGCATATATGACGACATTAGCTTGAAAATGACGAGGCGCTGCAGGGCATTAGGAGGGCATAGATGCAAATTGCATAACTGTGCAAGCTCCGAACGCTGTAAGACAACCAACTAAGTAAACAGCGAGAGTAAAATATTGCAAAAAACAAGGTGGCCTTGGGGGTGCAGCCAGTGCTGCCTTCAAATACCTCTCCGGGTATACATGCGGCAACACAAATTGGCGTGTGGGCGGGTGCGTCTGCTGCAGTACAATGAAGGTTCAGTAAAAAAAATTAACGCTTCACTGTTTGGACAGTAATTGGGCGGTGCATGCGCACTAACATGCGATTAATACAAAACTCGAGCGCTGGATGCAAAGCGCCATCGTTCGATTCAGCACGAAACCCAGAAAAAAAAACACGAGCATCATCTTTTCTGCTGAAAACGCATCGCACACAAATCTTATCGAAGACTCAGTTACAAACTGGAAAACAATGATTGGCAAATTATTTCTATTACGAGACAGAATTCTTCCACTCGCTTGCTCGAACGTAGTTTTCGCTAATGAAATTTGCCTTTTTTAACGCAAACCGAGATGTCCACTAGAACCCTTACCAAAACCAGATGACCAAATAGGTTACTAAAACGACTTGGACGTCTCAATTATAAAGACTTTAATCAAGATTGGAATACACGTAATGATATAGGAAAAAAAAGCACAATTTGAGTGGACTAAATCCAGGGAATAGGAGCACATACAAGGATCCCAATATTCATCGTGGGTTTTCGATGGGGAACCAGACAGTTGTGAACATTTCTTGATACAAAGGCAACTCAGACTCAGGATGTTTTCGAAGAAGTTCCTTGAACGATAGGGAATAGAAAAAATCACTTCCAGATCCCCGGTCCGGGGTTTTTTTTGAAAATCCCGCATAGGGATAACAAAGAAGACTACCAAAGGCACCTACGTGTTTATGAAGTGCGATCTAAAGATCTGCTTGCTTGACTTCAAGCATGGATTGCTTGACTAATAAAATAGACTGCTCTACTCAACGGAATGCCGAGGTATTCTGGGTGGTAGCGTTTGGGTCAAAAATGCTTTAAAGTGTCTTGGAGAAGTATTTGATATCAAATTATGCAGGAATATTTTGGGACCAGTAACACTGATTGTGTAGGGACTAGATACTAAAGCACGAGGCAAAAAAACATGATTTCACATGTGAATGAACAGGTCTTCAATGGATTTGCTAATTTATAATTTTTTTAAACCAAAATCAGGCTCTAACAATTTTTAGAATTTCTCATAACATAGGAGTTACTGCATATACTTTCCATTGACACGTTAAGGTTAACTACGAAGTAGTGCATCCAAGAGTTACCCTTGGTTTTGATCAAGTGACCGGAACAAAACCATTAATGTTGGATAGCCTGCCACGTTCTATGCACATTAATTGTACCAGCTGACCCTGTTTACAATTTGCTTTAATGAAATTGGCCCCAGCAAATAACAAATTTTCGAGCTAAGCAATAGCACAATACCATCCAGGATGAGTTCGCTCAAACGTGCAACTTCCACCACATTTTTTTAAAATTCAAATTCGCGTCCCAATCTGATTATAGGCGAAAGATTTACAAAAAAACAGAGCAGAAGGCCAGAAAAAAATTAGAGCAGTTTTCACAGTGAAACGGTTAGTCCACGCAAAACCAGGAGGGAAAGTTTTGAATTTATGAAAGCGAATGACACAGACACTTACAACGCGCAGCAACTCAATATACTCCGTCTGTCTAATTTGAAATCGATCGATCAGTTGGGAAACTAGAGGAGCAGCCTCAGCCAGGCCCGCCCAGGAGGCCTTAACAAGTCGGTTGACCTCAAAAGCACAACTTGAGTCAACAGCAGAGTTGATAGAGGTTCGCGCCCGGAGAGCGGCACAGTCGGGAAGACCTAACCGCACCAACCTCGGGTTGAGGGTTAGAGTGCTGGGATACCAGCTGAGGAGAAGAGCAACACGATCTAGTCCAGAGCCTCGAGCGGTAATATTCCACAAGGATTGAGTGAACTGCCTCTCGGGACGCAGGCCCAGGTAGACGCTGTCTTCTGATAGATTTTTGTAAGCCTCAAACATTGTTGGGTGATCGTAAAAGAGAACCCCAGTGTCAATTGACTGGTTTTGATGCAATCGATGTGATTTGGGGTCTGTACGGGCCTAAAGGAGTACAAAGAGGGCGAACGTTAACTTGGATAAACAATATTCAATGACATGAAATTAGGAGAACAAAAAAACGACCACAGCGAGTTTCGGTTAGGATTAGATCGCATCATATAATGGAAAGTGGTTTAATACGGAATTCTACTGACTAGACCAGACAACAGATCTCAATTTCCCACAAATACGCACAATATGGATAAAAAACCGTGCAACAACGTTCGGAGATCATAGTGCAAAAACGAAGAAAGTACAATGAAGTTTTACTCAAAATGAGTAAATAGTGATTAGCGTGCTAGTAAAAAGTGGTAGTTGAATCTTAGCGTGACTTGACACATTCGATTATTGCAACTTCTTCAACCACATTAGTTATCACAAATCTAGCATAAAAACGCGAACTGACACAAGAAGAGTGACATCTAGAACTCGGCATACTATTAGCTGATACCCATTAGGACACAAATTTGAATTAAGCTAAGCCAGATATTGGGAAAAAGTGCCGAAATAATTAACACAAGATGTAGCATTTGGCAGGACACTGCCTCCAAAGTTCACCATGGGACATCTAGATTGGCGTCCTTGTGGTAGCGAGAAACAATACACTGAAGTCCATTAACTTTACATGCTTTCTGTCGGCGAAGATGAACTACAAAATTCTTCCCAGATAAGAGGGAGGCATGACCTACACCTGAGTTTTAGCCACAGTCAATATTCCACTTGCTCGTAAACAGGTTAAACTTTGAGCCAGAACATAGAAAAATCCCTTTCCCGGTGGGCAATCGTAAGGTCTAAATAAAGAAACATTGGATTCGGCTAAGGACGTCTATATTCCCTTCAAGTGGATTTCATTTAATAAGGTTCTCGGAATTGGGATAAAGCAGAAGCAAATGCGGAAAGGCTGTATTAGTAGGCCTAGGCAGTTTTTATAAGACGCCGATGACAAATTAGATGGTGGCAGTACTAGAAAGACAGCATTTTTTTTTACTGTAAGTAGTGAATTCAATCTTTAGAGATCTCAACAGGGCACGATTTTGGGGCAGATCATTGTAATCGATAGTCTCTCGGCAACTGAGTCAGTTTTCTATGATTTTCATGTGGCATCAGCATACCAGAGAGAGAAGAAGGAGAAAGTAAAGCCCTCTGGCACACGGACGCACGTGGCACCAGGAGCACAAGCACACCACGCACGTACACACAGGTGTTTATTAGTAAGCACAATCATCTGTCGCTACACTTGTCACTTTCTACGACGGTTGGAGACATACAAAAATGTAACAAAGCACTCGAATAGGGACACTAACACGCTACAGGTATTTTCAACAGTTCACTTCCAGTGGCTTCAAGAGCAGCAAAACAGTTAAATGGGGAACGGTGGCAAAGAGGCAACCGGACACACCAGCCGACTCCCACGAGGCGTAAGTACCTAGACAAGCGTAAACGTAATAAGCTGCACTATTGCGTAGTACCTGCGTTGACACTAGAACTATGACCAGTATATTCATGAAACGAAGGGATGAAAAATTTGTGTCTAAATTAGAACATGAATGGAAATCAAGTATCAATGTATTGAAAAAAAAACGAATAAGCAAACTGCGTGATAAGAAAACATCGATTGAATGCGTTAACAGTTCAACCTCTCAATAAAGAACGAAAATTCTGAGTCAGAGTATGAACGATTGGATCAGTGAATCTGCCATCAGGAGCACGAGATGGATGTAGGACTTTTGGCATGCTGGAGAGAGGAAGGATTTTGTATTGTTAGAATGTTGTTTACTACTGAAAACGGGCGTCCACCGTGGGACTTGGCTAAAAAAGTGCACCGAGTTTACGTGGCAACATAATCGACCACAACGAGGGTGTTTAAGCTTGAATCTACGTTTTCAACTATATAAAATAATGGTTAATGGAGAGAATCAATCAGACGTTAATAAACTTTCATAGGGCCTAGTGGCTCTACCGCGTAAGACTGACAAAACAAAACGTTTATTCGCAGTCTGTGATAGCGATTTTTCGATTCGATGTTTTGAACATCTCGACATATTTTAAACCAGAGTTAATAAAGCACAGAGATGCAGAAAAGGCGAAGCGTTTGGAAGAAGGCAGATAATGGAAGAGGACTTTTTGTGTCCGAACAATTTCGGAGCTGTATCCCTGAATAAAGTTTAAAACGTGTATGAAGATGGGATGGAAAAGGGGTGCTAAGACAAAATTGCATTGGCCTGATTACTATTCTTCAACATTGGGTTTATACAGTTACAATAGAAATCACCCGAACTAACGTATAGGCTGCTTATGCAAGAAATAATTGCACAAAAATACAACCAAGTTGCTTTCATCCAGCTCAATTAAATAAAATATGATGCTTTGACTGAATACGCACTCGGACTAAGCTTACATCCCAATGAGTAAAGGCACAGAATCATGACCGCACGAGATGTGATTCGCTTAAGTAAAAGTGTTTCTAGCAAAAGTTTCAGGTCTGTGAGATATCAAGACAAGGAAGACCAGGTTGGTGGTCTTGTTTCGACAGAAAGCAAATTGTGGTTTAGCTAATTATACGAAAGTGGAAGGTAATCAAAAAGTGACCAAATAGTGAGAATAGAAAACGAATACAAAACTTAAAAAAAGTTAATTCGTGAATGAAAAACGAAGACGTAGGAACCAAGTTGTTGCATTCAGATGTCACGTAAGTGGTTTTAAGCAGATTAACTAGTAATCCATACAGAGTATATACAGGGTCAAACACGTTTTGCAATTATTTCTACCAGTGAAGCATTCCAAGGGAGTAAGAATTACACATTTGTATAGGAGACCAACTGATGGCCAAGATGCAACCGCAGAAAGACACGGCATTAGTGTGAAATCAAAGAACCCGAGGTACGGTAGCGAAAATTGATCTACGATAGCTAAGGTTGCCGGCTCTGTGATGATACCGAAAATGTAATACACAATCAGACGAGGGGGAAGATCAGCTTTTTAGTCGCCTAACGAGACTGACTTTAGAGTACCAGATAAGAACACATTTTTGGGAGACAATCAAAGGTAAGATTTTTGCGCTACTGTCATATCAACGCCGGGCATTATACGGCAGCGCAACAGAACCATAAGGTCAAACAACTCAGAAAAAGGAGTTGTGAACTTTGTCAATTGCAGTCATGCACGCAGGCATCTAAACAGCCACCACGAAAATATGAGTAAAGGCGGAGAATAGCTAACTACACATACCAATGTACTTGTGTTAAGGCAAAATATGAATATGGGTAGGCTAACATCTGGAATCTGACAATTGTTGAGATCAACAATGTTTGTCAAAGGCAGAACCAAGAAGTGGCATGTGTAAACACTAGAGAAGAATCACGTAAAAATCATTTTTTTAGAAAAGGGTCGACACCGGTATTAAAGGCGAAATTCTACCAAACCAAGTCAACATCTAGAAGAGTCTATTTTCCCACAAAGGAAACTAAATAGCTTCGCTACGACCGTATGAATCGCAACACATTGCCAATAACTCAATACCCTGCTTGGTCTTCAGCATTTGAACAGACGTCACACCTTCGGAGTAGATCCTCCGACAACTACGACAAACCTTCCATCGTAAAAGGAGATTAACTACCACACCTTGCATTTGCTTTGCTCTAGTACCTGACTGTCTTGAGTCGATCTACAATAACACCACTCTAGACTAAAGAGCTTGCAAGAAAAATCCTACACGCCTCAATGCATCAAGATCAGCGAAACGAAGCAGGCGCGAATTAGCCTGGTAGGAACTTCTACCGACGCTGCGACCATGGTCTCACTTGTGAAATCGGCCAGATCCACCAATATTGCTATGCAATTAAAACGTTATTTCCATTTTGGAACACTGAAATAAAATTGCCAATGTGGATACCTGTAAGTAGGTGCAGAAAATTCACAAAAGTCAAACGTTAATTTTTCTCTGCCGCAATTTCATCCAGAAACGAAAATACCAAAAATCTCACTTACAGAGTGCAGCGGGATTTGTGAGAATAAAAAAAACTAAAAATTGACTGAATTTAAGTGAAGAATTGACGCTGAAGAAAATCCAATGAGTTCTGCTTAAATATACACGCTGCGAACAAACTAATCTGATATTCATGCAGATTTTCATGCGGAACTAACGCATAATTGCATTGCTCGACACAGTCAGTTTTAATTTAAATTTAGGGGTAATTACACACATTAAAACCAGACAGTGAAAACTCGATTGGAGATCGACACTTTCCAAAACAGGATTGTTTCAAACAAAAATAAAGAGCTTACGTCACATAGTGCGTTGCGATTCCCTGGGACACAACTTGGAATCAGTGCTCCTGCTTTTTAGAAAAAAGCTGGTCTAAGTAAATCGCCATTTGGGAAGCGTATTTTGAAGTAGGGGCCACATTTATAAGAATAAGGACAATGCCCTACTTGTTTTCAAATAACAGCACCTGGTACCTGCATAAACTCAGGGCCCATTGAATGGTCACCCAGACGACGCGCGTGGCTGAGGTACGGCGCCTAGTAGAACCATTGTGGATTCAGTCCCAGCCCGTCAAAAAAGTGAATCAAGGCAAAACAAATTTAGGCGACGAGAAAATTGGCTCGAAAACATCTGCACGACAAATGCAGTGCTATCGACCATACAGCTCAACATATTTCAACTAACATTTTTATGTAGCGGCGCAATTTTCAGCATAAATTATCAAAACTACGCTCAGCAAACAGGTAACAGCGGCAACAACAATTATGGGAACAAAAAACCGAATGCTTACTAGACTGATGCGAACTAACCATATAAGTTTCCCAATTTGATTAACCCTTTACATACTGTCTTAGCTTACACAGTAGTAGAGTTTATGATCGTGAGTTAAGTGTATGATAGAAAAACAGTCAGGGTGAGCCAGTCCTGTTAAAAATAGTCTCTGGCGAGGAAAGAACTTTTAACAAAAAGGAGTTCAAAAGTCAAAAGATCTACTAGGTCAATTCACAGCAAATAAACGTTCTTTAGGATTCGCGACGGCATCGGAATCCTGATCATAATTTTAGGAAAAAAATGCATATAGAACTAAATAGCTCCGATCTTCGAAACTCGAAAATCAAGCACATTTGACCGAATTACACTTAAAATCCTATCGATATGAGTTGACGAACAATCAAACAGCGCTGCGAAATGAAATGTACCGACTCATTCGAGTTTAGGAGGCCACAGCAAAGACGACGAAATGTGAATACTGTCAAAAGTAAAGCTGAGTGAATGAACACAGAACGAAGAGCCACACCAAAGCGCTTCGTGGTATCTGAGAGCTTATAGTCAAGCCACCAAATTATGACATGGGAACTCTGACCAGAGTAAACTCACATAATAATAAAAAAACTACTACCTTGGTCTTAAGGAACAACAGCAACACTAGAAGGACAATGTGGCATACTAACCGAAAAAATTGTCGAGGACAAAAAGCTGAAACAGATCGTTAAATCTTGTTTCAAGATCCTATTACAGGTACAAGATCTCATCGGAAAATGATGATAATAAGTGACAGTAAATCCGAATTAAAAAAAAGCCCATATCAGTAGAACTGCATTACAAGCATAAGCCTTCTTGCAAAACGAAGTCTCAAAACTGTGAAGTTGATAAACAATATTGCTAGGTATTAAAATAAACACTATAGTGCGTTAATAATAATTTATAAATACATAGGTCCCAAGCGCCAAACGAAGACAGTCACAGGATTAAAAAAGTACAATTAATAGGCTTGATATATCCCAAAACAAGATATCTAACAAAGCAAAAATGATAAGGCAATAAAGTTTTTAACGAGAAATAACCTTTATGCATTAACTAACCGTATTCAACAGATCTAATGCATCATGACTGCCATACAGACCCCATCGGGTTATAGGTCCAAGAGGTCCATTTATCCGGACACGATGGGGCGGTGCATGCTTATTAATTTCCTCACCGGTGCGAAGCCACACCTCAAGGTTCACATGAACGGGAGGTGGACGAGAACAGTTTCTTGATATTTCACAATTGAGTCGACTAATGACGGTTGAAGAAGAATCCCATGGAGTGTAAATGAAATTTATATCCCTATATCCGAGACGCTCCCGAAGAAGTATCTCAAATATATAGTTAATAATCCAGTGCGAAGGCCTGTCGTTCACATCGATATTTAGTGAGAACGACTGGTTATTGAAATGCAGGCTTCGTGTCCACTTTACTCTTTCTATTGGAAAAGCATGCAATTAATATTAAAGTTACCTTCAACTGATAAACAACTGTCGTCTATTTCAAGACCCTGATTTGCATAGACACAGGAGACAGTAAATAAGAGCAAGGCTGAATGGATGAATGCAATTAAAACATTCATTATTTGTTGACTGGTTCACAAGATGCTGTCTTCAGGAAATTAAGCACGCAAAGGAATGCGTCTGACAAGTGCCAAAATCAAATAAAGCCAAGGAAAAGCGCGTCATTCTGCAAGAAATTCGACACACTAACACCTCGTCAGCTGAATTTGCAATATGCATCTACGTCAAGCCTCAAAATATTGTAATGAAAAGAAATCAGGTAAAACTGAGCCACTGACGAACCAACGATCTGAAAGCTCACATGACAGGCACACATTGCTTGTTTTAATTAAGCACAAATCAATTTCAAATCCATGAAATGGATAAAAATATTTTGATCTGAAAAATGATTTTAAAATGCAAGATGTTAATGCCCTACAGGCACGGGTACATATGTAACGAATTTAGTACGTTTAATCAACAAAACAGATAAACATCAAGATATCTTCTAAAAATTATATTACTTAAAAAAAATCTCTCCGACTTTCAGTAACAAAGCTGAAAATAGAAAAATCTAATATGAGTCACAGGAGGTCGACTGTACAAAGTCAGCGACCTTTGTGGAAACATGGATTTGTTTTTTTCTGCAATCCAAGACAAAAAGTGCAGACCAAAAACATTTTCCTAAAAACGAATGTAAGTGATAAATAAGAAAGTTGCGCATGTTTTTTTTAGATTAGAAGACGTGAATTTATTTTGCTGCATTAGCACCAACTTTATTATAAAATTAAGTCAGTGAATTTGTATTTTTTGCGCATCTGCTTAATTCATGTGAATATTCTATTCAGCGAAAGATAAATCCGAAATACCTAACCCACAAAAAGTAAATAACTAAATATATATAATAATAAACAGTGTATTATGTCATTATTCAATTTTCGCAACCTGCATTTAATCTAGCTGTAATAATTAATTTAAGGTATTAATGTCGATCCCTTATCAATGCAAATTAAATTTCGATTTTCATTTTTAAGTGCAGCTTACATAGCTACCTAAGCCAAGACGTTAATAAGCTATATATTGGCGATACATGCGAGTGCGAATTAGTAAATCGTGCCGCATAAATGCATAAATTAACATAATATGCTTCTTCCTTTGTTTCACTAAAATTAACAAACCTACAGTACCAAACATTGAAACGACTTTTTAAACCTAAAACGATTGCCTCCTGAAGTAGTTTTGCATATTGATGTCAACTATTTAATAGAACGGCAGTTTCACACTTAAAACGCATAATAGCATGTCACGTGCCCTTTGCCATGTCAACTCTGCGTTTGGCAACACCACTGCCAGCCATCGAAACGGTGCTCGAAATATTCCTCATGAAAAACCACGTGTCGGTGACAACAGTCAGCAGATTCACCACCAACGACCTTCTATCTTTTGAACACAGAAGTTTGGCGAGATTCAAGTAGTGGAAATCCATGTTCATTAACTAAATAACAGTCATTGGTAAGTGTACATTCGCGGGTGCCAGCGACAGTGAGTTGATCACACAGAATACTCAGGGCACAGTGTCAAAAACTCGTCGTCATGCGAAAGCAAATCGAAAGCCTGCTGCCCTCTGTTCTAACCGTGACAACCAATACATTCGGCATGGAATGAAGGATAAATTTAGCAAGTTTGCATAGATCGTGTAAAATGGATCTTGCTGTAATCAGCGAAGAACGACTAATTATTCCTCAGTGCTGTGCAGGTGCTCGTATCGTACAGATGACTTTAGCAATACTGGTCCGGTTTGAGTGGGAAACCCTTTTACATCTAACACACCTACAGGATATTTTGACGACGAATTGACCATTGGAACCTCACAGACTGAAGTTGATGACGAGTCATTTCTGGAGATAATCCATGGGTGACTTACAAAATACTGCACGCGATCACCAAATCTGCCATACTATGACCTCGGACCGTTCTACAAACATTGGTAAGAGTTTACGAACCCAAACTAGCGTCAGCCAAATAAACAGCCAAAGCATGGGGGGAGTTACCAAAAGTGTAAAATAGGGAATTTGTAAGATCGACAGCAATGGTACACTTTATAAGGTCGCAATAGAACCCAACATTGCCACAGGTTCTTATAGTTAGAAAAAACACCAATTCACTGCCTATGATCACGCATTTTTCGGTTTGTGAAAGTGGAAAGCCACCCCACCCTTGCATTGAAGTCCAGTGAAGACCATGCCGTATCCATACGACTTCAATATAAAGTGTACCTCAAATGAAGGTGGCAACCAGGCACTGATAAATCAACGTCCCACCTGTCAAACAAAAATGATATTCATGGAAATGTACATGATTTGGTAAGGGTATACACTAACGGAGGAATAATTGGAGCGGTCGGAAGAAGGTTGGGCGGGGAAAGAAACCAGTAGAATAAATTTAAATTAATTTGAAATGCTTGAACCATCGTTATCACTCTTTGAGCTGGTGCGTCATACTGTGAGGGAAATGTAGCTGTTGTACTTAGCAATGTTGCGTTTGAGGATATCCGAGCAGGGTCCCATGACGCGTTCGAAGCGTTTGCGGTCGAGTTTGACACAACGCAATGGGCCCTGTGCCACCACAGTGGCTGCCCGCGGGCGGTCCAACAATAGAGCAACTTCTCCTAAAAGGCAGTTAAATATTATTAAATTAAAAAAGGAAGGTTCTTGTACACACAAGAACTTAGTTGAGGATATCTCAAACAACCAAAATAGCACAACACAGGGCGGGAATATCGTCTTGATTGACCCTATGCGAAGAAAATATGTAACGAAGATAAAAATTAAGGTAGACAAAATAATGACAATCCCTAAACATCAAGACTGGAAGGGGGAATAAGAGCACTTGCCGAAATAGTCAGAGGGCCCCAATCTCCCTACTTCAACAGGTTCTGCGTTTTCCGAAGGACGCTGCAGCACAGCCGCTGTACCCTAAGGAGCCAAAAATAATTTCATAGGGAAATTTTAAATAAAATTATACACTCTTAGGTTATCAACTGTAAATAATGTGATGACCAATATGAGAGAGCCTATTATAAGTGACCCAATTTGGAGACTGGAGGCTCTTTACACTAACGTCGTAACTGGTAATAACAGCATCAAGTTTCTACTAGAAAAATATTAACACATACTTTCTCCGATTTCAGACACATCTAATTACCTAAACGTTCATTCTACTTAGAGCCCAGAAAACATAGATCGACATACTATTGAACAGGCGGAATGTGAATAAATGTTGAATGAACATGCACAGGCACCTTCGGGTAATTATTGAATTAACCAATCAGAATTGGCGGTAACTGAAGGGAGAATCGCAATCATTAACTGTACCACATCAAAAACGGCATGATGAAGAGTCTGGTGGGAACCGTAATGCAGTCGTTTTGATACTACACAAATTTCCAAACCTACGTAAGACTATCGATGCTCGGTAAGATTAACGTACAGCAAAAGCTGGTAATGGAAAACTCGGCAAGGTTTCTATGAGGTCTCAGGCAAATCGTAGCAGGTTACGCGATGAGGCGGCTGCCTTCACAATAATTTGGCAAGAATAGGGTTCAAATTCAGCCATAGTAAGCAGTAAGCACAGTGTACCCGTGACTCGAACAGGTCTTTCAGGATGGAAAGACAAAAACAGAAGCATGTGACAACTGGGCCGAAGAAACTGCCAACCGCTATTTATTGAGAGTTATTAAGGTGACACCAATAATCGTTGAAATTCCTTTCTGTACGCGGATATAAAGGCGCCGATTCACTGTAATCAGCACCCACGTTCATTGCACAAAAAATAGACTAAGAACATATTCCTGACCTCAGCGCCAGTTTCATGTAGGAATTCGAATAATTAAAAACCAAATACTGAATATTTTTTGCCGGTCTCCATACACAGCTTTGTACCGCAGGATCGTAACCTCATCAATACCCTACTTGGTCTTCAGCATTTTAACAGATTTCACATTTTCTGTTGCTTAGTCTGGGCAATAGTACAAATGTTCTTGCCAGGAAATTCCCACGTTATGGCATTTTCTCGGCCACAGTACTAGATTTGCTTTCAAGCAGTTGGGGTCATTCAGAACTACGTGGTTCAAGGTCATGTTCGATAGGGGCACACGCGAGCTTAATTTGAACAGCACTGAAACTATCTTGCCAGCATAACTGCGAACACGCATAAAGTGTACGGAAAAAAGCATCTGAATTTATTCTCAGAATGAATGACGCTTAATCATAATTTAGTTCGCTGAAATCATTGGCAACAAAACTGAGCTATAGCAAAATGTCAAAACGATGAGCTTCTTTGGAGCTATCATACACACTTTGAACTAACTTACATAATGCGGGGAACCAAAAAACTAAATACTAGTGTCTTGACACCGGTAAAGTGCAATATGTCGCAAGTAGAATGGATGCGACAAATCAAGCGTACTCGTAGGAATCTGAGAAAATCATTAGGAAAGCTGGGTAGCAAATTCTTCTCAGAACACCCAAGTTTCGGAGTTTGATCATTTGCACGTAAACATTTTAGAAAAGCTAGTTTGGTATTCAATTTAGGTAATAACTAAGGATTTAGCATGCATGAAGGGGTAGTTTTAATTCGATAACACGAATTCAAGTGGAAAGACTACTTTTAAGACGGAAGGAGAAATGGTATAAATGATTCGAAATTCACCGCGTCCGATCCGGGCAAGAACTAAAGTCAAATGGTAATGGTTCGACAAGAGCCCTCCACAACTACTTACACTAATACTACCTCAGAACACAACAATGAGCACAGCATAACCAAGGTCCAATAAAAAGGCCAGAATTTAACTTGAACAAAAAACTAAATGCATGAAAGCAATAAAGTTGAGCATTTGTGGCCCAAAAGAAACCTGCCCATGACAGAATTTTCCAGACATTTAAGTAATGTAAACAGTCCATGATCAGTGGTCCAAATAATCCTACTGAAGTCTTTAGCGTTAAAAACAAAAGAAGGGCATTAATGTATACATCAACAACATGGCAATATCTATTGCATTTGGTAAACCGCAAACAGGTGTTGTCTACAAAAAATGTCGCATTTGATGCTATTCACGCACTGTTAACTCAAAAGCGCCAGACCAGTGAAACAGTGATATGGCAAGTTTATGTAGCACTAACACGTTAAGTGCGACGAACAGTAAACTACAAATCGAAGCGGCCCATCTTAAGACCTCAAGGGCAATGATCAACATCAAAAAACGAACGAACCTCGATGATTATGTAAAAGTCATCGCCAGGGTCGCCTTGTTGGACAATGCACTCTCCTGTCTCAAATCGAACCGGCTCCAAAGCATCCGCTACGGTTAGTCGCTCCCATTTCTCTAAATTATCTAAAATGATGAAGCAGATACATTGATAAGTGCGGAAAGCATTCATTTTCAAACTGTCATGTCACATGACTTGTTTATGTAGATTTAGTCATGCGGACCACTGTGACTGCTTTGAGTCTCTAATGAGCTCTCATTATTCTATTTGAGTAAAAAAACTGTTTCATACGATTCCACCTACCCAGCTTCTCTGTTTCTTGAATATATTAAATTATGCGTCAACAACTCACGTAATTTCAGTAAGTCATTTACACAACTGACTTTCGTCACCGCCTACCTAGGATGGGCACACGTGCCAGAAAGTCCTGGTACATCTTCCTCCGTCGGATGGTACTCCCCATGAGAATACGGCGGTAGGAGTCGCGATCGATGCCCCAGAGCTTCACCTCATCACTGCGCGCCTTCACAGTCGCGGCCCTTGGAGTTCCGTATATCAAAGCCAGCTCCCCAAAACTGCCTCCCTCCCCGATGCAGCTCACGTATTCACCGTTCACGAATATCTAAATAAAACAACACGAATATACTCCACAATGGCAAAGTCAAACGAATGAAGTTCCTAATATATTAAGGCCATCAAAAAACATTATGGGTTTACCTTGAGATGCAAGTAGACTGGAAAATCCTCAAGTTTCTGACAGCCTAATTGAGAACAGATTAAGTCTGGCATTTACGAAGCACAGACCAAATATTGGAGGATTTAACACAAAAGAACATTTTTGGCATGACCGAATCGTAATTCTTAAAAGTTCTCGAGTCACGATTATAATGCTCTGCAAGAAGTTACGCAAGGTGTTGTAATGAGTGCTGCAGAACTGAAGCATTGAGGCAGAAAAGGCACCTTAACATGAATTTGGCAACCGGCAATAATGCCCACGTTCTTCGACGGGAAAACAAGTGGAGCCCTAAAGCCTCGATTAAACCCCTTCGTTTGTCCCACGCACTGACGCATTGACCCAGTTTACGTTGAAATAAATAGGGATTCGGAAACACATACTCCATCAGTAAAAGTGAACACTCAGTGATTCGATAAGAACAGGGTAATCAGTCAACAGAACCAGAGAAGAGTATGGCCAGAAAAGAGGTCAGTGGAGAAAGTTTAAGTCTAATTCCAAATGACAACGACACCGCTCGAGGACTGCTGTCACGAAGACAAAACAAGTTAATCGTGACCTATAACTTGTGAGATGATCTGTTGCTATGTGGTTTGGTCAATCCTCATTACCATTAAAGACCACTTAGCACACAGTAAGGTGCAACCACTACGCGGGTGTTCCACAGAAGAGATAGAATCAAAAGCAAGAACACAATGCTGAATACAGTACTCCAAAATTTTCAAAGAACTTTTGTTCGTGATACTTCAAAAAGACTACCACTCAGTGAAAATACACAGCAATCGTGAGCGAACGCGGTTAGCGTGAGCAAACACGATGCAACCGATTTACTTGAATGCCCTTCACGTAACTGTGATCGTGCAGAAATCGATGTTTAGCACGGTTATGAAAACTGACTTGTTACCTTATACACCACACACACACCCCACTACGGTGTCAATAAGTTGAGCTACGCGCTATCTGCTTTCTTCTCTTCCTTTGGTCGGGCCGTGTCGACGTAGACCGTCGACCGTGGTGTAGCTCCAATACCGCATCGGGGTCCTTACAAACCGAACCAAAGCCCTAAGCCCAATATCAGCCATGTGATAAGTAACAACAAGGCAGTGTTGCGTGTAGATTCATTGATGACACACTGTGGCTCTCACAATTTTTTTGAAAAGTGCGGTAGTGCAATTGAGCAGGGCAAGGAAGTGGAATAAAAAAACCGCTCACCTCCACTTCTCCTTGGTCAATTATGTAGAAGTTGTCTCCTTCGTCGCCCTGCTTGATAATAATGTCACCACGACTGCGATGAAGAGGAAACATGGCGTCGAAGATATCACTTAGGGATGAAAAACAGCATATTACCGATAACCAATAGTATGAGCGAATGGAAATTCGAGGTAAGCCATTCGACTCATTACGGGATGCTAATTTGAGCCGTTGTCACGCTCGCCCGTTATTGAAATCATTGTCGTTTTCTTGTGATATTTGAGAGTCTCGCTTAGACCCAAGCAGATTCGATTTCCATAGGATTTTGGTCATATTTGGCGATATCTTGGAGAGGATTTCTTTTGCTACACCTCGATGCTACAAACACATGCAAGTGATGGCAGACCACATAACCCTGTACTTACTCTGACTCCACAACAACTTTTAAACACATCATACGAAACGTAGGTGGCTAAGCCAATTAATGATATAACCACAGTCTCCCGACGTCGATGACCACTGTGGAGATGTTTCGTCAAATAGCTATTGAGTAAACTGGAAATGAACAGACCTACTACATCCGTGGATGGAAGCAGTTCAGCTCTAGGAAGAACTAGGCAAACGAACAATAACACCTGAACAGTGCAACGGCGCAATATTGGCAGAATGAATGATGCAGGAGATTCTGCCCTTTTTTTAAACAGGAATAGAGCTTGAGCCCAGACTGTTTACGATGTAGTGTGTATGAAGGGTACAGCAGTCGAGTATTAAGGTATTTTGTTGGATGACTAGAAAGGCATGAATACTTCTTTGTGTATTCATCCGTATTTTGCACAGAAAATGTGTTCCTCGATACGCGAGAATTGTCGGGACAAGCTGGTTAATTCACTCACTTTTTTACATGAAATAAAATTCTAGGCTCGCGTAATCGTGACAAATGAAAAGGACGAATCGAGTTACCGCCTTCACCCTCTACAATTGGAAAGCTGATAATTAGTTATGATAGCGGCCAAAGGTGGAGCTAGATTTACAGCATTTCAATAATTAAATCGAGGGCGAAGTTTTGATTTAAACAATCAGGCATATCATAAAAAGCTAATCATTTCAAAACTGTAAAGGAAACAGTTTCATAAATTAGGGAAAATCCAGTTTAAATGTGTGAGGGATGATTTAATGAATGCCACATTTACCGAACTACTAAACCCACGAAGAGCAACTTGGAAAGTGGTACAAGTGGTTTATCTTGGAAGTTGATGCGATGAAAAATCAGGCACCTTTATAATTTCGAGAAAAAATGCCACATAATATTTTATCAAGAAAAAGCGACGAACGATTCCAATACGTAGGTCGAGAAATGGGCATTCCTAATGCCGATTCCTTCAAGTGCGACAAACCTCAGAAGCGATTTAAGGGCCAGTATCACATTTGACTAGAGCTAAGCCATTCATACGAACAAAATGTTCCTTGGGAGATAATACAGAGAAATGATAAATAGTTTGAGGGCAAAATATAAATAACTTACCTTCGTTCATTTTCATCCAAATGAGCAAAAAGGACATTGCGAGCAATGGCTTTAGAAAGTGCTGTCATTGTCTTGTAATCTTTGGGAACAACCTTTAAAACAGATAACGGCATGTTAGCACAAAAGACAATCTGCAAAGTTTTTTTATCGTCTCAAAGCAAAAACAGATACAATAAGGCCAAGCATGGGGAGCTGTAGAATTTACAGACGATCCCAAACACCAACCCATAAACTATGACCATTAGTAGCTCATTTAAAATAGCCCATACTGTGACACACAAATGAAGTCTCACTCTGATCGTTAAACTGGGAAATTTGCAACTAGGTGGCGAATACAAATAGATAGGAAAGTTAAAAACAGTTTAAGGTTGATCAATGTATACTCATAAGATTCAAGGAGAACATTGGTGACATGCTTAAATACAAAAAAATGTACTTAAAAGTAAAAAAATAAGGCAAGACAACAGACGAGAACGTGGAATTTAGGCAAGCTATGACAACTACAGATGGTAAATATTCTACAATAAGTGATTGACAAATGTCCTTCAAATATGTACAATCGCAGAGCAACACATTGCATACGGCAAGCCTAGGCGACACATTAGTATAAAATTTCCAAAATCGAGATGTGTGGAAATTAACTGGTCGATAACAATGTGTAACTAACCATGCTACTATAATAAATGATTAAGAACCAGTTTGCGATAAAAGGTCAATCTGAAGACTACACAACAAATAATCCTTGACGAATACCACGGTAAAAAGAAAACACCTTTTTTATGTACGACGCTGCGTCTTCTTCAGTATAAACCTCCCCACTGACAGCTCCACGCCTTACGCGGCGTTTAGCGGAGATAGGATTTGGTACCATGTAGTTGGCAACACCAGGAGTAGGAGAGGATTGAAAACACACTTCCGCATTACTTCCACTGATATCGTCAACATCACTGAGGCCATTCTGAGTAGACAGACTGGGGTCACCAGAATAACGACGTTGAGCACTTGCTGACGGCTCATTTGGAGGAATGTTTTCGGCATCTCTAGTGGACTCGTGAGAAATTACAGGGGACGGATGACTAGGAATTTGGCCAAGCGATTCTGATGTTTGGCTTCCCATCTGCACAGACCGTTTTGCTGCTTTATTTGAGGTAGTTTCAGGCTGACTAGAGGACTTGATCAAAATAGAATAGACATTTAAGACAGCATCCTTACACATATTAAAAAGCATAATATCGGGTCAGACTTGGAATTTTGATACTGACTAGTTAATAGGGAACACTTACTTCAAGGGACTCAAAATATTCACGAAGAAATCGAATCGGATCATTTGGACGGTACAGACAAAGGTTTACTATAGACTCCCTAAGAATCTTCTGAATTTGGTGTTGTCTAATGTAATCTTCAAGTTCCTGAATGTACAAATCATCCTCCATTTCCAACAAAGAAAGTCAGTAGAGCCAGACACCCATCTTAATAGGCTATTGAAGTATACGCGACATAGAACTTATAACATTTGATGTAAATAAACGAAAGCATTTCATCGTAGAACAAACAAAACAGGTAAAAAATATTGTCTTGCCATATTGCAAATTTTAAAACATTTTAGGTGTTTTTTAGCTCTATAAAGTGGATGACGTTATATATATAAAGAATCGAACGTATCAGTTGGTAAGTTTAGACCATTTATGTACTCCATGAGATCGGGTGTCCTTTTTCCTGAAATTGGCGTCTTAATGCAATAAGCGACTAGGGACAAATCAATGTGATTGTAAAAAAAAATAATGCACCTTGAAGAATGTCAGCTTTTTTTCTTCTATTTAGGCCACTAGAGCCCATCTAAATGAGAATTGACAACGTTGAACTCTCGTATAATGGCCATTTCGTAAGGATGACTTGATAATTTTAACTCTAATTTTACTCCATGCGTTGCATATGTTGATGGTTGACTTGTTACAACCGATAGTCACATACCAATAAATAAAATGATTTTTAAATTCTTCTTAAACCAAAAAAATAAATTGATAAAAAAACAATTATATCTTACGAATTGCATTAACATAGAATAGCCAAGGACACGCCATTATGAAGATACTCGTAGATGAACATATCATAAATTAAAATAATTCAACACTTTTTATTAAAGTTAACTTATTACAGAAATGAACCAATGTTGTATCTTTATGAAATGAATCAGTGCAATAAACATGCACTCATTACTTCAAATGAATATCTGATTGACATTTCCAGACTAGAAGGGGCTGCGAATGTGAAATTCTTTCTTTGCAACACACAGTTCGGATAAAATTAACAATGAGTATCCTCAACACACGGACCGCTACTTTTTGAATAAGATCAACATCGACCCACCTTTCCATACTTAGATTGCTAATTTTAATCGTTCTATTCCCGAATGGCGACACCCAAGTGTAGCATTCTGTACAACACCGCAAGGAATCTCTCGAAAACGGATATTACATCCGGAAAGCATATTTAAGATTCCCACATTTTCTTCATGTTCTGTTCAGCGAGTCCGCCACACCTATTTGGACGAGTTCTCTCAAAACCATACCGCCAAAATAACTTTAGAACTACCCATGAAACTGGCCTGGACTAGTTGATTCTAAGACACCGTAGATCTCATCCGTTCTCAATACACTGTTTGAAATACAAGCTTATTACCTGTTGCGCAAATTATCACTACTAGCTTGATAATCTCGAATTCCAACCCGCTTGGATGTTTAGCCAGTAAAATACACGCCAAAGCAGGGATTTAAATCCATGAGAATCACCAAGGGTGATCAATTTTGGGGATTACTTACATTGCAGAAGCATACACCATTGGGAGTTGCACACACAGAGACGGAAAAATACCCACTAATAGCATCTGCCCAGGGAACTAAATCTAGATCTACCGCCGTAATGAAAAATGGTAGTGCAAGAGACCAATTAAGAAAACTTCGAACCTATAGTTTGAGCCAATAGTGAAATTTATCTTCTGCAATCCTTGATTGAGAAAATCACCCATTCAGGATGAAGTTTTGGATGACTGCTGCTCCAAAAGACTTGCCTCCAGTTTCTGTTGAATCTCTAGCAGAAAAAAACCTTCACACATTCAGTGGCGATTAGAAGTTTAATAAAACCACAACTATTGTTATTTTAGGTGGTACTCCTTTAAATCTGTAATGCTTTAGTCAGACGTTAAAAAATTAAAGCACACACAAGAAGTGGTATGAAAGGGCAATACAAAAATGCCCTGCGTTCGAATTAAGCAGACGTTAACAAGCACTGATTGTGAGCGATGGCACTGTCTCAAAGCTGGCTTGTTCTGTAACCACTAACCCATTCTTTCCTTCCTAAAATAACCAAAACCGAAGCAGGAGATGATAAGACGCATATGGTAATGTACCAAATCATTATTTTTGGACAGAAAAGTGGACATTCAAGCTCGGGACGTCACGCTCCACTAAAATTAAAAAAAAACATTGGTTTAGAGACTCATTTAAATTTGCATATTAGTTCAACAAAAACTTGGAGAGCACATTTCATGACGTGACAACGAATTAAAGTTAAGCAGTAGACAGTTCGGCAAATGGCAGCAACATCTCACTTTAAATTCGGTGTGGACGGGCATTCCGTGGTGACGGGTTTGTCGTAATACAGCGGAAAACAAGGCTCGTATTGCAATAAAATCACGCTTTCTATAGAAAGGTAAACATTGAAACCCTTAACACAAATTGAGCCGTATGCCTTGAAGCTCTGTCAACAAAGATTGACTGAGTTTTTTTACATCAGTAAGGTTGCATGCCAAAATAACAGAACTTTGAAACGATCACAAATGGTAGCATTTCAGTGAAAAAAAAAACTTTGTGATTCGTGTTTACATTGATGACCAGCATACCAACACTGAAAGTTTATGGAAGCGAACTACCATTTCAGAATCCAACTTCAAACTCTTGAGTCGATCGAGGAGTTTGTGAGCAGTGAAAGCCCCATTTCGTGTTTTCTCAACGACCTGCTGATACGGAGACACCGTGTGGGTTCCCATAAATACGAGACCCTGATTAAAAGTGAAGAAAGTCAAGCCAATTAACAATGACGTTTCAACTTTCAAACGAGTGAAAAAACGTTAAGAACTTAACTTATGGAAAGGATTATGATAAAATGACGACTTTCTCAAGAACGAGTAATCGGGAAGGCAAACTTGAAAAATAGAAGTAGTTTTAATTGGATTAAATTCGGTTTCCTCTGTGTATTATAGGGGGCAGGCGCGTTAAACCAAATCTATATTTTCCGATTCTGTAAATCGGGTGGTAAAATGTTAAAAAAAGGTATAACAAAGTGTAATGATGAATAAGCTATTCAAAAAAGTGGAATGAAAACCCGCCATATTTCCCACTTTCAAAGCCTCAGGCGCAATTACAAATTACAAAAAAAAAAAATACAAAGACCCTCAAAATCCTAGTACGCACCTTTTTAGAGTCTATCTTGGCATCCATTTCAGCATTTCGAATGAGATTGACAATCCAACTCTCTGCGTCTTCAACATTCATGTTGAGCTTTTCAGCCAACATTCTGTAATGCCGAAAAAAGCACATGTAATTAACTTGATTATAAGCCAGACGACCATTTGAATGACTAGGCACGGGCACTCGTGATACCATATGGGTTTTTTTGGTGTACAAGAGTTGACGGGGGCGGTTGAGTGGTTTATTGGTAGGCAATGCATTTGACAACTGTAGCCCTTCGAAATTTAAAGAAACCTATAGAAAGGACGTGCTGGAATTGACTAACGACTGTGAACGGCAACACATAAGACGGATAAAACCATCTGATATTGGAGTAAGACATCAATTTAAAGCCACCTGCTTACTTAATTCCTACGCAATTATGGATGCGACAGAACGCTTCAAACATGAGCAGCCGCGCATTTTCCATGAAGTCCTCATAGCAACCCGTCAAGAAGAAGTCATTTGGAATAACCTAAAAAGTAGAAAAGGCACACAATGCGCACTGAAATAAGTCAATAAAAAGTCCTTTTCAAAAACAGAAAACGGAGGTGGAATGGAATTGGTCGCAGGATACGACATAAATGGATCAATTGTAAGAAATACGCAAATTGACTGCATCAAAGAACTCATGGTGCAAGAATATTTGAACCACACATTTCTTAGAACGAGCAGTTATCGTTTTTCATCAGGTAAATTATGTGTAGTAATTGGGTAAAACGAAGCTGTGGTTTTATAAGTACGATATAGCAACTAAATTCGAGGTATGAAGAGATTAGTAAGGTAAATGAAAAGATTTCCATTAAATCAAAACCCTTGGCTCATGCTATAAACACCCATTTAAACATGAGAAAACTGTTAGCAGAGTGGGATTGCCGAATATGCTACTCCTCAAATGAAATTAGTTTTTACTGAATATTGATAGCGCTAAAACACGTGTACGGCTAAAAATACAACCCACCGTTTCACAGATCTTGAGTTGCTGCTGAGCCCCATCAAAATCGAACTTAACGTAGAGGCACTCCAAGAACTCTGTAATGGGGTCCTGGTAAATATAGGATTCTTGCTGAATCAAGTGTACAACGTCACGAAGCTGAGTCTTTTTTCTCTTATCAGTGCTGATTACTACACAGACAGCTAGGTAGCGCAGAAGATGTGGTGTCAGTGTTTGAATAGCGTTCAAATGGCTTGAGAAGAAAAGGAAACGGAATAATAGCTTATGTAACTCTGATACACAATGAATAATGCTGGAGACTGGATAGCAGCTTCGACACCAAAAGAACAACAGGAGTAGGAGATATTCAGACCTTGAAAATGCTTTATTGGGAAAGTCAGTTAAAAGCAATTGCAACAAAATCCACAACTAACGTGACGCATGTTACCCTGCTTGATCTTACATATTTGGATAAGATTGATTAAAAGTTTGTCAGAGTATTAAAGCTAAGAAAACGTACTTACTTGGGATTATTTAAAAAGAAATCAATTAACTTTTCTTTTCCCTGGATGTGATTGAAGAACACGAATAGAGACCAGTGCAAAAGCCACGTTCGTTGCTGCAGTTGGAATAGGTATGTTTCTGCAGAAGGGCGAAACTGCAAGCATAAAGAAATCGAGTTTAGCGAAATAGCTAACATAAGCTTTCCTCTCCAGACAACTAAATGAACGAAATCAGGAAAGTAGAAATGTTTCACTTGCCCGATCATCACTCTGGCAATCGATGGCGTCTTTAAGTTTTTCAACGTCATCAAGGGCCTCGTCCCAATTTTGGACAAGGATTTCCGCAGCTAATCGCCCCCAACAAGCATGGAGATGTCTCTTGTCTGATGGACTAACAAGCTGGCGGATAATTCGAAGGTAATCAGAAGCCGTATCATACAGGCCGCTGTCGTAAAATACCTGATCGCAAAATAATATTAACGTAAGCTACAGGAAATACTATACAACAAATATAATTATAGAAGGAAGTGATAAGTTATAACGTCTGGATGACTTTTAAAATTAGATCGTAATAATTTAATCATGTGCTATCTTAAGAAATACACAACAGTCCACACGAACAGACATTAAGTAGATTGTAATGCCTTACAAAGCACGCAAGAACAATGGTAAAATTTGGTTTCTCAGTACAAAAGTTTAAACTAGGAACAAATGATAATTCCAAACACGGTGAAATGCTTACTTGGGCGGCTTCGAACATGTCGTCAAGCATTTCAGGCTTGAACCCATACTTGGCTTCAAGGTTTTGAAAAAGTTCTTTGGCAATTTTACACTGCACCATCTCTTTCATTGTTTCTGTACTAAAAATTTTATCAATAGGGGCCATCTTCTCCTCCATTACGCGTATGCGATCAAGAGTTTCTTGACGTTTTTGAATAAGCTCTGCAAATCATGGCTACAACTAGGCAGTTACCCTCAGGCACATCACTGACATGGTGAAGTGATTGATATGTAAAGCATGTAAAGTCCACCATTGATGTTTTCATGAGGAGTTCAAGTTTGCTTCTCAAAATTGAATCACTGTCATAAAGCTATTAATATTTCGTAATAAAAAAGACAAAAAACCAACATATTTCACAGAAAGATATTCAAGCAGAGGGACCACAAGATGTCTGTCCAAATACTGACTAATAGTTTTCGTAAGATCGTACTCAGCCATCCTCAAAACAAACGTGAAGCAATCTCAACTAATCCGCTTGAGCAAGCCATCGTTTAAAAGTTCACAGTGATATATGCATAAATCAAACCCTATAAAGAATAGATGTGTAAAATGTCATGCAATCCAATTGTTTAACTAATAACAAAATTCCTTGCTAAGTAAAGTGAATGCATGTATACGTAGATACTTGCCACTCAAGGGGTAAATGACGGCTTCATATATTTAAAGGGACATGTCCCTAACCGTTATTATTTGTTGATGCAAAAATTAAAAAAATCTTAGTTACTAAAAGACATTATTTCAAACTCCTTTAAGTCAGTTGAAAAAATAATACATTGAAGACGCATCTCAAATTCCAACTAAAACTTGGGTTTCACGAAAATTTTATGGAAGGTGTTCAGTCAACAACAATTTGATAAAAAATGAAATAGGATGCAGTCTTTGTCACAAAACACAATCAGTACTTTGGATTGTCTTTCTTCATACAATTTGAAATATCTCGTCTTAAAAATATGGAAGCCTGAGATATGCAATTAGCCTTACCAAAGTGTTAAGAACACATGCTAAGTGATCCCTTTCCTTTTCAAAGCAATTTTGAGAAAATTTCAGAACATTGTATAAATATGTAATTCAAGATTCTCCTAATTAGTTCTGAACCATATAAAAATCGAACAATTTGCCTGGAGAATACCATCAACCATGTTTAGCGCTATAATTTATTTTTAAAATTAAAGTAAGAGCTATTCCTGCTAAGTTAACGACTTAACGTTTATCTACTTGGGAGAAAGGCCAAACAAAACACGTTGCAAAAACCCGCTATATTTTTTTCAAGAAGATGAAGAGGCCTGAAATATTTTCCCTTCATAGATCTGCTTGACGGCCTTTTTTAGGTGGTTGGGTATCCAATTCCCCTGTTTGGTCAGACATTTAACTAGATTCTGCACATACAAGCAGCACCAATTTCAGAAATGCAAGGCAACAGGCCACAAGGTTGGGTACTATAAAACCCTTTCGTCCACTTCCAAAAGAAGTAAAAGTCAAGGCCCAGTCCAATCATCCCACGGGCCACCTTGCATAACAATGTACAAAAATATATTACCGTTCCGATCATTTTTACATAAAAAAATCATGCAATCACCACACACACAGGAGCTCAAGGATTGTAAGTTGTGGACAACAAACTCCGGCCTCCATAAGTGAAATCTGATTCGCCACTTGAGATTTGAACAGCCGTGTGCGTACGTAACTACTGACCGTGACATGACCCACGGATTGAGGAAGCGATGGGACTTCATTATAGGAAGGTCGAATTTGACGTGGTGGAGGGCCGCGACACATGTTTAAAGTATCTTAGCCATCACCAACGGTAGTACAACAAGAACAACTGACAGGGGCCATCTAACAGTGGAAAGACCATCACCTCCAAGACTGTGTAGTCAAAGAGGGCGACGACGAATACTTACGCAGATCGACCCAAAGAAGAAGTGCGTTTAACTTCTTTAAGAAAGAGCGTTGTTGGGGACTTATTTTGTATCATTACGACCATACCTTGCAAGATTTCGATAATCTTGTTTTTTTATTGTCATATTTTTTTGCATTCATGTCGGCCGTCACTTCCCATTGGCTCATTCATCGTTATGAGTATTATTCCTTCAAATTGTCCTTATGGTTGCCCACGGCAGATATGGGTGGCGTATCTGAATGTGCACTTGATCTTTGGCTGAGACAATAAAAGGCTATCTGTACAAGGTCTAACCTTCGTTTGGCGAGACTGCTTTGTCTCTGCATTAATATGGGGAAAGTCGTTGATCATGCAGACATTGGGTTCAATTATCAGCGCTTCTGGCACTGCATCTTTTGAGCCGGTAAACCGTCACTAGCTTTTTGCTTTCAACCTAATTATCCCTGATATAGTTTAGGTTGCCTTCTTGAAATCTCGGTCAATGCAGTGGAATTATTGCTCTATAAATGGAATTGGATTACGTTAGTTCAAATAGAGAAATTATGCAACACCGGCCTGATAGGTAATTTATTTACCTAACCTTTTTATTCTAAGCCTTCAAACTAAATTTAAAAAAATTATCTCCAAGGCACTAAACAGATGTAAATACTACTTGCATTCTCTATTTAAAACTGGTCTTGTGGAAATCATGGAAACGGTAATGAATTTGTACACTTCTAGAATGCCGTACAAGGGCGCAAACATATTATATCCCTCCAAACTTTGCTGATCCTGCGCCTTTGTGCACTTAAATGTTCTACGTTGAAGACAAGCAGCCATGCTGAGACAGTGATTGGTAAGGAGCACTGAATAATGAGCGGCGCAAACGGTATAGTGCACTCGGATGAACGGCACCTGAAAGACGGCTCTTGCTTGGGATTAGACAATAAATTCTGTTTTTTGAACTTGTGTTCTTCCTTCGGGTATTCTACACTCAACCATACATATGTTTTGATGGACACATCTATCGTGATTGGTTCAGTGCACCTTATAGTCTCACCGAGGTTCAATATAAATGCCAAAAAGTTGTTTATTTTTCTTTTGAACATGAATAGCTAATGGATATACAGGAGTACGTCTAGGTTAAGGGCTTCATTTGCAGGGCCAGAAAACCAACGGTGGGCTTCCCCCGTTACCAGACCTTGGTATCTTATAAATGGATACTCTACTTTTCTTTAATTACTTATGCTTAATTCAGTCTCTATTTCAACATTTTTGACTTATCGAGTCCAGCTCATTTTCATCAATCTTAGTTGATAGTTAGATGTTCCATTAAAAACTTAATCTGCTCACATCAGATCTGTAAAATGGGAAGCTCACCAAAAGTATTTATAGCAGTATGGCATTTGATTTTTACATTGATAGCCACAAACGATTTTAAGTAACATCACACCAGACTAATTAAAACTCGCCATCTCATTCGCAGATTTACCTCCAAATGTACTCTGACCAAAACCCATGACATTTATAACATTATTCTGATCTACCACCGTAAATTTACAAATCGGCGTCTTTCAAAAAGCATGTTTTTTTGAATTTTTACACCCCAATGGCGTGTTTTTACATTGATATGTCATTCCATTTGTTATTTTTGCATATTATTGTTATTACCATTCATTATTAATTTTTTTAGCGTAATATCGATACGTGTTTACCGCTAGGGTAACGCATTCGCGTTAGTTGCCGTGGTTATCTTACCTTAGGAATCAAAGTTTTATTACGAAGTATTGCTTACACTTCCCTCATATAAGCACAAGGTAAAGTTTCCCTCGTAAAAAGTTTCTCACCTATGCACCTACCTCAAAAGATTGGTGATGTAGCGTGCCTCCGCAAATTAATGCGATGGAAATAATAGTCTGCAACAGTTACTAATGTACAAAATTATGACGGAAGGCCAATCCAATAGTTAGGCTCTCCCATTTTATAACTTGTGCAACCCGAACGCTAACTTTTTTGCAGTCCTAAAAGAGTCTCGGTTTCGAAACAGATGACAAATGATGCGATTGATTACATAAACCAAGACGCTTACTCGGATCGAACAGAGGGTGAAAATTATAGCAAAAAACACGACAAGGTGCTGCAAAGGAAGGTCTTGTTCTGTTGCATCAAATCAGATGCTCCAAAATTTATTAAGTATAGAATCAGACAAAACACATTATTGTTAAAAAAATGAGGATCTAATGTTAACCATGGCCATGGTAAGTTAGCGCAGCCAATGTATTGGTGGGTTGTATCGAATATCTACTGCTAAAAAGTATCTTAACCCTTGACAAATCTCCATAAAACCGCATATTATTACAAACACTCCTCTTAGTTCGACTCGTAGGGACCGACAGAATCTACAAAACCCAATGTTTACAGTCAAACGGCGACTCACTGCAGTATCTCGAAGAAGACAACGGCTCTATATTTACTTATACCATAAGAGTTCATAGATTAAAGGGTTTTTGGGATTATGTGCTTAGTAAAAACAAACTATGAACTAATAAACGAACAATGAAGGTAAATTAAAGAAGAAAAGCCATGTTGGTAAATTATTATGACTTAATTCAAATCGAATTCTCAAGAAATTTCGCACATTCACAAGTCGCAAAGTTAAGACCCTAGACGTCCTACTCAATTCGCATTTGGCGAAAAGTATTTGTTCCCATAATTCTACTAAACATCAGGAGAATAATTCTGGTTTGGGATTCTTTCAGAGGTGAATTCATAGCAAAAAATTTAAAATATGCCTTGATATTTGAAATAAATATACTTGTAGGCGAACTTAATCAGAAAAGAAGTTTACCGAAATACCAAATAACTGGCTGTTCATGGCGGCGTTACGAAGCACTCGACTGATTGGCTTAGCATAAAATATGTTGGCCTTCACACCAGAAGAGAAGGATTGAAGCCTTTGGTTCTCAGCCAGGTTAAAATAAACATGGTTGTTTATTTTTTTTATAAATTCGTTCACATATCATCGCTGAAATTTGAGAAATAGCCTACCCCATTTACCCCAAATCATCGAATGTGAAAGTATACTTTTAAATTCTCTCCAGTAGGAAGTGCAAGAACGCGGAAACCGACACGCAAACTCCTACTGCTCAACTGAGGAACCTGACACTGACAAAAGTAATGAAACTTCTTAATGGCTAGACCCTTTGAAAAGAGATTCACGTAGCACTTTTGATGGTATTTCCTAAAAGGCAAAACCACAATTCAAAAACACACCGCAAATTTTGTATTGAACAGTCATATTAAAAACTAAGGTACACCTTTACCACGAGGTTAGCTATTCAGCAAAAGTTGCAGTGCTTGGCGCATAGCCTTAAGGCGACCTCAGGATTCGTGGAACAGCGCCCACTTAGCTTGTACTCTTCACAAGCCTTCCAGCCGAGTAGATCGGTGCAGCAGCCTAAAAATTCACGACAGGGGAAGCTGATAGGAAGGGTAAAGAAACCGATTAAATAGAGGTGGTAAGAAGAACACAAAATTTTGACTTACTGCTCCGATTATCACCAGTCGAAATACACGGCTCTTTGGTTGACACAACTCGTTTAATGCAGGCTGACACTGGGATTCTCCGATTTTCGTCGGCATATTTGCCAGTTAATGGTCGAGTGAAAAAGGCCACCGTCTTGAGTTGCCAGCCGTTTTCACATTGCGAAAAGCTGATGCGTCGTTCTGGGCATCCTAAGCAAGCGAAGAATCGGTAGGAGCTGAAAAAGACATTTCAACAAGTAGGTGAATGCCAAATGACATTTCAGATGCAAGCACTGACGGGTTCGGTTTTTGATCAGTCAGTTTTCCACCACTAACTTTTCTTCATAATTACAGTATTTATTAGACATAAATAGCCATTTCCTTTCACCAGGTTAAAAATTTCTGAAGTCCACCTTAGTATCTGTTGTGGAAGCGACTGGTGAAAGAGAATACGACATCATCTTTCTCTCTAACACTTTATACGACTGATATATACTCAATAAAAATAGTCACTGGGGCTAATTTGGTTCCACAATTCGAGAGTGATATGAGAAATTAGTAACGGCTCAACATACAGACTGAGAGGTACATTGGTTCAGTTGTCAGTCTCATTACGCAGTTGTTCTCTCCACTTTGAATGAAAACACAGTTTCAACGCTATTTTAAAAACCAACGGAAAATTTTTTCGAAGTAGAATCAAAATGAGTTAGGTGGATTGAATTTCACACAAAGCTCTTGAGATCTTTGTGCATAAAACTAGTGGAGTACATATTTCACTGGCATGACCATGTCCTAAAAAGTAAGACAGACTTAAAAGAGGAGATAATGTTCTGGAGGAAGGATCCTAAAAGTGCACTACGAAGATATGTTGTGAATCGCACTGATTCACACTCGCTAATCCGGTCACTCCAGCCTCCGACACGGTCCTCCTTTTCGCTGCATATCGCCAGCCGCGCGGGTCCTCAACTCCCTCCTCATTCACAGGGATATTTATCTTGGATAATCCTCACACCAAGGTTCGATGTTAGTGCATGCATGACTCACACACACGCGCAAACTCCACACACGACAACGACGCAAACGTGGTTGGGCTCTGAAGTAAATGGTTATGGCCACATCATCTTCCATCTATTCTTCATCGCGAATAGCAAAGAAGCGTAACCGAACCATAGTCAATTCAGTGGCCCCGGGCGTAATTCAAGACCACATGCTGGAGCCCACAACAATTGGTGACCCGAACTTGATGAAAGGTCCTCCAAATTTCACAACAAATAAGTTTGAGCACTTAAAGAACGTATGGGTCTACATTTACATTAAACATAGTAAGACAACGCAGCTTTGGCTCGAAGTCGAACTCTTCTATATTGGGAAGAGTGTATGGTCTAATTAAGCACTATTCGCCTGTAACCTTCAAGACAATAGGCCGGTTCATTAAGAACAGATAACTAAAAAAATCTGTTCCACGGAATTTATTCTGAGCAATTAATAAAAAACGGATAATGTTCTAATAATCAATTACGGTTATAACGTCTTTGAAACCGGAATCTCTTTGTTGCTGACGAAGCTCAATAAGCAGACTATCCCAGCTCAAAACTGCGAACTTTACCTCATAACAGCATCTGCCAAAAGATTGTGAATATGCAAAGGTTCTTCCTTTTGTAAAAGGACTGTTATTCCCTGTTCATACTATAGGTATATGCACTAGCGGCGAAACCAATGACATGAAGAGTCAGACTCACCTCTTAACTACGCAACATCCACTTTCATTGACAAGATATTCAGTGCGCACCGCGAGACGATGCTTCCCACTGGGCAGTTTCTTACACTCTGAAACTCCTTTGCGTTCAATTCCGTAGCCTCCAGCAAAGGTACAGCCAGCACAACTAAGGGATTTCTTTTCTAACTTCAACTTGCATCTTGTGGGATGGCTTGAATTTAAAAGAGGACTCACTCGAATGACAGCCAGCGTCTCTGTTCTTCGATCACATGGCTGTATGAGCTCGTATGGTTGCGATGGACAGACTGTTAAATACAAATGTTAGAGGAGCTTTTGTTTATGTAATTTCACAACTGCAAAACTGCTATTCCACCTTACCTTCACATGGTACAACATGAACAACTTTCGTAGCCGTACAGCGTCCATGATAAAGATTGCGGGAGTGAATGATTTTCACGACCGTCATTCTTCCACTGGGCAAGCACTTCCCAAAGTATCGGTAGTTTCTTTTACAGATACACGTTCCACAAGTACCACCACAGACCTAAACAAGGCAGAAAGTAGTTAGATTGAATAGTCCTAGAATGTCTCAGTTGGCACAAGTGCTAGAAAGCAGGTATGTACTCGACTAGAACAAACACCAATTATAATGTATTAATAATGACTTGTTTTAGTGATGTGAACGCCTGAAAACAATGCTTTCGGCGACACACTGGATAAGAGTTGTAGGTTGTGTGGACACTTCACGTCAAAAGAATAACTGGTTTATCTGGATGTCGACGATTTTTGAAAAGAAGTAAGCAAAGATATACTTCTACCGTTAAAACACTGTGCGCCCTGTTCTCTATCTGCAAAGACAACGTCTAACACAAATAAACAAGTGATAGGCAAACTTTAATTTCTCATGTTAAAAACAATCTCTTGTTCTTTTAGCGCTTGACAATTTGTTTTTGATATAAATGATTCTTCTTTGCTGCTTTCAGAGAAATTGATAGATTGATCAGTCAAGTAGTCCGTCGTCGAGGGGGGAGCCGCGGAGTTTTGCTTTTTCTTTTAGCAGACTGAGTACCAGATGCATTTAGAAGTTCCAAGGAGAACATGTCAACATCTTATTCTACAGTAATTATGGTGGATTTCCGTGTAGAATCGAAAATCCCCGATTCAAGTAACTGAATACTTCTTGATTTCCTTGCGTGGAACGCGTTTTTCAACATCCTAGGGGATTTTTCATTGAAACGTAACATCTCTCCAGTAGATTTGTTAAAATATTTTTAATAATTCCTTACATCGGTCATAATTGCCTTAATTTAACGTGCAGAACAAATGTGGGCAACAACTTTACGATTGATAATTGACAGGCGCTAAGTTGTTGATTTTCGTGGATATCAAGCACGAACGACTCCAACAACCCGACGGTTTTCAATGCATGAACCTAGTGATTTGAAGCGGTGGATGACAATGAAACCACTTTCTTTGGTTGTCAGCCCTGAATTATTCTTCTCAGCCGTTCTTGGGACACAATTTCCTATCCGAAACACAGACACAAAAAACAAAATTCCAACGAGAAATTCAGATGGACTGTCACCTGTGAGACTCGGTCACATAAATTGCCTCGACTAACCGCAGTCGCCTGTCGAGTAATCGAGCATTCGATCGGCTAACTAGTTTGTGGTGCACTTAAGGATAAGCGTGCATTGACGGCTCGGTTCCTGACGATGCAGTAGGCATGCTAAGACTTGGGGCGGTGGTATTATAATGAAAGCAGTCTAATGCTAGGTGTATTAGCGTGAACAATATTTTTCGCTGATTTACGAACTTACCGCTCTAAATGACTTCTGTTTGCAAGCACCCGTTTTAGCCACCTCTTCACACCAGTCTGTGGGTTTCAAGTCGACGCAGGGGCCCACAGACGCAGAGTCTGTGGAGTTTGTGGTCGCATTAACGTCTTTTGCTTTTGTAGAAGGCTGTGGCTTTTTGGGAGGCTCACAGGTCAGCAGGCCCTGCCAGTTTATGTGAATGCTTTCAGCCTTTTTTACGCAGTGCATCCGACCAACCAAATGCCCTTTTCCTGCTGAGTGAATGCTACGCGATAGAGGGTGCTCCGATTTCAGGTTCTCGCATGTACAATTGGAGAGGTAGTTCAAGGTCGGCAGTGGTGTCGCTAAATTATGAGATAATGAATTTTTGGATGGTTTGGTGAAATGCAACACAAAGGGCCTAATTTATGCACTTTTCGCCCCACGTTTAGAGAAAGCAAGGTCAACGAAGTAAAAATTTTTGTTCGTGTCTCTTTTTTTCAAATACGTCAATCAATTAATGCCCGACATTCGAATTCCACGTAAAAACCAAATTATCTAAATTCACGCTCACCTCGACCCATGGGAGTTTGCGTTTCCAAATCCAACAATTTAAATAGAGTACTTAATGTTACTTTGAGGAAACCGGTGATTAAATTACATAATTCAAATATTTAATACAGCGAGCGGCGCCTTTACAAGTTGCGTTCCACATTTTCATGAAATTTTGCATGAAATCTGTGGATTATAATGACAATTTAAAGACTGGATTTTGTCACATCGACTTTCACGAACAGCCTCAATCAGGGACAATCGGATTAAAATCCTGAGTTATATTAGACAGCTGAATGTAAAATGCAACACGGTTAACACACTAGGAGGTTCTTTTTAAAGCTATCTTACGCTGATTGAACACCCGCCGGAAGTGAATGCAGCGTTTCGATTTCATTCGTAGAAGATCCTTCGCAGTTGCACCGATTTGCAATTCATTCACGTTTAGACGGCGCTGGAGAGTCGGACGATCAACCTTGCTCAGATGACAGGATCCATGCATCTCATCGCTTAGAGGAACGTAGAAATCGAATCCCAAACATCGAGGATCACTGGTGCAGATTCGCTTGCAACGATTTAGGCCAGAGTTTTTCAGGGTTTTGAGATGATATTTTTTGCCATAACGCAAATCTGTCACTAGACAGTTGTTGGCTTCAGCTTCCTGCATCGTGAATTCTGTTTGATTGATTGGGAAGTCTGTTAATAATAAAAAAATATAAAATGGTAAAGTCGATAGCGTTTAATGGAGTTTTCGACATTGAGTATAGCAGATTAATAATTGGTGCAGCGTAAAATTACCTTGACAAACGTGACATGTCTTACGGCACAATTCGTCTCTGACACGACCTTGTTCATCGCACTTTGAATTTGGACCCTTATCCAATTCAATGCATTCCTGTGTAGGCAGAAGATCTACACATTCGATAAAGTTTATCACACGCCGTCCAGGTCGTTTAGTTCGTCGATGAGGCTTTTCTGGTTTATTTTGAGCCTGCTCGACAGTTCCGGGTTCCATCGGCTGTTGAACGTGTTTTAGCTTTTCTGATGGATCCGGCTGTTTCTTGGGCATTGCCATTCTTGGCTCTAAAACCGGAGACTCTCCTGGTGTTTTGCTTCTTCCAGTCTCCTCTTGGCTTGGCACCTTCAATGGCTTATATCTGCGTAGCCGATGCTTTGCAGCATTCAACGGTGAAGACTTGTGGAAATTGGATTTTCCTCCCATATCAGCATCTGGTTTTGGACCTTGTGGTTCGTATTCTTTGACCTTGCTTTCATTTAGCCGTTCATAAATCACTGGCAAGCCTAGACGTGCAAGTTTTTCACGAAGTCGCTTGAAGTCCAGGGAACTCTCGTTTGTGGGTAATTCAGGTTGGGACTTGCCTTCTGGTTTTCGTGGAAGCAGTTCTTTCCTGTCCATGGTAATTTCAAGGCAACGGAGTTTGCGGCTGTGACTTGTGGTCACGCACTCACAATCTTTGAGACTTACTAGTTCTATTGTCACGGTCATCTCCCCGTTGGAACAATTTGAATAGTGTACTTGTGGAAGCGGACACTCTAAAAATCGAAAGATTCAATTTTTATCATTTATGACACAAAAAAACGTAACGGCGCATCTAGGCAACTTACTGATGGGATGTTTCTGAACTTTCATATCTACTTTACACACAGGACCATGGGAAGTACGAACGAGTCTTTCGCGGATATGATAGACTACAAGAACAGCTCCCATGTCTTTGGAATTTTTCGAGCACCTCTTTTGAGTCCAAATTTTCCGTCGACACCCACACAGTTCACTGGTGGCATTAATTGGCAGTTGCTTGCACGTACAACCCTCACGCTTCCAGGTACGAGTCTCAAGTTTTTGGAAGGCCCGCTTTTCGTCGTCGTCATAGAGACAAGGTCCACGAGTAATTGCAGCATCGGGACATACTATAACAGTAAAAGAGACTTCACAAATGTCTTAGAATAACCACAAAGCAAAACGAGATTCCCGTATGGTGTTTTCCACACACCTGTAAAACGGTCACCTATTGTTCTGTTCCGCATATTCTAATGAGCTGAGGTAGGTATAATAGTTTTGATCTATCCTCCTTTATAAGATCAGTTTGCAAACAAATGCTTTTTCGTGGGTCTGAATTCTAAGAAGTTCAATTAAGTCAAAACCACCAACTTTCTTTCCAAATGCTGAGTGACAATTGGTTGACAGTGTAGATATCTTCTTAACACTAAAATAAATATAATTAATACCACATTCTCGCCCGTTGAAGAAGGCAAGCAACTAGCTTCGGGGTCAGATTCCACCTTTTGCCACCACCAAATGTTCTACAATTAGGACTACATTATGGATTTAAAGCCACAAATTCGGTTGAGCTTGGAATTACGTCTCCAATAGGTGATCACACGAGTGCCACAGAGTTCATCTTAAAAAGTCCCGCAATGCTTCTCAAAAATTACCCGGCCTAACACAAATGTGATCAGAAAATCTGCCTAAAACCAATATTTATGCGACTAAACTTACAGCAGGCACCATATTTTTATACACTTGTTCTTTTATGCCGATATCTTTTTCAAAAAAGCTCACCATTCGAAAGCTGTCTGAATGGGGTTCAAACAATGTTGCTCTCTGTGACCCTATCCTAACCCCTCATTGGTTTCCATACGGCTATTCCTTACCCTCTACGGGAACGCTGTATATGCTCCAATGCATGCATGACAGTGGCTAGTAACACGCTGGAGGTGGATAAACGGTCACGTCGTGGTTTCACCACCCCCGTTCTTTGGTATCACCGATGTTAGCGAAACATATCGCTGTAAGGAAGCTACTCACTGCTACTTATGTTCTTCTTGGCTAGGTCTGTCCTTATAAACTGATCTTTAAGAGCATTGAAAAATAACACGACAGCGTATGAAAATCCCGATGCACAGTTTCAGATATAGTGAGGGGTTTGTGTGGCATTAAATAAACATCGCTGACACCATGCACAAAAGAATAATTGTTGATTGAATTACATAATCATGCCCTAGATTTCAGCATAGTGCAATCACCGAACCATTACAACATTTGAAGTAGAAAGACCTATTTGCTTACCCGTTTGTGAGATCGTCCTGCCAGAGAAAACGGATCTACAACTAGCCTGATTGAGTTCATTGAAACGCTTTCCGATAGCATCAGGGCCATTGTAGGTTTGATTGGCAGCAGCCACAGAGAGCACGTAATTTTGCTTATAGACAATAAGAATTCCCTGTTCGTCGTGACATTCCTGCACCACCTGCTTCTCAATTTCTCGGCACCCACAGGCTTCGAATTCCCATCGACGGATTGGCTGACATTGGCAGTCATCGAGGCGCCATGATACGCTTTCCACACGACTAACCAAGAGATTCGGATCGGATATATGATTGCTTTCAATCAAGTGATTAGTGTCATTTCCAATATGGCCGCACTCCGACTTAAACAGTGCCGATTTCGTCGGACAATCTAGTAAAAAATGGTAATGTTACAGAAAAAGATTCCCCCCTGGAGATTTGGGTAAATTTTACTCACCGATGGGCTCATAACTTCGGACAGTCTTTGTCACACAGGACCGCTTGTCTTCGGCATAGTAAACAGAGATTTCACTTGTGACCCTTGTATCCCGATTAATACACTTGTCCTCCTGCCGCGTATTCCTCGGAGCAAGGCAACCTGATAAAGGTAAATATCCTAAGCCACACTGCAGTATGTTGCGTCAGCTTGCGGTAATTTTAACTATACTTTGGGCAAATTAAAAAAAAACGTTTCTAAAATTTAAGTGCTGTGTGCTCTAGTCTAACGAGAAAGGTTATGCAAGAGATTCTAAAGTACATGCAAAACGTTTTTCAGGAATACGAATAAACAGCTCTTCATTTAGTCATGAATATGGTAATAAGAATATCCAGGAGCACACCTAATGGCTAGTGGAGCAAGAATGCTGCATTTGTTCTAGAATCACCTATGGCCATACTATTGACTGCAGAACCAAATGAAGTCGTCTAGGTGAGGGTCTAGGATCTAAAAATGGTCGTACTTTTATCAAGTCACCCAAATTAATGGAAGCATATACTGGATTGAGGTAAGACAGTCTCACATTCCTACTGGTTGTTAGAATATGTGACCGAAAATCAAGGATTATGAATTAAAAACATTTAGAAGCTAGCATTTGGGGCCAATTGAAAAGGATTATGTTGAAGTGAGTGGACGAAGGTATTTGCTCCACTTGTCGTGTGTCGTCAAATGTCCCCTTAAATCGGTCTAGATGATAGTCTCCACACTGAAAACACAGACTTGTGCCTGACTTGTTCTGACTTCCAAACATATACAGAGACAATCCGAAGCTATCGATCTGCAGGGCAAACCAGGGAAAATTACTCCAATGATGTAAAAAGGTTTTATGTGCTCATTGGCCAACTGAACCTGAAAGGCAAGCTATTTGGTTGCATATCTAAGTATACTATCTACTTAACCAGATTTCGGATAGTGTTGGCTGCAACAACAGATAAATCGATCACGTTGGAGAACTTACAGCAGGGTTCAAATGAGGTCAAGCGCTGTTTCTTGCATTTACATTGTTCCGGTTTCTCTCTCAGATATATCACACGCCTCTTGCAAGTCAGTGGATCACACTGGTCAGTCACCGTTTTCGGTTCAGAACAAGCTAAGGAAGAAATTCAGCGATTTCATAATTTGGTTTCACAGGTGCTTTGATATGATGTCCCTAAGCTGAAAGTGCTCATAAAATTACGCTTGAACCGGATCAAATTGTTGCATGGATTTGATCGTGTGCATTCTACTGACCCATCCAATGAAATTCTTCTGCTAGAGTTTGTGCATCACGAAGCCCCGATTGATAATATTAAACCTTGAAGGTAATGGGTACGAGTTTTGTTGCGGTTCAAGCAAAAGTAGAAGTGTGACGTAAAGAGTAAAAATGTGACAACACACCAATACGTTAAACTCAATATGAGGATATACCATATTGTTATTCTATTCATGAAAATGGACTTAATGTAGGTGTAATGTAATGCAAAAAAATCTGATGCCTGTGTTCGTGTCTGGTCCTTTCATGGAGTGTAATCACATGATCTGTGAACAGTTTTCACTACCAATGAATCCAATGCCTTCTGGTTTGACTGCCTGGAACTGAGGCTGCATCCCATTAATTGATTGTTGTCGGCCAAACTTTACTCACTGCCCTTTCTCAAAAAGCAACATTGTTGCGCCAGTGATGAAGTTGACGTGCTTTCACCTCCGGCCTTGTAATTAATCATTGAGTTCCGAACATTGCCACTCTTTGCAACACTTTCCATTCCTACTGAATTATGGCGAAATCAAGCTAAATCATCATTTACATTAATTGAAGAGTCAGTTATTGACATCTTAAAATGAATAACGGAGGTGGTGACTCAAGAATCAAGATCTACGAGGAATCAGGCACCTAGTAAGTAGTACTTACAAATAGTTTTCTTAAGAACCTTCTCTTCCTCCTTGCATTGGCCATCAACGCTGAGGACCTCTTTTCTCGTAATGAGACTCACTATGTTGTCGCCTATACATTGTTTTTCTTCTCTGGTTTTGGCATCGCAGAGGCACCGTTTCGTGACCTCCTGTCGGGTCACCTAATGTAAGATAAGTTTGTTGATTTCAACATCTGCGTGAGGATATCCTCGATAGCAAATGTAGATGACAAGGATATGAATTTTAAAATGTTGTCATGCTTTGCAAGGTTATTACACTGATCACGAAGCCCCAATTGTAAACGCACTGTACTGGTGGCTAGTAACTACACACTTGGAAACTTGCCAAGAGTTTGTGCAAATATATTAGAGCTTAAAAGCTGCCGACAAACTGTTATTAAAGCTTGGTAACGGAAATACTTCTAAGAGTGACTTAACTGTATACTGCTTGACTTCATTAAATGTGTGTGCAGCAAAATTTCAATCTCTTCTAACATACTTTACATTCACAATTTTCTACGGTCCTCTTGACAGTGACGTCCGTTCTAACTCCCTCCGAAGAGCAGGTACCTTGATGGACTTCCTCTGACGGGCAGCCTACAAGAAAACGATGTGAGATGTTCATTTTAATACTCATCCATGTATCTGAATTGGCATATTAAACTACATTAAGTTGAGGCAGCAGTATCGCTACCATAATTAAGAGTCGTTTAACTTTTTGGAATCTTAGCCTGGCACAGAAGGGAACCGGAGTATCTAGGAAAAGGGTCAGGCACCAATTTGATCAACATGCAATGCACGCTTTCAGTAGTCGCTTTAACCTTTGAAAATTGTATAGATTTACCTCTTAAGAGCTCTCCAGTTAGATCTTGTTCAATTTTATAGTGCTGACACACAGAAACGCCTGTTTTACTTGTCTTAAGTTTCCAAAGCTCCTTGATAGCAATGAGGCTTCCGTTGACACACTTTTTCTCCTCTCTTGGAGACTCGAGACAGCCTGTTGGGACAAAATACGCAAATATTTGGTCGTTCAAAAAAGTTGGTGGGTTTAAAAACAGCTACCTTGGTTGGCGACTTACAGCAACGATAAGGCCGTCTTTTAGAGAAGCCAACACATTTCCCCAGATCGGTATTGTACTTGAAGGAACGCTCGTAGATGAGACCAAGACAACCTGTATCTCGGGAACAAGTGCTCCGAGACTGGGTGTTCTCCGGGCAGGCTAGAAAAAGCACAAATTTCACTTTTTTCGCTTTAAGCATTGTAAAAGAATACGAATGAGATAGCAAATCATTTCGTACACTTTAATAGCATCGGCTTTGGTTAGGAGCTCTTGAACCTTGCTGGTTTTAAAGCCGTTTAAACGTTTCTGATCACCGATAAACTAAGTTAGCTGCAGTAGAATTAAACCCATAAGGTGGAATCGACATGGATGGAATATATACGATGATTGTGTAAAACATCCTATTAAAATCCCTAAAATGGTATAAAAAAGACGAAAATGCACACAGACAGCACGGTGCTTATGAACAAAGGCTTGGGTAAACTATGAACTCACATTTGATGCAAAGAGACTTTATCAGCCAGTCGGAGAGAGTTTCAACTTTTCGCTCTACAGAAAAGGCCACGAAGTGGCCAATTCGTGGCCTTGACGTGAGGCTTTGTAGGAACGCCTGTCCTCGGGCATCGGCACCCACTCCGACAGCATAAACCTGAACTCCCGCGCCAGCAAGTTCAGCGGCAATGCTACTGGCATCGGCTGATTTGTCATTCACACCATCACTAATTATGTAGATAAATGAAAGGATTCCCGCGCGCACCCTTGGCAGCACCTAATAAAAAGCACACAAATAAGTGGATATTTCGGTATTATTTCGATCTAATCGTGACAAAATTAAATCGGATCTATGTGTCTTTCGAATCTAACCTAGGATCACCATGTCTTGACATTGCATTCACGTAAAAATCATTCATTAGCCTCTGTAAAGACAATATTGGTTTGAACTTGAAAATGGTCGAAACTTTTTTGACGGATTCGCTAATGTCGCAAAATGTTTATCTTTAGCAAATACTTTGTGGAAAATCCGATGAAAGTAAGGAGTTAGAGCATATAAATTTAAAAAGAGAGCATTTGCAAAGCATTCATAAAACTATCGAGGTTTTGTTAGTTGCAAACTAATAAGCCTATTAATTTGTAATAAAAAAATTTATGTATATCTTGATTTTACAGTCCAAATATGTTCCAATTATTTAACACATAGCAACTACATTTAATGCAGAAATTTACTGTGCTATTAACTACTAAGCGAAGAGTTAATTATTTATGGATTGAATCTAACTGTAAGGCAGCGTGCCATATTCCAAGCGTAATGTCAAAACTGCGTTTGGCAGCGTCGCTGCTAGTGGCGCAACGCTTGAAAGGAGTTTTAACTCCTTAAGGGAATCCAATGTAGGTGGAAGTTTATTTCTCCAAACGGAAATGATGGCAGCACATTCTTTCTGAGGCGAATCGTAAATATTGTAACCAACGATGATTAAAGTTTATTTCAACAATGAGCTGACAACATCAAATATCCAGGACCTGATGGTGCGGCAGGTAGCAAACCTGTTGCCCTCTGTTCTAACCTTAACAATCAATAAATGCAGCATGGAATTGTGGTTAAATTTATAAAGTGAGCGGAGTTTCTGCAAATGGATCCTGTAGTATCTAATGAGCAATGACTACTTATTCCTCGGTGCTGTGCAAGAGTTCGCATCGTAGACAACCTTGGCAATACTGGTCGATTTAGACTCCAAAATTCTTTCCCATCTAGCACACTTGCATGATGTTTTGCCGACGGATTGCCACCTGTTCCAGAGTGTGGAAGACCAGTTATAAAGCATGGCTTTTCCTAGCATAGCTTATATCGACAGAACCTTGAGGGACCTCCTACTTTTTAAAGGCATAAACGTTTCATTAAAAAATGGCAAGAATCCACCTGGTCATATTCTGGTTAACAACGCATTTAAGTTTCTCCAAAAGACTAGTCTACATTTTTGTGGAAGGTCATTTTTTGAGCTTCTCAATAACATATGTACAATACCGTTTTATTCACCAAAATGTCTACCTCTCGCTTAGTGAGATCGAGCGCCTTGCCCAAATTTGATAGTTTTCCCTCATAATTAAGCTGTTCCAAGTGGCTGAGCATCGGAGCAGAATCCTCATATTGCCCTAGATTGAAGGCGATGCTGGGGTCGCTAGAATACTTGATCACGGCGAAACGGAATGTAGAAGTGTCGTTGTGGGTGCTCTTAAATGTGCGGATTGTCAGCTTGAGGATGTCACGCACCCAACGAGAGTATTGGGGTATGCGACTGGACACTGACTCGTCCACAATAAAAATGACCTCAGCTGCCGAAACCGTCTGACATACTAAAGGATAAATAACAGCCTGTCCAGTTATAGCAATCAAATGCGGTCTAACCGAAATTCATTGTTGGGTTGTAGTGCACTAACAAGTTCGTTTAAGTACAAACAATCTGTCAGGGAACTCCGTCCCTCAATCATTTGTTGCATTTAATTGCGGGAAATTTGCTAATAGCTTCTAAATTAGTTCATTTGAACATGCAAGTACCTGCATTTTATCTGGTATCGTTACTTTCCCAAATCCTAACGGATTTTGAACTCAGCAACAAAATATGCTAGATTAAATCCATAACCATTTGGCATAAAACCTCTTCCAAAAAGTAATCTAATGCTGCAATAATGGAACCAGAGGGGTCTTTTAGCTCCCGTCTCCTATCACAAAAAACAGATTCATGTAAGGAAAGAATGGACTGCTGTTTTACTGACACTTTCGATACTAAAACGGTTAAACCATTTATTGTGGCATTTTCCGATCAAGTACTTAGTCAACGGGTGATTTTTAACTCTAAAATGGGTGCCGCTTTTGGCTTTGCACCAAAACTTAACACACTCCTTCACCAATTAAGGGCATAAAATTCTACAGATACTCACGACATGGTTTGTAGACAACTGATTTCACCACCTTGCAGTGACAGCCATCTCGAACTGATTTACTGACAATGAAGCGTTGTTTGTCGTTAATGCAGGCACCCGCAGGGCGCTCAATTTCTCTGTTTGAACACACTAAAACGAAAGTAAACAAATTTATCATATTTGTAGAGCATTTTGGCAGTAGTAATTCTATTTTAAATGATTTTGCTTACTCAGCGGTGTAGATATCGTAAATGTTAGAGGCCAGCATTCTCCGTCAATCAGTCTCCAAATCCTCTGTTGTTTCACGGATACAGCGTGATCGCTCGAATCGCACTCCTCCCACTGTAACTTTTCCGGCTTTATTGAATCACTTTGAAGTCCTTCTTTGTTGCAGCAGCACGCTTCCATGCTCTCTTCTCTCCTCACAACGCAACGACAACCATCGGCGGCCCTAGCAACGCTCACTTTGATGACGCGTTGCCTGCAGGATGACCCACCAGCCCCACACGGATAAACGTGGAAGACACTTCGCGTATTATTTAAACCATCATGGCGAATAGTGTAATCTCGACCTGGTTGGAGTTCTTCCGCAGGGAGACTTCCACAACTGGTAATCTTTTTTACATATGATTCTTCATAATCACAAGGACCGTTGAGATGCTTCCTGGTGTGGCGAATTGTGTGTGTAAGTTGTGTTATCCCATCATCGAGACACCTATAGTTAAAAAATTAGTTCATATAGCCACTTAATCGTTTTCAATAAAGAAAAGTCAGATTTTTCTGAAAAAATACCAGAGTTAAATTAAATAAGAATCGACGTTCTTTTTAAGGATGATGTTAGCCGTTGTGAATTCAAACAGAAACACCCTGTGGCGAAATTATGCATATTTGGTAGGTGCTCATTAGATGTACTCAAAACTGTTGGTATGCGAATGTTAATGCCTGAGCAAGTTTCTCGTTAGGTTGGTCACTTGATTTTATTTCTGCGTCTCGCCTGCACACTCTTATTCGTTGACACCTGGTTTTTAACTTTTTTGCAAAATGATTTCAAATTTATCCCAACACTACGGTAAATCAAAACAACGTGGTCTCATGATCTAATAAGCAGAAACCTTTTTTCTATTTCCTCTTTTATACGCTGCATCGTGGTGCATTTTGCATTATCAAAGGAACGGGAAAGTACAATATATCCTCGTGAAGGCTTTTTCCAGGACCTGCAAATAATCAACTTTAGCATTTTTCGCAAACTCAAGTAGTCCTATGCCATATGTCCTACAGGAACCGAGAATAAAATTCGAACCTTCATTGCTAAAGAATAATTTTGCCAATAACTGGTCGTAATACTAGGCAAGAATTAAATGAATGTACACAGCTGCGTGCATGTACTTACGTTGACTTTAGGGAGGGCTTAGGGCAATCACAGGGGAATGCAACTCGTTTCGCTTTTGTGCGGCACCTACACCCATCACGAAGGCGTTTGACGTAGACCTTGAAGAAGACCCCATTCACACATGCGGTTGTTTCTCGGAGTACAAATGTTGGAGGGAAGCAAACGTTTTGCCACTTATGTGTCGTCTCCCGTGGAATACAACGACTTCTATCAGACGAGATATTGTAATGTATGACCTTTTCTGTAATAATCCCCTTTTCCCTAGAAAAGAAAAGTGTTGTCATGGTTGACAGTGGTTAATATTAGTTGTAAAAGTATATTCTGCTTGTCAACGAACGTCTTTAATTACAACATGCAACTTGACATCAACATTTATTTTCAATTTTGCCTACTAAATGCAGGATAGAGGCTATTTTGGCTTGATATTATGCAAATATTTATTGGGCTGATTCTAACATTTCCACTCACTTGTCACAAATGGTTTGCGTTACAGGCAAGGAACAGTTGCAGACTTCCAACGTGGTGCTTGGTTCCTCTTGAACGCACTGACAGCCTGTAGCACGCGTGGCTACAGTGGTAACGTTCCGCACAAACCCATGTCGGCTGTCCACAAAGAAGCAGAGCGACTCGGTAACATTTGGAAGGGGACAGCTGACTGGTGTGACATTGATGTGAAGTTCATGGTGGTTGCAGGTCAAAACTTTGTCCTCAGATGGTCGCCAAATGGAAAGGGTCGTTTGCCATGCAAATTGGCCATCTTGATTGGATTTGATGCATTTTCGGCTATGTGTGGCGTTGGGACATTCTAAAGTGGAAAACATGTGCTTAAGTTTGGTTGATTTACTGGGGGTTACAACTCACGAACTAGATTAGGGGGAAGACTAGCGTGAATCGTAAAAGTGGCGTTGTATTTGTTTGGCCCAATTCCCCCATAATTTACATTCATTCACGCATTGTGATGCAAATGCAGGCTTAAATATACGAAAGCAATCTGACCAAGCATTCTAGGGTTAATCCTTAAGCACAGACTTACTCCACTCTGTGATTGCCATTCCTGTAACCTTCTTACATTTGCATCCTTCTCGAACTATCCTCGTCGTCAAGACGCGCATCTTTCCGGATTTTAAAGTTACAACGTGTGTGGTCTCGTTTCGTGGGCAGATGACCGGCATTTCGGAGGTCACATGCAGACGTGGGAGACACCGTCCGTTAGAGATACGAAATTCCCGAACGAGAGTACGAATAGTGCCACTTGAGGGGTCGCATATTCGTCTGCTTTGTGGTGGTGGACAGCAACACTTCAACTCCTCGGCAATCTTATCAATCGAGCAGCTGCCATTAGCAAATCTGTCTGGTACCTCGCGAATGTAGACTGCAGTCGAGAGACAGGTCACATTATCACAGGGCGTTTTTTGAACAAGTTTTTCAACAGGATTGCATCCTGCGTGAATAGAAAATACATGCTAAATTTTACAAATTAGACCGAGTAAAAAAATAAACCCAATTCTCGGGCACAGTACGTTTGCAAAATCGTCAACTGCGATAATCGAACACAGGAAAACTTTTATACATTTTCTGAAAATAATTATAGAACAGCAAAATTCAAGGCAAAATCATTGTTTTCGAAAAATAGTTCACGTGATAAAAACGATAACCCACTCGCTTTAACGTGCTGTAGCCAAACTGAGCTCTGTATTAACTAATTTAAATGTTTTGATATTTCTTTATCAATCCAGATTGATAAGAGTGACAGCAAATTTAATTGACTCCGTTGACTGCTGGCATTTTTATTTGGTTTCTGTGCTGAATGGTTTGAGTCAGCAGTTAGAATACTTCGGGACCTAAATTTGTGGATGTTAAGGAAAGTGATTTTGCACACACATATGCAGTCCATGTATAGATTCAGGCTTCCTTCGAATTAGCGTAGACATTTAGTCAAATTAGACAAACTTTCAGCGACTTACTGCAAGGGGCTTTGTATATTTGCACCTGGGCTTTGCACCGACATGCCTCAATAACGGGATGTAGTTTCGAAACGGTTGAGATTCCAGTCTTATTGTCACAAACACTCCTTATGACTCGTGCTTCAGGGCAGTTTACTAGTAAGCTTAACTTGTCGTATTCCTTCTCCACGCACCTCTTTTCGTCAGTGAGAACGCGTCGGAGTGTTTTAATCTCCCTTTTCGCATTATCGACACATCTGGTTAATTTTCTTTCACGCGGGGCGCAGTCTGCAACATAAAATACATGCATAATAAGTGGTCATTAAAAAGAGCACTAAATAGTCTTTTAAGATAAACATACGGCAAAGCTCCCGTTTCTTGTGCTTCCGCTGAACGCACGCACAACCCTCTCGGTCACCCGTGGTCCATGTCACGTCACGGTAACTGTCCCCTGTAGCCTTGTCCATCTCGCACGGCCCTTCTTCTCGATCGAGAACTACGCCTCCGAAGCCAGGACACTCAACAGACTTTTCGAACTGCTTAATTGTTTTAATGCACTCACAATCACTTGGTGTAAAGGTTTCTTCTGTGGTCTCGAGAATACCAGTCTCGGGGTTGCACTTGGAATGAGTACGTGTGGGCGGGCACCCACAGACACAAGGACGACTGGAATTTCCCAATTTCTTGCATTCACAATTCTCTAGTTTGAAGGTTACTCGGTACTCAGTTGACATATTTGTCATTGGATCGCAGTCGGACCTTTTAGAAAACAAATTTGTGTTACTGTTTTTACTATATTCTGGAACGAAATTCTAGAAAGCTTATGACCAAAGCAAGGTTGATTTACTTATCCACATCAATCAGAAATGACTAAGAGACGAATATGAGGCCCTAGAAGGAAGTAATGTTAACGCTAGTGGCTTAGCCGTTGCACTTTTAAGTTCAATATCCAGTGTAATTTTCCATTAAACCCTTATCATCATTTGTTAACGAAAACGGACTTATAAGTCTACTCAAAGAACATAAAGACTGAGGAAAAAATAACGACGTGCTAAAGATTAGATAGCTAGCGCCAGGCTAATAGGCCATATTACCTTAAAACCGTCATTCTTAACCCGTTCGTACACTTCCAGAGGAATTTTTAGACAAATAAATTCAAAACTGACATTACGCAAGTGACCATCATTCCAAATCTAAGTTCTGATGTAAATTATTTCTTTGATTTTACTTCTACATGCATATTTGAATTGCTTCTCAAGCAAAAACACCATCCCATGTGGTTGATTCAACTATACTATTTCAAAATTACAAGTGCCTATGTTAAAAATTAGTGACAATGATATACATTTCTGAAAACCCCTGTGTTAATCTCTGATTTGGTTTCTTGATAATCACCTTCAAGCAAACTAGCAAAGCTACTGTGGTGAGCAACAGACAAGTTTTGAGCATTTCTCAAATCACAGTCTTAGTGGAGTCAACTTGCGAAGATTGGAACGCAGCACAAAGAAAAAATTCTGGACAGGGTAAAAAAGCAGGTTACTTTCGTTAACTGAACATCTGAGATACAAGAGAATTGAGTGGTTAGTCATGACTACGTTATTTAAAACATGATTCATGTTTAACAATATTTCTTGCCATTCAGAAGCAATTTTATCACAAGTTAAAAATTATTAAAAAAACTATGATTGAATTTAGGCAAAGGGATCGATTTAGACAACTGTTAAGAAGTCTTTTTCTGTCATCATGCCTACCTGAAAGTTTGTGTTCCATCCGGACATGTAAAATTGTTATTGAGAGTCTCGCGAATGGGAATACAGTCATGTCCGTCTTTGACATACTTTAGCACGGTTTTTTGGTGAAGGTATTGGTTGGGGCCGATGCGGTGACACTTGGAGTCCAATTCTAGTGCCTTAGGACACCGGCGCCACTCAAATGAGGAGAGACCTCGTCTTTTCAACTCAACCTCCGATTTAATTGGGCGCCATTCACATTTGCAGTTCACGGGTGCTTGTTCAAACCATGTCACATTGCACTTGTGTGCATTTTCGCCGCAGATGTGAGACTTGCTGCTCTTTAGGCTCGAAGGACAAGCTAAGCATAAACAAGTAAAATTGGGATTTAATTCCTTTTTTTACCAAAAAACGGGAATACCCTTAAATATTCAAGCGGTTTTGGAACATGGTACAGTAAAAAATACGGAGACAATATGGCCATCACAATGGTAACTTTGGGAAAGCAGGGTTTAGTGTAGCCATAAGCTGATAGCATGACTTAACAACGTTCATATACTAGACAAAAGTTACTGAGTAGATTTATCTGGGTCTCTAGACAAATGTACATTAAGTTGAAGCAACTGTAATGGTTTTTGAGTAAAGATGTTGCGTTTTGTCAATATTCGCCTGTAAAGATTGCCTTGGATCAATTTTTAGATATTAACTAAAACGTGTAACTGACAGTTACATAGATCAAAAAGACTTCGTGCTATCAAGCAATCTCAATTTACCGGAATATTCGATCCCTCTTTTTGATTATGAACAACCAACTATGTGATCGTCAAGTATGCACAATTTAGCGTCCATATTCACTGCTGTTAAGTGAGAGGGAAGTCAGCGTTCCCAAACCAACACGATTTCCTACCACAAGTTCAAAATGAGCACCGCCAGAAAACATATTTGGGTTTGTCGAATTAGAGTTACTCATTTTTCATTACGACTGTGTTGGGGATCCACGATTCCCCAAGATTGGTTTCTGATGCCATTTACAGTTATTCACTAACATTTGTTTTGCTACACTTTTTATCAAGTCAAGGTCAACCTGATTTGAATTAGTTTCACTTCCGGACTGCACGCCGCACGTGGCTGACGTGAATACACCTCTCTACACGAGCTCTGGTCTTGTTCTGGTATTAGCCTGGGAAGGTCGGTTCTAGCTTCAGCTAGGGATCTGGTACCGTTATTTGAGTGGTTTCCTCTTTGTTACGGGCAAACGTAACAGACTGTCAAAAATTTCCATTCGCACTAAATTAAAAAGGCACAAAAATAAAAACAGGTTTAATTGAATGTACTGGCCGTACTCACATTGGAGGGCTGCAGAAAGATTAGTGGAAATCCTTATGCGAATTAACAAAGGGCTTGTTTCTAAATAAGAGTGATCAGTAAGTTTCGTACATCTGAGTCGTACTTTTAAAAGTTATTTCTAATTACTAAAAACGTCGTGATGATTTATGAAGTTTGACAGTATCCTCGAGGACTCGATCCTATACTTGAGTCCCATTATCATGAACTACTTAAAAATGATTCAGACTAATTCTTAAAGATTTGATATGAACCTACCGATTTGGGCGATTGACTTAGTGACATGGGGTATACACTCCCTGCCCCTCAACCGTGAGTTAACAATTGTTGTTTCCAGAAGGCTGTCGTTTTTACAGGAAACTGACGTCCTAGCTGGATACTTAGCACTGCAGTTGCAGATAAAATTATGTTCAGTGGTTTTCGGAACACATATGCAGTCGATTGGAGTCCACGTGGTAACGATTTCACTTGCGGTGTAACCGCTTTCCTCGCCCCCGCATTTGGAAATCTGCTTTTCCTGAGCAGGACAGACTAAAATAATCACAACAATTAGCCTAAGCGTCTGACAGACTAAACATCGTAAATAGTATCACTTTTAATGAACCTGTAATTCGGTCCTCGTGACCACGGAAAATCGTCTATGCGTCTCTGTGCACTACCCGTAAGGAATGATAAGAAAAAGACGGTCTCTAAACGCTGGAATAACTTTATCGATTCTTCTACATTCTACACAATCACCGTTTCCTTACTTTTCATTCTTCACTGTGTATAAAATGCATAATAACTAGTCATGTCGTAAAATGCTGTAACTATATGGGTTTGTAATTCAAGGAATGATTTTTTGCGAGGTTTGTAAAAATTAACTGTGACCTCCGTAGCCGCTAGACACTGATGCTTTTCCATATCAAAGTGTTAGAATAAAAGTTGTCACGTACCGGTTGGGAAGGCGAGACTGACGGTTTCCTTCTGGCAGGTCTGGGTGGTGTCATTAAAGCGGAATTTGGTCTCGTTGACTTGGAGAAGGTTCCCGGGGAGACACTTTCGAAGGACTTTCGGGTTCTCGGTGCAGCCACATGGTCGTTCGCGTCTGCTAACCACTACGGGTTGACACCGAGTTGAGTTAACTAGCTCACCACTGTCTAGCTTTTTCTTGTAGGATGTGGCTTGCAAAGTGACCAGTTTTACGACTTGCTGGGCATTTTTGCAGGGCCCGTAGATGTGCTTAAAAACTTTTGGACATCCTGAAAACACAGGAACCAATTTTGTTAGTGATAAGAAGCTTGGTTATGAACACACATCAAGCGTTCTTCCGTAAAGTTCCCACTATCGACTAAAAGATACTCCTATATACATTTTTGTTCGCTTTAGCGTTCAATGAGTGTGTAAAAATATTCACGTATCTTTTAGCTGGTATTTTAAGCTTTCATAAATGACCATTGCAATGAACACTGGCATCTTAGCCCAAGGTCGGATAAATTTATAAGTCGTTTAAATATCATCGATATAGGTTTCAACTAGAAGATTCTTACCACATCGCATACGCAGCTTCTGAAGTACGAAGTTCTTACATTTGCAGTCAAGAGGTCTCTTGGCGATGACTTTTACAATGCGGTGCTGGTCCGGTTGGCACGGTCCCATAAAGATTTGGGGTTTCGCTCCTTCGCAGGAAACAAGGGCATGTGCTTCGTGTTTCTCTTTAATGCAATAGGGCTCAACTGCATAATTCTTGAAATCGATTGTTATATTGGAGATGAGAACATAGGAGTCGAAGGTCTTTTCAAGTACGTTTATATTTCTTTGACATGTGATGTTTGTTTCTGTCGGTTTCGGACAGCAACACACTTCAGTTTTCGTCAGCCTGGAATGCAATATATATAACACCAGGAAATTTACGGCCATTTGGGATGTTATTTACACTAAAATCTTTGAACCTGACTAGGTTGGTGGAAACGTGAAGGCATCTAAATGCAAGCAATGATCTAGTGTTACGAAGAGTGTGGCAAAATACGCACCCACTGCTGGAAAATCCAATTGTTCTTAAATTTCTTACTGATAAAGGACTGTAAATTAGTTTGCGGAATATCATCAATGGCAAGTACCAATGGGAAAACTATCTGAAATTTGTTGGTGAACTTTGTTAAATTCACAAAAAATGACCGAAACTTGTCATATAAGCAGGCATTTTGAAAAATTGCTGCTTGCGCGGCCCTTTAACATGGAACTGACACCTTTCCCAAAGACTTTTCAATACAGCTACGGATTAAACTTTTTTACCATTTATTGGAACGCCATGGTTCTACACTACACTAAACTAATAAGCCCCCAGGTTATGCTTCCAGGAGTGTGTTTATGACACGCATTAGTGGAAATATTCTGTCGTCTCGCTGATTAACCAGTGTAGATCCCTTCAAACCTTTGTCGATACCTCTGCCTGCTTAAGACTGTAACTAAAATTGTTGACTGTGAGTTAAGCTACTAGTAAATGTCGATGTTTGGTGTCTCCAGTAAAAAATCGTATCACGTCACGGAGCTCCAGTTAGATCGAGCTGATTTCGGGACAGCTGCTAACTTCTTCGATGCAAACACCTACACAAATTAGGCTCCGATTCACTAGGTTGTTGAAGGAAATACCTCTAATCCTCTTGGCTATCCACAGCACCGTAGCAAAATAACACCAATTTCACTACAGCAGAGTTTTTGTGAAAAAAAACTTCGCATTTGCTGAGCAGAACGTTTGCAAGCAACCAACATAAATTTTGGATGCTATTCTCATCTTTAAAATTTCCAGAAATACTTAGGTACGTGGAGGAAGACTATGCCGGATCCAAAAGAAAATGGCTCACACGGTCCTCGTCATTGGTGTTGTAAGCACTACCAAAAGCGCGTTTTGTTAACATAGATTCAAATATACTATGTCATCAGCGTTTTACTTCCAAGTTAATTTTTTTAAAATTTAACCGTGAAACTTCGGATCACTGAAGTCATTTGTGCCCTCTTTCTTGATTCTTTGATGACACTCTTGGTTGAAAAGTCCACAATCTAATACCCTAAGGCCCTCTTATCTTTTGAGGGAGAAAACCCTGGCCGTCAACTGACATTAACCTGCCTTACTTCTTATAAACGCATTTGCATCCACTGGGGACGCGTTTGAAGATATCAATTGTCCTTCGGCATGTGGACGAATTACAAGGTCCGCGGACCTCCCAGGTCTTCTTTCCACTTGTTGCAGGGCAGGCTGAAATTGGCCTTTCGAGCTGCTCCTCAACACAAACACGAGCTCCCCCATTGGTTCGGAGGGTGTATTTGGACCTGCCCTCCAACAAGGTGGTTCCGTTATCCACACAAATTCGCTCGATTTTCGGTAGGGGGCAACCTAGAAAAGAACACGAACTGTACCATTCCGGAAGCAAACTGAAGACAGCTAATGTAAATGTTAATATACTATTAACAGTAAATTCCTCAAATCTTTTTTTAACAACGAAGTGCTTACTGCAAATCTCCGTATCCGTTTGCACAGGAAGAAGCTGACATGTGCAGTTACGGGGAAGTTGCTTATAAATAGTGACGTTGCGGCGGCCAATTCCATCACTACCAACCATACAGTCTCCCTTTGCAAGCTTCGGTGATACATTGTCCTGATTACAATCTAAAGTAGGATAACAAAAGTATCAGCCATTTGTACTGGGGGATTCGGCAAAGGTTTCTTCAAAGTGACCTACGCAAACGACGTCGTGAAACTCCGACAAGTGCATGACATTCACCGTTCTTTAGTATCCATTGTGTAGTGGAAACTTCAAGTTCATCGTCATGACAAATAGTCTTTTTCCTCTCTCCATAGCGTAAGTTGCAGTCTAAATTAAAAAATTGTTCTGTTCATAATATGACACAGACAGCTCTTACTAGATTTGTAGCCAAGCAGCAGAAATACTAACCGCAGATTTCAGAGACGTTAAAGATTTTTGGAACGCAGTTGCATCCATCGAAGCTGTGGGCGTGGACCGTCTTTGCTGTGAGACCGCGGGTTGGAGACTTTGGGTCAGTGTCACAGGCACCAATCTCCTCCTTTCTTGGAGGACAAACTAAAGCGAAAACTCTTCCATGTGGCAAATTTCTTTGGAACCCACCTTTTTATGGCCGTATTTTAATATGCACTTAAAACTGAAATACATTTCTTGCTAAATTAAACCTCTAAATTATAAATTTAAGACGCCATTTTAAATAACGATGATTTTATTGATTATATTCATGATAGGCAAATAGAATTACAAAATGCCTGCATCTTGATAATTTTTTTATAATTTTAATTAGGAAGTATGTTTCTACTTCACTTACTAATTCTTTCTCTTTTAATGTCCTCGCTGGGTATGCATTTGCCACCGCTGAGGATGTGAGTCACTGTGACCGTCGTTCTAACACCGTTTGTGCAGGATACATTTTGCGTGTTCAACTGGTCGCACTCTATGAAAGAAAACAGGACAAAGTTGGAAAAAGCAATCCCATTCTCGTAGCTTACGTTCGGATAGGAAATGTTTCCCATGCAGTTTTAAAATAAGTATGCTTGAAATCATTCGCTTTGTACTTAAGTATTCCAACCAGCAAAATAGCCATCAGGTAAGTGTTTTTTTATTCACAAAGTCATACAGTTGATGTCCAGTTCACACCCATACCTATTTATCACTTTGACTAGTATCAATCCTACATGTAATTTTTACCTTCAGCGGCTGGGATGGTTGTCCCACACAAGTGCTGAAGCAGTACAATCTCATGTTCTGGTCACTTAAATGTTAATTTGTAGTAATAATCGGAAGTTTAAGCAAGATTACCACACCTTTAGCAAAAAGTAAGGGTCAACTTACGACAAAATTCGTCCCACGTGTTTACAACGTGAGCTTTGCAAATGCATGTGTTATTATCCAAGATATACTTCACTTTCATAATCTTTTGTTTGTAGCCGGTCTCAGGACCGCAATCACCAACAGGCTTCCGTTTACTGTCGGGACAAGATTTATGCCAGCTGAAGCAGTGGTTCCTGGCTCTACACATTTTCGAATTGGGAATAAAGTTGTAACTGGATGTGCATTTCACCAACTGACCGTTCCCGTCGCACTTGACTTTGTGTTTCCGCGGTTTCGGACAGTCACAGCGTTCCTGTTTTGACGTCACATGTGGCAAACATTCTCCATCAACCAACTTGTAAAATGTAGTCTTAATGGTTCGGAATTGGTTTTCGCAGGACGACTCCCACACCACGCGTTTGGGGCAGGCTAAAAAGTGGCAGCCAATCTGCTTAAAGGATTTGCTTCAGATTGATGAAGGCGAATTCAAACTAGCAGGATTTTGTCAGTGGACCCCAGCCAGGATTTATTCACGTCAGGGTTATGTACTGTGCGTGTACTACCGGTGTGTTGAGAGAGTTTACTTTTTGGTATTGAGTTAGGGTGAATCCAAGTCCTGTCAAGTCTGAACTTATAATGGAGGGGTAGGGGAACTGCAATTATAACAGTTTTTCCCTCAAATCTCGATGTGAATCTCGACATTTATATATGGCGGCTTTACAAAGATATGGTACAGGATTTGAAGTACTGGAATTAATGCCTCAAGAGTGAAACGACAATTATTTTAGAAAAATTCGACTCATTTAATGAACAGAATTGACTTGCCGAGTCTAAAATTGTAAACTCTATTCTTTGTGTTTTAAGCTTTATTTATATAATAGCGTTATCATTTAACAATCAAGCTGCGAAATGTACTACATTAGGTATTAGAAATTACCCCAAATTATTACACAACTTATCGCATGTCCGCTCAAACACTCCGTTTTTCATTTGTGTGCTGTTTATTGGCTCGAAATCAGCAAACTTATGCTTCTCAGGTAAAACAATTATACATGTACCATTTTCTACCATACAATGTAGTGCATTAGAAACTCACTGCACTTTCCGGTTTTGACACTTTCTTGCTTTTTGCAAATGCACCCATCGATTTGGAACCTGGTGACAGTTCGGGTCCAGACCCCCGTCTTCTTGTCGCAGGCTTCACGAACTTCTTTGGCAGGACATACAACAGATTCTGCAGTTTCGTCTTGAACCGTACTCAGGTCATTATCGTGCACAGTTAAATTGCCAGAAGTGAAGAGGATCTATTTAAGTAAAGCGATAGCGGTTGGCACATTGTTTCTGTGATGCTCCTCAGTACGGAGTGAAATTCAGTGAAAAAAGTATAAGCTAAGTCAACAACAATTGCGTGATCTTGAAACTGCCAAACTTGATTGCCGTTTTAGAGAACTGAAATCATTTGAGAATTCAAAGTTGCAGATCTAAGTTAACAACTAAAATACGTAGTCAGGAAAATCTAAATTGTGCAAATCGTCAGCGACACGCATAAGTCTAAAGCAAATCGGAGTTTCGGTCACCTGGACTCTCAAAGTTCCAAGTAGTCTTTAAGCTATTGAATCCTTCTATAATGTACCAACAGCATGCAGGTTTGCCAAGTAAAGTTTCAGCATTTACACTTCCGTCGTTTCTGTTAACATTTGACCATTCTAAAGTCAGTGGTAAATGGGGTGCAGTGACTAAGACTCATGTCTCGACCTCATCAGATAAGGATAAGGCAACGTTCCTTATTAGCAAAATCACAACTACAGGTTTGTAGTTGAACACGGACAAATTTCACTGCTTTCGTACATTGTCCTAAAAATACTTCTACACTTTATGGAAATGTAGCGATCATTGTGAGATCAAAGGTTTCTTAGTGGTCCTATCAAGCAACTTCTTAGCTAAAGTAAATGATTAATTTAAACCGTGACGCGTTGACCACTTCAAGCGAGAATAAACAGAGATAAAATTTCCGAATTCACAGGAATGCCGACAATCTAGTTTTAGAATACCTGACAAGCCACTGTTATTGGATGGATCATGACGCATATTTGAACACACAAAGAAATAACTGCTGCTAGCACTGAGCAACGTCAACAGCCTTGGAGAATGTCCATCTTCTCTGTATTTGGAAAAAAGATCACCCATTTGCCATTTTAAGGGAAGCTTAGAAAGGTAAATTAAGTGGTACTTGCATTTCCTGGAACGAGGCTGTATTTGGTGGTGACGATAGACCACCGCTGGTTCTTCACGTCACACTTGCGACTTGTATTGGCTGGAGGTGCGCAGCAAAGTCGTTTAACTTCGACCAACTCCCTTAGACACTTGCAATTCTCAACATAGTGCCGTTCGACAGTCACTGTTTCGTAGCACCTTCCGGATTCTCCAGTTGACTTCTCGCAACTTGAAACCCCAATAATTTGCGTTTCACTGTCACATTCTGCAAATATTTTAAAAGGATTATTCTTGATATTACAATAAATAGCGAAAATTGGATTAATTGAATAGGCTATTAGCTAATGACGACTCAATTTTATCTCGGTCATCAGTTTTAGAATTTAAAATTTGCGGAGTAACGGGTGGCAATTTATTAAGGTCTAGCAAAACTACTGTTAAATGTTGTATTGACACCATAATAAGCGAATAAAATCGATCACTTTCTCCAATTTTAAGGATCGTAATTTTTCGTCGAGGTGCCAGTCGTTGCGAATCCGTCAAGTATTTTAAACAACATCAATTATTTAAGCCATATGAGGTAAAGATAGATCTGCTTCGAGGGCAAAAACGCCGCATACAAAATAGTATGTGATTTTTAACAAGTTGCTAATGTAAAGTAAAATTGTGCTTGCTAGCTAAGACAACAGTGAAGTGAAGCACTTGATGGCCCTGCTGAACTGCATACAGCGAAAGATTGGGTTATAATAAGATAGCTAATTTTAAAATAGCCTTATGCATCGAAGTGGCTATTTAAAATCGAGGCAGCAGTGGGCTAAAAACAGTCTTACCGACTTTGCGACGAATAGTCTGGCTCTCGGCTATGCACTGGTCTCCCTGCTGATTAAAACGAACGAGTTCTTTTATTAGAACCGAGTTTTCTTCACAGCTCATTTTTTCCTCGGATTTTGCACAATTGCAAAGTTTCTCTGTGATCTTCTCTCGGGGCACGCAAGTGCAATTATCTAATTCTTGCCATCGCGTCACTTCGGAGCGATAAACTCCGTTGTCCCGTTCGATTACACAACCAGAACCGCTGCTTACAACGCGGCGATTAGGTAAGCACGCTACAGTAAGAAATCCAAGTTACTCAACAAAGAAATCCTAAGTGGGGTTTAGGCAGATGAGCTTTTAACAATTCGTCATTCTTTGAGTGATCAGTCATGTAGATGCCTTAAATTCTCGCAAGTGTGTGGTTTTCAAATCAGATTTATTCATCCACCGCCAGTAACAAGACTAAATATTGATTCTTGAATTTATCTCAACCTGGTAAATCTTCACATTTCTATGTGTAAAACACTTAGTTTCGTTGTATAGCTTGGTCATGGAGGTATTAAACGGTCAATCTTCGTTCTTACTTAATATGAACGCCTGATTCATTGGTTCGAATCATTGTCCTTACTTTAGCTCGGTTCTTCTGTATCATTGTGAAGCTTAAGTTCCTCAACCACTGATAACTTTTTCACGGGTAAAGAGCCAGATATTTAAGAGGGCATTCTTCACTTACTGATGGTTTTGACTTCCTCTGTCGTCGTTACAGAACAATTTTCCACACCAGGTTTTGAGAAATACTCGAATTTTGTGATCACAAGTTCTTGGTCTCTACAAACTGCTTTCTTCTTGTTTTTCAGATGGCAGTCTAGCAGGTAACAAAAATTTGCATCATTAGATACCACATTCGATACCGTTTATTTTGTTTTCAAACTTACCACACGCCTCAAAAATCGTCTCTGTTCTGGGAACGCACTTGCAGGTTTTCGGGTCTAGTGAGAAATGCCGGAAAACAAGTTTTCTGCGATGCTCGCCAAGCAAGCATTTGCTAGTACTAAGCTGCTTCGGTTCGGAACATATGACTGGGGTTCGTTCCGTCTCAATTTCGTTGATACAACTCATCCTACCATTCCGTTCGAGAAGTTTAAAAGTGTGTTTGATAGTTATCCAATTTCCATCCTCACAGCGCTTTGTAATCTTTGGTGGAGGACACGCTAAATCAGAATAAACGGAAATTGTGATACAAAATTAGTCATCGAATGAGTTCATGCCAAGCCCGATGTACTCATTTGATACTGGAAAGGTGCTTAAGAATTCGCACAAACGCAATTTAATGATGTACATGTGTATATCCGCATTAAATGTCCTACTGAACACGTGTCCGTAGAACAACTACATCTTGTTAGGAATCACAGGTATTACTTGCACGTCTTATTGCTTTGAAATGAAACTCATGGTTTGAAGCTTATACCAACAGCTCATAAACTTAGTTTATTACCTAATTGCATTGTCTTCCTCTTGCAGCCCGTTTTAAACATCTGAGTAAGACTGAGCATGCAACTTGATAGCGATACAAAGATAAGATCGAAGCAGAAACTGACCGCAAGGTTCCGAATGCAGGTTGTCGACTTTCTTGAAACACGTTCCATTCGCAGGCACGTAGGTAACTCGTGAAACATTTCTTTCTTGATTACCACCGCTGCATGGACCCAACGTAATCTCGGGAGCAGGGCAACCTGGAGTGTAAATTAACTTGACTTAACTTGGAAATGAGTGCTTGCAAAATGCATTATTAACTGCCACTTCTCTGTGATATCGTCTGGCTTCCCATTTCCGACCACGCATTAGAAGTCTGGAAGAACAGGCTCACAACATAAACTCTAAATCATGAAATATTTGAAAGAATTTAAAATATATAACAGTAAATTCTGTCAAGCCAACTTAAAAATATTATGACTTCTAGGGATGACCAACAGGTGAGAAGGAGAGGGCGATAAAATTAAAGCACAACGTGGTAATCGGAGTCGGGAATGAGCCAGTAACTGTACTGGTTTAACTAAGCGAACTTTCTATCCCTTACAGCGACCCAACTATTGCAAAATGTCTTAGAAACGTTGAAGTAACGCACCGCAGGGTTGCGTTGATCGGACGAGACGCTTTTTGCACTTGCATTTGACCAAGTCATAAAAGACTTTGGTGACCTCCTGTATTTTCTTCGTGTGGTCACAAGGGCCGATCTGTACAGTCGGTTCGGAGCAATCTGTAATTAAATGGCACAGTGGATGCTGTTGCATCTTCGCACAGAATTAAATGACTCAAATGCCTGTAGACGATCTCATTACAATTTGAAACTACATGTCTGTAAATTTTACCTCTGCCACAAAGTATGCGATTACAAACAGTAGAATCGATGTGGTAAGTTTTTTTACTAACAGAAAACTCAATCAGTAACCATAGATTCTTGGGTCAAAGTTCCCCAATAATCCCCTTTTTCACTAAATTTTGTCGCTATCACCATCAGATTAAATAAATCAAGACTTGGTGATCATTTTTAAAATTTTCTTAAATACAAGGTCAACGAAGTGCCATGTGGAAACTGTATTATAGGGACGCGTAATACATGATTTGTTAGACACTGTCTTCGGCCTTCCAACAACTCGTTTGCCAGATTTCGCCGTGAACATGAATGAATTCTTGTGGAGGTCCAAGATTAATTCAATCGAGATGGTGAAACCTGGGGCGTGACTTACTTATCTTTTCGTAAGACTTAAGCACCTTCGGGATGCAGGTAGCATTCTCAAGAGTGTAAGAAAATTGAGTTTTCCGTATAATGCCGAGGTCGTCATCGCAGGAAACTGTTATGTTTGGTCCAGGACAGCAACACCGTTGGTCATCACTGGGTATCATTAAGCGCTGGGGTGTACATCTGCAGTTTTCTAGATTGTTCTGTTCCATCAGTCGAATTGGTCGACATGTCTCCTTGTCGCAGTGACGTGAAATTTCAACACTCTGTGTTAGGTCACATGCTGCAAAATTCAGAAAAGCACCTAAGTTATTATTTTTCAGCTTCCTTATAAGTTATCGCAGGAAGTTGAGCATGAATGGGCTATTTTCCCCTATTCCACTCGAGCAAATATTTTTAACTGCGACTCCCACCCAAAAAAAAATCACCGAGAGAACCAATTTTTTTCTATTTAATCCTTTGGAAAACATTCAGTATTCAGCTTTAGTTATGTTTGAGTGCACAGGCTAATTTGTGAAAATTCCTAATTAGAGTTTCGTTAAGTTCTACGACGACGGTTAGTGGTATCAGCCCAAGAAGCATGTTTTCTGTGCACAAAGACAAGTAAAATAACACTTAAAAGTGCTTATGTGAGAGTCAACCTCAAATTGCCCAATAAACTAAAACAGAAAGTTTAGGGGATCTGTGCGAATCCTCTTTACTTAATACTGTTGATTGGATCGAAATGAAACGTTAGTGATATAAGGGAAAACAAAGGAGGCAGAAACTGAGACAACATGTTTTATCTTAAGCCATTCTGGTAGAAACTCTAGAAGCGGATTTCACAAAAGATCTACTTGTTGGGGATCCAGAAGTCTCCAAGAGGGCTCATTGCAGGCTAGGACTTCATCATTTTAAACAAAATTCCCCAAAACACCTTACTGACAGCTCTCTCTGTGTTAATTCGCCTTGATCCATCACGTTAAAGTCATCCTTGACTTATACAAGTGAGCACATTCCGACAGATCACTTGGTCTTTTCTTGGGCATAAAAAGCCCTCTGCACGAGGACTTTCCTCGTCTTACATCAGCGTGGGAAGGTGGGATCTGGTGTCAGACAAGGAATCTGGGGTATCGGTTATCTGAGTGTGTAGTTTTGGTTACGGGCAAAACGTAACACTACTCTCGCATCAACCTCGTTGATCAGCTAACTTCATTCAAACCGTTTCATCTAGGATATTTTACAATAAATGTTTCGAAAAGGATTCCCGCAAGGATTAAATAAGCTAAACAACACTGAACTGTCAGTAAGGATCAATCTCATCACAGCCTGTTGGTTGTAGTGAAGCATCATCTTCCCTAGACATTGTAAAGGGACGAAAAACCTTCAGAGAAACCTAAACAAAATCGGGTGTTTGTTGAGTGCTTTCCTTAAAACGGAGAGGAGGATATCGCCTTGTCAGGTACTTTTTTCCGGCATGATTTCAATGTAGACCATTCCATTTATGTATTTAGCTTTTTTGCAACTTATTTCTTTACACTAGTCATTGTCCCAGATTTCGCACCCTGGTCTTGCCAACAAACAAATGATTAAATGAATGCAAAAAGGGTGTTATGATAACGAACAACGTTAAAGATGTTTGAAGTCGATTGATTTTTATGTAGAGTAGATTGGTCTTAATGAATAAAAGTTTGTGTCAGACTTTCTTGAGAAAGTTGTCATCGAGTTCTGTGTTGTAATTATGATGCAACTTTAACAAAACTACGTGGAGTTAACACTAGTTCACTGGTAAGTATTCACAAAAAGACAGAACCATGCAAAACTAATTTTTATCTGAAACCATGACACCAATTAAATAACTTAAAATGTATTCCCTATTTACTTAGCATCTATTATCTGAAACCACAATTTACCTTGGAGCATCAACTACTAAAGCCTGACCACTTTAAATCAATTAGACCTGAGGCGATTCAATGTAAATTCGAAATTACATAAAATAACCTTAACCGGTTATTTAACTACTTCTGCTACAGGGGTAATGGACTATGATACAAGAACTTTGCAAAATGTAGGCGGCAACGCACCCACTGGCTGTTTAACAACTTTGACGGCTGTTTCGCATGACTTTGTGTCTGGATTAAATCTATGGGTGATGTGCTTCCGGAAGAGCAGCGTCCCGTTTGCCAGGCACTCCTCAACGGTCTGGGGCGCGGGGCAGCAGCAGGTCTCCTGGCGCGTGTTCTGGTGTTTCACGCACCGGCACTGTTCCACGACGTAGTTGGTAACCTCGACATTAGCCAAACAAGTCTTAAGGTCACACATTCCATGCGTTTCCTTCGGTGGTGGGCACGCTTAAGGAAACAAGTCGCACGTTCTTATATTAATAATAAAAAAGCAATTACAATGGGCCATGTTTTGTCGTTCAGGAGTGTGGTTAAAAGAGAAAAGTCCCGCTCAGACCTCTAAACTGGTCCATTAATCTGTTTCTCTGGAAGACAGCTTGCATCTGTAGAGAATGATATGTTCGAGCAGGCTCATCCACAGACCCTATATTACATCTATTTTTTTAAAAAAGGCGACATGGGTCTTTCCTATAAAGCAATGACATTCTTTTATTTCGAAATATGGGTTTAAGTAACACACGGTGAAATATATTTTCGTTGGAAATATATATATGAACTGTTCTACAGTAAATTTTTGTGGCATGGGAATCACAAATCTCTTCACTAATCCACAAAAAAGTATGCTATAAAAACCCTCCATTGCACTTTGCATTTAGTGTAGTATCTGGTTCATGTTTTGTAGTTTACGAGGGAACGCAAAACCGGCTTCCTGTTGTGATACATGGGCATTGATAAGGGCTTTCTCATTTTGTGTATAGGTGCTGAAATATCATTTTAGAATAATAAGTCGAATGTGCAATTGATGACTTACTAATGTTCTTTCTGGAACTTTCTGAGGTCTTGATGCAAGCGTTGTCCTGCAACAAATATCTAGTTGCCGTTGTGACTAATTCTTTGGTCTGTTCATCACAATGAGACTCTGGAGAAATGAGTGGAACGTGGCTGCAGGCTGAAGGAAAAAATTATTCGCAAAATGTCACAAGAAGTAAAGCTAATCACAGGGATTAGTGTTCAAAATCGTAGAACCCACAACAAATTCTTAGGAAAGGCTTCGAGGACTTTTTGCAAGAACACGATTCGCGGTCAAAGACGCTGTTCGTCTCAACGTCGATTGCGACGCCGGAAGCAGGGTTGCATTTGCCGTGGACAATGGCCGGCTCCTTTGAACATTCTGAAAACAAACAGTGGCTGAACTGGGTTTTTTGAAGTGCCATGTGTTGGAAATAAAAAAAACGTTAGCAATAGTCAAGGAACTTGTAGGTAGTCTGAAATAATTTTGAAGACCAATATACGTGTTGGGTTGTCAAATAGTTGCACTTACGTAAATTCAGGCTTTTATCATAGAAACATAAGAATAACAGCGATTCGTTCACTGGACCTTGAATTCATCTTGTTTTTTCGTAAACAGTTTAAGGTTTGGTTTATCATTTCATTTTTCAATTTTAATATTTTTCGTGAAGTCAAAGCAATTTTACCTTTCACTGGCAGGATCTTCGCAACGGTGATTGGAAGGCACTTGTTTTTCTCCACATTAAAAACATGGCTGATTGAGATTTCGCGAATCGAACCTGTCTTCGGATCACATTCCCTAGTCACTTTCTGTTCCAGTTCCGCTGGCTTACAGCAGCAAGACTGCAACTTCGTTACCGGAGTTTGAGCTTTGCAAGCCCCCATACGTTGTTTGTGTTGGATTATCAACACTTTTTGGAGACAGGTGGTTGGGTTGCACTCACCGAAGACCTTCTCATCTTCCTTACAACCTAAAAAGGCCATTTAATTTTTGCTTATCATATTAAACCCTGGAAAGCAAGTTGACTCCTTAGTAAGGATCCCTTTGGTTTTTGCAACTGGGTTTTATAAAAGTTTAGCTGGCTCCAGAACCCATTTTCATGGTAAGTTTGCTAGCACCTGGAAAACTATTTTCCCTGAAACGAGGCTTACTTTCGCGGCTCTATACTGATTGAAGAGGTTATAGAAAGCAGCCCTAAGATGTGCAACATTTTTCAAGTGTAGTACTGCGTATCGTGAATCCAACCCATCAAAAAATGGTTTGACATTTATAGAACCAGTTTACTTCTGTACTACTTATTCATACATTATTAGGAAACAATTAAATAAGGTTGTCATTAGAATGACGTTAATTACAGGGCCTAGATTTTGACATTTCCTGCTCTCACAATACGTCAAAAGAGTTAGTTGCAATTTATCAGCATCCTAGCTACACTTGCAGGGTTAGGTCATTGGAGTAGCAAGTATCAAGCACCATGATTTGTATTTGGATGGTGCCAAACCGTCACTTCTGGACACCGCAAAAAATAAAACATACGGCACTGTCGGTCCTTGAGTGTTCGACCTACTGCCTGACACCTGCAACCTTTGAGCTCGTATTTCACGAGTTCCATCGGCTGGCGTCCTGTAGAAGTGTCACATGGACCGGCAGGATGAATTCTAATTTGCGGACATTCGACTTTTGGAAGAATTTCTACGAGGACTTCCGGCCTGCACTGTCCATCAAAAATCTTCCAATACTTAGTTTTCTAAAACAAACAACAAGCGAGTGCGTCGTCGCCCAATCTAGTACTATAATTAGCTACCTTTACCCGTGCTTCTGGCTTACCCTGATAATTGTTCCGTCGGACCGGCACGTTTCATTAACTTGGGGCTGGAATTGATCACAACAGCAGGCCTCGGTACTTTCACTTGTGAGCTTTTGGCATTGACAGTCATTTAGGAACCATTTGCTGTGGCTGACTTTACGAAGACAAGTGGCTCTGTCACATTCACCTGGCTCTGCCATTGTCTGTGAGATGTTCACGCCTTTAGGAGGACATTCAACTGGAACCCGATGCTCTCGGCTCTGTTTCACGCACTTCCCATCTACCATGCTGCGAAGATAATGGATACCATGCATCATTATGTTGAAAAATGCATAAACATACGCCATGAAACATATCCACACAAAACCAAAAGGCTCGGTACTCGGTTGCATAGAAAAGTACGGATTTAACGGCCGGTAATTGTATGTACTAATTCAACGAGAAAGGACAATGGATTTTGGATTCATTTTCTATTTCCTCGAGAAAGGATACTATGTCCAAAATATAACTTTCTCAGGGTTTAACTGGTAAACCAGTCATGTCGATAACACACAAAATGCCACTCAATGGGCAGGTGAATAATAACAACAGTGCACACTGACTTGTAGTCCACATGGTTGTAGACGAGGACGTGCTCATCTGGGACGCAGACGGGAGGCTCCTCGGGTGTTTGCGGGCAACAGCAGTTGCGAGTTTCGGTAGTTTCGTGTTTTTTACACTGACAGTTATCTAAACTGTAGCGTAACTTTCGTACACGTTGGAGGCAGTTTCCTGCGCTTCCACACGCCTCCACCTCCTCCGAGGGCATCGGACAGGCTGAAAAAATTCATGTGCAACGACCTCAATACTTATGCCATTGACGTTTTCAGTGACATCAGTAATGTTGCCAAGATCCTCAGATTGCGGATTAATTACGCCTTTATGTTTGACGTCATTTGTGCACATGCATGGTCCGAACGAGAGATTAGTGTTCTACATCTTATTAACATTGTCAGGTCATTCTAGAAGTTTGCCGGCACTTTCTCGGTCGAGTTACACATTATGTCAGTCCCTCAAGAGATAGGAATACTAAAAACTAGCTTGCAATTAAAAAACCAAACTTATGCCATGATTTTGGTATAACGTTTTCATTCGTGTTTGGCTTTACCACCAGAATTAACCCTTCAGTATTTCTTTACAATGTGCTGATAGATTGATGCTCGTACTATTTCTTGATATTTAAAAACACTGTTGTCCAACAAGGACAACTATTTTTACCGGTAAACGAATACAACCGTCAAGTGCCCACTTTCACAAATATTTAAAACCGACACACTGGAACGTCGGGTATACAAGCGCAAGTGTTATAGACTAGTGTAGTTGACAGAAAGGAACAATTGTGTGGATAATTGTCTGGTTTCACAACTCTAAGAAGAGGCGCAGAAGGACTTCGGCAATTTAAGTGTCTTATTTACACATTAAAGCCAACGGCGAAATTTACAAATATCCCGCTCTTTCACATAATTCTTTTTCCAGTAAGGGAAAAAAGATTCGATTGCATAATACAACTATGAAGTTATAGAATAAGAGACTGAGAGCTTACATGGACAGAAACGGGTGACGCTTTCACTATGGATACAACTCTTTTGCTTCGCGTCGAAGCTAGCGAGCGTGTGAACGGTCACGAAACATTCCCCAAGGCACATTTTCGTTGACTTTGGAGGAGGTAGGCAACCTTAACAGAAAAAAGTTGGCATGAAAGGTATCTGCCAAATCCTCTATTCCACCTGAAGGATTAGAGAACAGTAGAAAGACGACCCATCCATTTAACCTATGTACAGATTGTGGCATACAGATCACATATAGTGAGAATTCGACGCCAAGGTTGTCAACTTAGAAATTATGGGTTTCCTTGAGCCTTCTTTAAATATAAATAAATGACTTTTGAAACTAGTATGGTAAATTCTGTCCCGAATTACGTAATAATTAATGGTTGCACAATTTTCAAACACCAATTAAGGTGGAAACTTAAAACAAAAATTGTTTCAGTAAAAAGAATATCTTCAGGGATTCTAGGTCCTATTTGTCCTCTTATTGACTCACAACAGATCCTTCAAAATCGTGAACAGGTGGCTGACCTTGAAATTATTCATCCAGAGAGCAGTTAAGATTACTAAATTAATAAAATCGTCAGATTATTCGATGGTCATGGTTCAGTTCAACCTTACTTGTGAAGTCGTGGTCACAACTGAACTACCCATCAATTTTAGGGCTTACACCCCGAGGACTTACAGCAGTCTTCCGATCCAATATACTTCTCTTTTGGTTGGCACGCACAAGTTTCTTTATCACGATAGTAACTGACTTCGTAGATCGGTCGTTTGCACGATAACGGGTCGCAAGCGCCAGCTTTTTGTTCGCTTGGCTGATCGCACTCTAAGGAAAAATAAGTATTTCGATTTTAAATTCTAGGCTTTAATGTGGATATATTCGATTGCTCTGGGCAGATCTTGTGAACCGGATATCAGTAGACAAATACGCGATCCATTCATTGTCTTTAATGGATAGTTAATGATATCAGATTCTATTCAGTAAACATATTTAGTAAGTATACCCAGAAATTCACATGACGTAGTACAATACACATGGACTTGTAATAGTTTTTTATCAGTGCATTACCATATCACGCGGAAAACGCCATTTAACTCAGATAAGTCCATTCAATCAATAAAAATTGATGCTCAATAGGGAAATTAAGGTAAAGTGAGCAAATTTTTTACGGAAATCCTCGTTTAAGAACACTGGCATTTTGAATATTGATTATGCCAATATAAATTCATCCTTAGTGGAAGGGTTTCGGTTATTGATAGATGTAACCTATCATCTGGAGCTGAAGAAATTGACTAGCCATAAGTGATCTAGGCTTCATATGCCTGTGTGGAATAAATGAGTCAAGAACTACCATTTCATCACTTGAAACTCATCTTACATCTTACATGATGAAGAAACAACTTTTGAAATTAACCGAACACAATTCATACTTTGAGGACTTGACATAGTGGAGTTTAAGGAAAAAACACATATTAAAAGTTATTGAAAAGTGAAAAATTTTTGACTGCTATTCTGAAATCAAGATTACTTCGTTTCGTGCCTGCAGGGTATAAAAAGAAACAAAAGGCGTGATCATAGAAATTGGCAATCTAAAATAACAAATACCTGTCTGCTTATTCAAGTACTGAATGCTTTCCTTGCAGCGGTGGTCCACTAGATTTACTGTCTTGACAACCCTCAAAAGAGTTCCGTCGTGGCACTTGTCGCTCTCCTCTGGTGCCTGCTTGCAACCTGGGTTTAAAGTTAATTGCTTTTAAGTCATTTGTGCGACCCAATGGAACGGTGTCGATATATTTACAAGGAAGAAGTGACAATGGTTAACTGGGATATTTTGAAATAAAGATTTTCAGAAAGAAACAATTGTAGTTTTTATTAGCAGCAAAGTGTGCAGCAGGCTGACGTATTTCTAATTTGTGCGAAGTTAATGTAATTGGTTTGAAGAAGCACGTCCAGGGATTTGAATAACAGCGTTTCAGTTAAATGACACGACACAAAAAGTGTAACTTACAACATTGTCTGGTTTGAATGACCTGCTTCCTTGTCTCGCATTTGCAATTGTTAGGCAAAGACTGCAAGTAAAACAGCTCTTGGAGGCAGGTAGATTCATTACAGTTTGACCATCTGGGTTTCGCTTCCTCAGGTGGTACACTACAATCTGGAAAAATTCTTAAAGTGTTACGTTTTACTTCCCAGGGGGATGATCATCGAATTAATCCTAGAAATTAATGACACTTGGCTAAACTCTTAAGAAACACAGTATCTTGAATTAAAATATTTTTTTCCTTTCCTTAGGCCATGCGTAAATCGTTTACGATGTTTTTAAATATGGATTTAGTTGCGTAATGTTACATTCGGATAGTTGATATATTCAATGTTTGACTACGTTATCCGGTGGGAGCCGCTCCCAATATCGATTGGTTATAATTGCAATACAATTCTGCGTTGTCTTGAGTACTTGGCTTTCAATTCTGGTAGTTAAAATTCCTTTTACTAATATTAGCTGCCTCACCAAGCTTTTAAGAAATATTTCAAACTCATCAGTCAATAGTTATTATGATCTACTGTGCCATGAATGGAAATGCGTAAAGGATGTTCAATTCACAACGGGTTCATTTTCGATCTCCATCAAACAAATCTAGCCTTTCAGCTGGTGTAACTCATTTTCCTTTTATTACAAGCATTGAAATGTAAATTTAACACATGCAAATAAAATCGAATAAATATATGTAATTTTCTTACTTAAAGGTTGACGGGTAACTGCAGACAGTTTCCTGCACGTGTGTCCACAACCGTTAACCTGGGGGACATAGTATTCGGATCGGGCCACAAATTCTGCATTATTGAAACAACTGATCTCGACTTTTCGTTTAGGGCAACCTGAAGGAAAAAAACAGAAGGAAACAAACCAATGTATACACTACCAACAAAAGTGTTTTGCATTCAACACCAATCTGACAAACAAATTGGTGTTTCTGTATTCTACCCACACTTTTTCTCTTTCATTTATCCTGTTTGCACTGTGTCAGGGATTATTTCAACTCTATGGAAACACTGAGATTAAATAGGTTAATCGCATTCAATTGATACACCGGTATCACGTATTTGCAATGCAGTTTTGCATGGCAAATTTCACTATCGTAATCATTTTTCAGGTATCACCGCGCAGATTTGTCACAACCTGACTTACCACAACATGAACAACTTCTTTCCTCCTTGAGTTTCCAGTCGCACTGACAAGTTGTCGCATTGTAGATCCGCGTAAAGGTCTTGAGATCACGACTGCAGGTTTCGTGGTTGCATTTGCCAAAATCTCTTCTCATCTCTTGCGGCGAACACGCGGGCCGCCACCTGTGGACCTCCACCTCCTCCTTACAGCCAGCTCGGTCTGCGTAGACGGTGTACCGCGTCCGCTGTAATTACCGATGACAGTAAAATTGAAGTTGCAGAGCGAGATGGAGGTGATGTAAAATAGCCAACCGTTACTTAAAACGCTCTCGGTTCACATTCACTAATTCGTCACTTGGGATGATTTTCATAAATCAGTCGCAAAATAAAGTTAAATTGAGTTGGAATGCTACATTTTAGTTTTTGTGACTCTCTTCAAAAAAGAAATTTGCCTCGATCACGAGTCTCGCTTGGAAGCCATCACATAACAAGTCTATTTTGTCGTTGATTCTTTCGCAAATTTACAATTTTTAGCTAAAGTGGCTTTACATTAATATCCGTACTACGTAAGTTATTGGTGAAGCTATCAAACATTTTGATTACAGTTCAATCGGATAAATTTTTTTAACAAGGACTAGTCCTTCGCGTTTTGAAGATTATGATCTTATTGGTAATCGTAATTCGAGGTTTTTTGATCGTTTGATTACCCTTGTTTCCATCATGCCTCTGACACAGGATGTTGATTCAGTAGCCGTTGGGCAGGAACACACAAGGTATTGTTGGTATCGATTTTTGAAGATGCACTTCTGCTTTTGTGGATCCCATTCCTGTTCAAGTTTCGTCAAGATTTGTGCCTTCTCGTCTGCGTCACACCGGCCTATCAGTAGTGTCTTTGGAGGACAACCTAAAACACACAGGTTTATTTCTGTTAAATGAGTGCTGATTCGGGCTTTGGTAATTATCCATATAGTTACTTACGACAGTCTACATGGCTGATTGTGGTATTTATGATGCACTTGCAGTCATTGGGGTCAGGTATCTGCGTAACTTTCTTTAGTTTCATGCGTCCATCCTTGCAGGGTGATGATATGAAACTGACTTCCGGCGTGCAAACTAAATTTCAGGTAACAAAGTTGGTCAGGTGTGAGCAATATGACCTTTTGGTTTAAACATTTAAGGCTAAAGTAAAATTAGTAAAATGATACAATTCCAGTTTTTGTCTCCCAATCGGAACAAACACAGTAAGCCAAAATTAGTGAGCAGATATGGCGGTCATGACTATGTCGAGTACTTGATGACTTGGTTGTAACAAACCAACATTAAGGATATAAATAAAACCATTATTAGAAAAGCCGGTTGTTAGAAAAAGTACGATGATGGTTTTCCTTGAAAGGGCTCATCATTACGTACAAACGAGAAGGAGTGAGAGCTAACATAAACTGCACAAACGGGATTTTTTTGTCTCTTATCTTCAAATTTGTAGGGACGTATAGCGGTTTCAAATTCTGGTACAGGATGAATAGTGGGGATGAGGATAGCTACTTTACCAGGTGGATAGCGAATTGTCTTCACCACATCAACGCACTGATTGAGATCATCTCGCCATGCTTGGAAAACGCCTTCTACGGCGAACTCTCTCCGTAAAATATCGCACACCGGTTTGCCGAATGTTGGTTTGTCAGTTTTGCATTTGCAGGAGACGATGTGTTCTGTTTGCCGCCGTTTGCATGCACAATTCTCTGGCACGTACGTCACGATAATCACCTTTCTTCTGCCTGTCACTCTGTCGCATGGTTTGTTGATCGTTTCCATTTCAGGACAAGCTTAGAGAAGAAACGTTCCTTATGATTATCAGTTAACAAGAATTCGAAATTAATATTAATGCTATATGCAAGTGGCTTAAGAAAAAATTTTTCTGATCGTGAAGTAAAAATTGCACGGTTGTTCGTCCCAAAGAAAGTCACAGTGGCGAGTAGAGGCACTTACAAAAAGGCTTCTCTTCCACTGTGGTGTTTTCCACACAGCGAAGGTTTTCTGTGTCTAGTGTGAATGCTGACAGTTTGTGAATCCAAATTCCTCGATCTGTGTCACATTCAGTGGTTCTGATCGGGGCGTTGCACCCTTAGAATAAAAAAAAGGGCTATGATTATTTTAAAGGCCGAGTGTTGAGTGGGTGAGAGTACCATATACACCTACGGCATCGTCCCTGACGTATGATCTCTTCCCCACGAACACATTTGCATTCGTGTACACGCCAAGTTGTTTTTACGAGCTGTCCGCTCCCTGTTTGATCGTCGCACTTGAGGATCGGTCTGATTGTGTGGTTGGCGACCAGCACTTCATCGGCACACCTGACCGGTTCCAGTTCAGTTTCCTTGATTTCCTGACACCTCCCTCCAATCAAAATCCACTTAGTTACGAGGCGTTCGATTTGATTTGTGTCGCGATTACAAATGGACTCTCCTTTGCGTTCGGGTGGACATGCTGTTGGAGAGAAAAACCCTGTTTTATCAAAGCGTCAGGCAAATGTGTAACCTTACTTGAGGTAGTGAAGTTAGAAACGTGTAATCTGTAGATAAACTTCAATGTTAAGTTTTAAGTTCCCAGATATTTGCTATTGGTCAGTCCAAAAGCTGCAGAGAGGAACTTAACTAATTACCTTGGTTGGTCATCTAGATTGAGGGTCAGAGTTTTGTTTCATTTATTCATGTTTATTTGAATTTATTTATTTGCATGTACTTGTTAGGTTTTGTCAAAAATATTCCTCTGGGAAAACGCTGTGGTAAATAAAAGTTGCTTCAGATTAGATAGGTGTTCAGTTAACAGAGGCTTACTAAAATTCAGCAAAAATCCCAACTTACCACATTTTTGATACGAGGTGTCAGGAACCATTTTGCATTTGCACCCATCTCGAACCATCCTCTTTCGAACAACGGTTTCTTCGCCTGTTTGCTTTGAGCAATTCCTCGAAACCACTTCGGAGTAGACCGGGCAGGCTGGAGGGGTGACACGGATAGTCAATGTGTGTGTCAGTAAAAAGACAGGAGAGTGCATGAAACTATAATCCTGTGTGCTTCGTTGACTGATTTTGTGTTGACACTTTGACGTTAGCATGCCAGTACCGTTGGTCTTCACAGTGGACAAACGGAGGCATTGCAATTTACTTTTTGTCCATCCATGCAAATGGTGATACATTTAAGTGTCACTGGCCTAAACCTATTAACGAGGATGTTAATGGACTTTTGTTCCGCCCTAAAGCGGATCTCCTTTTGGTGGCCCAACAGTTGTCATCAAGTAAAACTGAACCAAAAGACGTATTTTTTTCCTTTCGAAACACTCGTTTCAACAATGACACACAATCAGGTAGTGAATCCGAGCTTATTACCATTTTTTCTGTTACAGAAATACAGTGGTGTAGGAATTTTATATCATAACAACGCAGTGCTTCACTAAATAAACTTACACTTTTCGACCTATTCGCCGGAACTTATTGATAAATATTTAGATTCTCCGCGCTGGAGGAATAGTTTGTGGCTATCGGATTTAATAACAGTGCACTCGATTTTTTTATGAAGTACAACTATATACTGAATCAAATCGCATTTCGAAATATAAACGAGAGTTGTTATATTCATATTACACAAATGAAAGATGTGGAAACTTACTAATTTTGCGTCTCTTGCGCTGAACATGACGTTGACAGTTGCAGCCAATCAGATTATACCATGTGTATTCCACCACTGACTCGCCTCCAAGGCCTGTGTCGCAGTAAACACGCTGGGTTGGTTCTGGACACTCTGTATTTGAAATGGCAAATTATAGTTATTTGAGGTGAAAAAGACTGACGGGATCATTACGTCTATGCTTTTACTTACGCCATGGACACCGCAGCCGTTTTTCAAAACGGACACACTTGCAACCGACCAAGGTTTCAAATATCAACTTCACTTCTTGAGTTCCGTCCTGTTCCTTTTCTCCACGTTCTTGACCGACAAATCCCTCAGAACAATTCACCGGCTCCTGCCATGTCTGCTCGTGGAGGACGCACTTCCCTGACTGAAGGGTGTACGTGGTTTGTCGCAAGAGCCACTTTGGTCCACCTTGAGTGTCACAGGTCCGAGAAATCTTCGAGTCTTCTGGACAGCCTGGAATGCCACGAAATTAAAATTACCAGGTTTTTAGTCACTCCCTGAGGATCTTTAATCAGAATGGTGGAATTTGTTGATTTCACTTACCTGGTTTTGCTGAATGATCCAATCAGTACGAATGTTCGATAATAGGGAAGCAGCGTAAATTAACCATCACTAACCTTGTCTGTAGCCACATGCTGCATCAACATTCATATTGTCTAGCCATGCTGTTTCAACAGAGAATGTGCATAACCAGGTTGGTCGCTTGTGTTCGGCATAACATAAATGCCAAGGTTGCAGACTTCCTATTTTTGAATAGTCTTGACAGGCCAATGATTATCTTTATTGTCTCTGTTCAAGACACTGACATCTAGTTAGGGACGAATGGCTTCAACAAAGCCCTCCAAGTTATTCAGACGCATCTACCTTAGCAGATGAGCAGCATCAATTATTAAGCAATGCGAGGGCCGTTTGTCCTTGGTTTAGTCGTAGTTTCATTATGAATCGTGTTCATTCATGACCATCAACCCAGTGGCCGCATACCCCCAGCACGCCGCCCCTCTTTTCACAACTGGCCCATCGGTCACGCAGACCGTCTTCTCATTCACTCCTGTGCATGTCCCGCCCCCGCTACCCTCATCATTCATCTGGCCAGCTAGTCAGTTGCACTTTAACTAGCTCACTCAAACTGGATCGGTCAACAGCCCCAGCAGTCATGCGCGACCTTGAATGCACCAACGTGACAACACAATTTAGTTGCTCTATCTTCTAAAATGTTGCTTCCGTCATTTTCAGTCATAGTCTTCTCAGGCGTCTGTGCGGGGCTTTTGGGTCAACACGACAACTTGGCGGTCCCGGTGTGGTTCAAGATTACAAATCGGGGTCTTCAAAAGTCTGTTGGAGTAGTTGTTACCGGCGTAGGAACAGCAACTGTATTACGTATACAAAAGTTATGTATTACAGTAGAACCACTTGTTACAAAGCCTTCGATCTGGTCACAGATATCAAACATGAATGGAAAGCACTTTTTAATGTGTATTGCATAATTGTTGTTTATTAAATGTTTGATTGGTTTTTTGTGGCTTGATCCATTTGAAGGATTTTCCACACCTCTGTCCGAGTTTCTCGAAGTACTAAGCTTACACTAGTATGTCAAGCAGATATTTGGATTCTCCATGACGGTTACAATTAAACTACTTCTACTCAATCTTTATACTTCAAAGCAAGCTTCCAGCATGGACTGTCTCCGAAGTATTAACACTGACGTTCACTTTTGTTATGAAATTGGTTATGCAAATTTCAGGACATGTCCCGACATGCGAGACGACACTAATTGGACTCTCATAGTTAACCTTCGCCTTTAAATCAATCAAAAACATTACATGTGCGTTGATAGGACTTACAGCATTCTGCAGTCGTCTCTCTGATTAGCTCCTTGCGACACGTTGGTGAGCCTTCTCCATCGACGGGAACCATGCGATACCATTGGACTTTGCTTTGGCACGAGGGCGTCCCGCAGAGGTCGCTGCCAGAGATGCAAGCAGGGGAGCAGGGAACTTCGTTTTTGAATGTGTGCTGTTCTTTTGTTAGCAGTCCAGTTTCAACGTCAACGCAGTTGCAGGCGGTGGTAAGCAATTGAGCTCGCGGTGCAGTGCATTCACAGCCATCCTGCTCGCTGGTCACGACGACAGCTGTCCGAACCAGTCGACCAGTTTTGGGGTCGGGTTCGCATTTCCCTGCCCTCTCCACGTACGTGTCATTGCATACTAGAAGGTTTAAGTTAACGAATTTCAGGAGATTAAAAAATTACTCTCGTAAGCCAAAGTCGTTTTCTTGGTCTACAAATTCTGAGTTTATAATCTTCACCATCTTTGGTGCCAACTTTTAAATTTAGTGATTCTCAGTTTTCACATCTCGAAACTATTTTTACTTACGCATAAAAATCATGATATCTCACTGACAACATGTGAACTATCACTGACCGCTGTCAATCTGTCTACCACTAACGCCCGTCAGTTGTACAATTCTTTTTGTGTTCTATTTGCGGAACAACATCATTTTAAATTGAATGTCGCTAGGGATATCCTACTGCATAAACTTATAGTGCTAGCTACGGCTATTAACTTTTATAGCAGATATTGACTGGACCTAAACTATTTGTAACCTTCTCATAGGCCGAAGTAAACTGGGGCAGGTCTAGTGCACATTAAAAAAGTAAAAAAAACTTGTGTCTGACTATGATCACTGTCTAGTTGTTTCCTCATTGATTACATGGCAACTGAAGGTTGGGATTTTATTGGCAACTACTAATCTTCTGATTAAGCTTGTGGGTATATGAGATTATGGGTTACTTTCGAGCATGAGAGGTGACGCTACTTATATATCAGTAAATTTTCCAAGAACAATGGTAGCCCACGGTGGCACGCATTTAAGGGTAATAATCTCATTGATGTACGTCTGTTGAAAAACTGGCTATTAATGTTGTACCAGGAATGCCACTGGACGCTTACTGGTTGGAATAATTCTCTTCTGGGTGGTCTCAAGTGTTCCATCAGGGAGTTCTTTAAAACTGGAAGACTCGTACACATTTGCGCCAAGGATTTTGTCGCAATAGACTCGATGTACATCCTGCATCTCTCTGCAGGGCTGAATCCTGGAGGTAACGTGATGCAGGCATTGACCATTGATAAGATTGTAGGTGTGTCGTTGCACTGATCGCTGATTACCGACGCATTGTGACACCTTAATACTTGGCTTCGGACAACCTATAATATTTTTGCAAACCGATTTAAACATTAAACTGCAACGCTAAGGTATAGTTGCACGTTAGATGGTCGTTAAAACACAGATTCATAGATTATGAGTTAATTATCACTCGAACGCTGCTTCTGAAATACATGTGTTGGTAATTTGTTTGAATCTGTTTCACTTGATTATTAAGCCAAAGTTTTACTGTCGGGGTAATGCCATGTATCATCATCAATTGAGATATATTTAACGGTGAAGTATTATAATTTTACTGCTGCACCAGAGAGGGATCAAGACATTTACTTGCACGAATTTCTCGATTGTTAGCTCGGGCTTTTGTTTACAGATAATGCCTGGTCAAAATTAGGACTGGATAGTGTCACTAATATGATCATACCTTTTCTCAAATAGCAGAACTGAAAGGATTACCAATGCATTCAAAAATAGTGACACTATCAAAACGTACAGCACTTTCCAGCGGCCTCCTTATGAATCCGTCTCTTGCACTCACAGCCTTCAATCAACCACTCGCTCGTCATGAGATACCTTTGACAAGTATCGGCATCACAGATTTCCCTGAACTCTCCGCGTTGAGTTACTGTGGTTTCGTTCTGTGGTGGACAGGTAAGAGGTGGCAGACGTTTAAGCAGGACGACTGGTTGACACCTAGGCTGATTTAAGGCGTCGTATTGCAGACGATAAATAGTGGTCTTGGAGATAACGGTGTTGGTGTGACCTTGACACACCTCTTGCTTCTTTACTGATGGACAACCTTGATGGAAAAATCAATTGGATAGTGTAGGTGAAGCGACAATACGGAAATAAAGTAATGGAACTTTCAGAAATGTCTGAAGTCTATCCATTGCGCTCTGAAAATAACAGCAATTTCCTCAGATAGCGTCAGCCTATAAAAAAATTAATTTAGACATGCTTTTAAGCATATTCTACAAAATGCAAATCTTTGGAGCAATTAAATTTAAGCTATGAGAAAAATGCGGTACTCTCGGTTATTCAACCTTCCCTGCTGTCTTTGACAGTTTAACAACATGTTAAAACAATGGATATTTCTGAGATTTAAGCCCATTAGAGAACATTTACTTACCACAGATTTGCATAAAAGAGTTTGTAGTTGTCTTGCATTGACAGTCAACGGGATACTCGTTCACGAGCCGAATTTCCTGATATCCTAAGCCCGTAGCGGGATCACGTTTGCAGGGATAACGCGCTAGGGCACGACCACGACATTCTGTCCAAAAAAAATGTATCACTTGGATTAATCAAATCTGATTCCTGGGTTGAAAATGTGAATTATTTTTCAGAGTTAATCGAGATGAGTCATAATATGTTACAATAACCTGAAAACCGATTTATTAACTTACTTATTTTCCTCTCAGGTACATCGAACGTTGTGGTCGTGCATTGGGAGCAGGAGATCTGCCTAGTATTGACCATACGCCGAATGAGAGTATCCCCGGATTGACAAACGAGAGTGGAAGATACCCCTTGCTTGCATTCTAAATAATTTTTTTTTAAAAACAGGTGCGAACTTCTAAGCTGTCATGCTCTTTCTTGAAACTTAGACACTAACCATGGTCAGATTTAAGAAACCATTTCAGCCTATTGCAATTTTTCACTTACTTACCCACTCCAATGTTTCGATTTCATGAGCCCTGTGTTGATAGGTGAGTTGGCATGGTGGACAAGTTTTACTACTCAGCAAAACTTTGAACAGGTTAAGTCAACTTGGAGCCAATGCACATATATACCTTAATTTCATTTGTCTAGCTTTAAGTTAAGATTGTAACAGCCTGAATATTCTTACTGAACAGAATTTAGTCATGCGGTTTGGTAGCAATGACAAAGTCATAAGGCAAAATTTAAGCTTACGATGAAATTACGTGTGTCCTAGGGTTGAGAAGTGGCTGCCTCCTGGTTAAATTTATTTTCAAAAACTAAATCGAGATATGCACGAAACTTCACCATACCCCACAAGAGGCACAGAAAGTGGCTTGTTGAGAGGAAATTTTCACCAAAATCTCCATAACAATCATTTGGGATCTTAAAGAGCGATGTGCTTAAAAATCGATCCTTCGTCTGCCCTGGGTAGGCTGGGCTCTGTCATTCAGACGCTTGTTCCGCAATTTAGTGAACAGAATACGAACTCGAATGTATTGCAGTGGATTAAGGCATGGAAGCGTAATTAGCTGCCTAGGGTTGTCTAGTCAAGCAAAAGGTAAGAAGGATAATTAGCTAAATTTAGCAGATTCAAACGTTTCAATTTACTCACCACAGGGTTCGCTAATCTTTTTTCCTGACACAAGACATCGTCTCAGACCAGAATTTTCCCTGAACTGAGTGACAAGCAAAATATCGTGTCTGCCCTTGCAGTAATCACACGGTGTCTCAATCCTCCTAACAGTAGTCGGACATTCTATTGAGGAAAAATAGACAGGTGTAGTTAAAATGCAATTTGTCTCGTTATAACGAAAACTAAGCAATTGAGGTGGGAAAACAGTACTTAGGAGGCAGGGCAGAACCACAAAACAGTGAGGCCAGGAAGGGTCCTAGATCGCTTTCTACTTCAAAACGGGTCTAAATTCAAAGCGCAAATTAGTGAATTTGAACTGGTGGGATATGGAGTCGGATGTGATCAGGCGAGTTAGCGCCCAATCGTCTCAAATGTTGGATCTACTGGACTTAATGGTACATTTAAAACTTAACAAACTTACCATCACACCAATCAAATTTACTAAAAGTATGAACTCTTAATATTCGGGAATTGCACGCTGATTTCCAGTTGGTCCTGCTAGTACTAGGATTTAGGCAGAATAAGCAACCCTATCACAGGGATCCAAAAGCGGGTATTAAGAGAGTCCAAAGTCGTACTAAGTATTTTGCTTATAGGTTGAATTAAGCTCTGATTCACGAGCTTATCATACCTCCACAGGGTTCATAGCTGACGTCACGAACCGGCTCGCAACGCCCATTGCTTGTGTGACGAAAACACGTCCTCGTGATTTCCATCGACTTTGTGCGTGGATTGCAGACACCTCGTGAAGTTTCACAAGGTTTACATGCTGAAACAACAAGGCGTAAATACAACTGAAATGGTTTTGTGTTTGGATATATGTCGAAGACTTATAGCCGGATAGGGGACATTTATTGGGTTGTGGACTACGTCCTTGCCACTCACTCTTGATTAAATTTTTGTCTTACTTCAGGGCACCAGTGGTAACGCGAATTAAAAAAAGTGCGTACTTTTAGCGTTTTAATAAAACTACCAAGACTATTTTCCCATACCGATAAATTCTTATGCGACGAATATTAAACTCGTTGACCAAGTTCTGAATCTTTTTACTTTGTAACCTTTGACTTCAGAAGACATCAGCTTTGCGTCACTCTATGACGTACTGAGGCAGGGCTGAAATTTTTTAACCTGTTATTGATCTTACTTAATTCAAAATTGCTGTGATTCACCAAAAAATTATGTACTTAGATCACATCGCATTGGTTTGTACATTGTTAAATCTGCTTCAAACTTCAATCTAGGAATTGCTCAAACTGAATGCTACGCAAATAAACAGGTTCCAGCTTAATCTATGAAAATTTACGACGATGCGTCTAGAACGACAATAACCAGTGTTAGGTTGAAAACGTCAAAGACAAGATGTTTTTTGCTAGCATTTGAGGCTAAATGTGAAGATGTGTCGAGAAAATAGGAATCTGAAAACTGCACGCAAGGGAATCACCCGAAAAGTTATCCCTAGAAGTTGCATTGCACTACCTCTAGGTAGTCACTGCCGGAAACACCTCGTTTTACGGGGGCTGATACAGCATAAAATGACATGTTATTGTTTGTATTGTTCGGTCATAGTGTCTGAACATTATGTAACTTACGACATGGTTTTTGTTGGCTTTTTATAACCTTCTCGCAAATGCAGCTATGATTGCGATAGATTTCATAGAACTCTGTTATTTGACCTTCAGGAGAACACGGTGAAGATCTGATGAGTTGAGGTGAAGGGCATTCTGGAAGGGCAATGAAAAGCAATTCAGCCAAAATCAAATGATACCATGTATATTGACCTTAATTGTAACTTGACTGTATTGCCTAGTTTTGAGTTTAATCAACTTTAGAGGACACTCTATTCGAACGATGGGCTGAAGTTAATAGAAAAGATTAGGAAGAAAATCTCAAGTCAAAAGCCCACCACTTCTTCTAATTGAATTAAGGATATGTGACAAAAGATTTTGGTGCATAATTACTGAGTTGACGTTTGAGTCTTCTGATATTTAAATCACTCGCGGTATCAAATCGTCTCAATTGGCGTGGCACGGAACTAGATAAACATTTCATGAAAGTAACCGTGAATGTAAACGCTCAAAAATCCTCCATCCACTTCAGACCAATCACGATGCTGGTTGATTGTTTGTCAGGGGATAAGCATGATAGTCAATTAATGTTCTGATTTCGATGTTTTTTACATTTAGAAATGCTCTAAAAAGGTAGCACGGATTTTAAGACTGAAAAAAGATGGAGGATCATTTTGTTCGATTCAAGCCTAACATTGCTAAATTACGGAGAGGGTACAAATTAAAACTCCAAGACGTCGTAATACGATAATGAAAATTAACTTAGACACACCCAGATCTGGCAGTCTGCGCGTGTCGACTCTTTTCTGGCATTTGCCCTGATTGTCTTCAAAGTGCTTCTCAGTCACGAGGAACCGAGTCCCGTCGCGGCAGATTTCACGAGATCGGTCTTTTGGACAGTGGTCGCTAAAAACAAAGCATATAATGGTTGCTATAGGAAATAACTTGGCAATACTTTGGTTGCCACTACTGGTGCATTCTGATTCTCTGCATTATTGTAAATTATATTAACCATTATGAAAAGAAGCTGCTAAATTAAGTCTAAGTTATCAGTATTTCTTTTTTACACTATCCGATGATATGATTAAATTTGGCTCGAAAATGGTAAAACTAGCACAAATATTCTGCCTCTTTACTATCGTATTATGAAACATAAACTTATTTTTAATTTGGTTTTGGATCTAACTCAAAATAAATCAAGAAAAGCATAAATAATTAAAATAACCATGCGTCACTAAGTATTTTTGGATATTCTATACAACGAAGACTACGAAATTCGGAAATCAGTTAGAAATTTATTGTACTTTAATGATGCCCCTAAGTAAGTCTATGTGGATTTTGATTGTGTTTTTCTACCCAGCTTTATACTCCGGAAAAAAATTAATGTTTTAGTATTGAAATACATCTTCGCTTTTCCGCTTTTTAGTGCTTGTGCTCGTCCACTTTTCAACAGTTCTTTTGGAACCCTTCTATATCCGATTCTATATAATGTTTCCAGAGCGCGTGCCAAATGCAGCCGCCTAGAACTCCACAAACCTGGTAATTTTCCCGTGACGTATGGCCTTAAACACACATAACATTAGAAATTATACTTATTTGTGTGGACTTAAAATAAAAAAATAAAATAAAGGAGCTGACTTACCTGGTTGAAGTAATCAAATTGATCATTGAGATAACAAAGTAAATGATGAACCATTTTGATAACGAGCACGCTGTAGCATGCGCCATATTGACGAATGTTGCCACGGGATAGCGAATGCCTTTTGTCAGCGTAAGTAGCCTTAGTGTAAACTCGGAAGCCAAAATTGTTTCTCACGGCTTTTATACGCATCTCGACGCACCCGCTCCCCCTTTACAGGACGCCCGCTCCCCTGATTTGAACGCCGCCACACCCAACCCGCATAGCTTTCGCTTAATTCCATTTTCTAATGCGGGCAAAAGAAATGCAAAATAAAATTCAAGTCATACATCAAAATCTTCTCCTCAAAGTCATCCAGTAATGTTGAAATGGATTTCTCTTGTTATCTAAGAAACAGGCAACTGATGAAGCAGTGACTTTGTGTTTGATGCAGACGTGTTAATTTTTTAGTAAAGAGAAAACAGTAGTCTCAAATGCCATCCTGCAACAGCTTTTTGGAAGTCATGATAACAATTGATGGTTTATTCACCAACGATGACATGAAGAGTTTCGACAGTGGTTTTCAGGGTCATCGCAGATTACGAAAGCCCAATAAATGACGCGAACAGCATTAATTACAGAGTACTTATACAACGTGTTCGCTTTTCTGTCGGATTCATTTAATTTCTTTCGAGTAAACAATAATTCATGTGTGTACGTCGTCGCGAGAAATACTTTAATAGAACAAAACAAGTTGGTGAAACTTTGCCGGTTACATTTTCTTTTACGTGGTTTAGCTTGGTTAGCACTATACGTTGCAATGCGGTGTAAGCTAAATCCCACTTATTGTTGGCTTCCTAAATTACACCGAAAATCTTCACGAAAAAGTTGTGTTGAAGGATATCTGGCCTACTAACTATTCACTTCTATCGCGGCGTAATCGAAATCAAATATTCCTGCACTGCACTACGAGAACATCCAGACTCAGTCAGCAGACCCAATCGGCAGAACGAACTTCGACACACGAGCACACAAAAGACTGACTAACGGTAATCCCTTCACCGGTCGAGGGAGACGACTTATGTTTAAGCCGATGCTCAAGGGATCAAAGCTAACTTGGATATAATCTGTACCTTGAGATAGTTTGCTAATCAAACAGAGATTACTTATCTGTTCTCCCTATGGTTCCAAAAAAGTAGGCAAGTGGCACCCATGCGGTAATAATAAGGATTTAAAGGCAATTAACACAACTAGTCGCCATCTTAGACCAAATCAGCACAATTTATCATGTGCATTGCACCTCAACCGGTGCTTTAGAAGTTTGATTTGGTAAGAGTTAATTGCCATCTTCGTGTAGAACCAAATTATAGATCAGTATAACTACGTCTTTTGTTCGAATTTGAGCTCATACTTTTTGATTCGAGAAACGCAGTTCAAACTTGCCAGTGATTTATTCATCTCATGCTAGATGGATTTGATTGTTTGTTCTATTGCATTGTAACTGTCCACATAGCCAACAGGATTCACTAGGAACACAGGAAACATGTTGAAACCGCTTTGGAATCACAGTTCCTATGTCATACCATCTTACATCTTGATTTAATTCCCACTGATGTTAAACTTAAAGATTAACGAAGTTTACGGAGCCGAAGTCCATTAAGCTACTCTGAGATTTCCTGCATAGGTTCGTACTTACAGCAGCCAGATCCACCTGACTCTGACTAATCTTTGGAAAGGTACATATATGAAACTGAATTTAAGGGACTATGCACGGGATGTAATCTTAGCAACGACAAAGGCTCTGGCAAATGATGACACGCTCGTGAGCAAGTGATTGAACGCTTCTATGTCCCACACAAATGATAATTTTACTAAAACAGCAGAGCATTGTACAGAGGACCCTCAACAGAATAGTGGAGGCTTTCATCAATTCACAACGAACTTTAATTAGGTTTAAAAGCTTCATAGTACCCTGACCGTTAACTCTTGCATATCTATTTTAAAGCCAAATGCCTCAAGTGCTTCCTCAATAATTGGTCACTTACAATCTACAGCGATCACAAATTGTTAGCCTCTATCAGCTGATGGAGTTCCTGTCATTCCTGGCCGAGAGTCACAACACTTGGACTCCGTCCTGCCTCTTTAAAATGATATCCGTTATATCAAGGTTTTCCACAATATTGCCGCTGATGCACTCTACCGTTCCGATTTCGATGCTATCAACACCAAGACTAAAATCGATTACGACAGTCTGACGCCAAAATGCGGAAACTCCGAAAGCAAACGTTTTTATTAGATTATGCCACAGTTCTACTCTTAACAATGCTAGCACTATCATCTACGACATCTCAACCGGTCTGCTGATAAATTTCCCAACCACTTCACGGTCTTCGGCCCGATTCCAAAAGAGCAATAAGGCAGTGGGTACAAAATCTCTACAGTTGGCCTGCAACAAATCGAGGCATCCCACAAAGGACATAGAACTACACAAGCTGACAAAGGTCAAAGTTTGATCGCTGTAGCATAGGGTCTGTGGCACGGACAAACTCCCAGACATATAATTTGATTGGATTCAAGTCGGAATTGTAGGGCGGTCGCCGCAATCCATGTTGATTCACGTCAACCGGTCCCCTCATTACATCCAGGCAAGCCATTTCCTTTACACAGCACCCCCATCACTTATGTGGATATGTCCGATCAGGCACCATTACCAAAACACTCACCTAGGTATTTAGTCACCTGTACATCTTAGTGTACCATATCACCATTGGTCAACAACCTCCATCCGACACAGTACTATAGGCACAGCGACGCAACAAACTAAATAAGATAGCGGTGTTAGATTTCTAAGAAAAAATCTATTTTCCCATACGGGCATTCCGTGCTGTATCTATCCACAGCAGTGCCAATCACCGTCAACCGTTTTACTCGATGACAACATGGCTTTCCAATACAAGACATTTCCACCGAAATGGTAGAAAAGACTCAGTCAAAAAACGGATTTCCTTGTTTAGAGCTCCCACCATCACTATAAGGTGGGATTCGATCATTCGTAGGGGAATGCATAGGTTTTTCCTGACAAACTACGCTTAAATTTCCGGAACACTAAGTGTGTGCAACATAAACCGACCTCTGATGAACCATTCAGAGTCAGCTGACGAGAGGAAAACGTCTACGTCGCCGAGCATAGAGAAAAAGAAGACAGTCAGTCGATCGTCTTAAGCCGAATTTTTTGCGCGGAGGCATCCTCAAACGACAAAACCAGTCAAGGATAAATGACGAACTCGTACACGGACCTGGTCGTTCCCGTGCATGATAACAACAACGTCCACGTTTCAAACGTGAAGGAAATACGACAGTCATTGGGGTTTTCATGGCATCATTTCAGCCTCAAAATCGCGGCCAGAATCTATCAATGTAAAGATTCGGACTGCGCACCAACCTACTGCCAATCCTTCAGCTTTCCAATGAGAAGAATTGAATTTTTAACTACTAGATTGTAGGTCAATCGTTAACTGTTAATTTACGCTAATCATTTCTCGTCCCGATGTCTTATCATCATACCTCAACGTTCCCATCGCTTGTGGTATGAAATTTCATCTGGAATGAAGTATTTTTGCCTCCTGCAGAGCTACTGAACCAACTATTCTTCTGCAAATTCCATACGTAAGTACTTGGATTATTTAGATTTATCAACATAGGACACGATTTCAGCCCATCAAGGGAAATCCTACATTTGATTAATATTTCAAGGTCGCACACTGCCATGGTTTTCATCTTATTTTTTCTTAACAAAATAGTTAGATTCTCGAACACACGAAACTTCACTAAGGAAATGGAATTTAAGGGGTAATTGCATGGTTTGCAGATACTCTCTTTAGTTGGAGGAATAACAACAGTTATCAAAAGCACGGTTTAACCTTTTTTATTCACTTTTTTATTGTAGAATTTGACAAAATATGCAAAACAGGATTACGAAGGATCGCATAAATAATTTCCAAATGATGAATTATCCACCGAGAACTCTACAATTTCGTATTGAATATAGCACATAACTTTGTGTTTTTAAAATACTGTTTAATGATTCGCAAATAATCGAATGAATTCGTTTGTGATTTACTTGTTACAAACACTATTTAAATTACAGGATTTCATTATTATAGGAATATAACGCATATGCGTATTATTGATAGTCGAAAATGTTTCAAATTCGAAGAAGTTTGTCACCGCATCAACATTATAATTCCCAACACACACTTGTTTCAGAAAATTGCTTTGATACATCCTAACGCTGAGCTACAAAAAAGAAACACTAAAGCGAAATCTTTTAGTCTTTACCTGCACTTCTTAAAACCAAACCAGTTTTAGTGCAGTGAAAGTCTTTCAATAAGGAAAAAAAAACGCATTCAGCTGTTTCAGTTTTTTATCCCAAATTTTTGACCACGAGACAATTTGCAAACTCAATAGGTTACCCATGTTTGGTGGTGGAGGCCTCAGACTTGTTGTCCTCTAAGTTTTCGAAGGAGATACTTAAAATTGCCTGAGTTTATGCAAACAATTTAGAGGCATATACTAGCATTCGGGTGAACTAAATATCTCACTTCTGTAGTGATCGCGATTTCCTCTGAACCTGATTACTCCGTTGCTATTTAACGGAACGTTGGTGAATTGTGTCCACATGCCCGCTTATTTAAAGAACCAGCTAAGATATTTTGACAATGTCAAGTTAATAAACGATGAACTCTCTTTCATTATGAGGAATAACTCATGCGAGTGACCACTACGAGTACTCAAATAATCTTACTGCAACAGTTCAGACGAAGGACTTCTGCATTCGGAATTGTCAATGACCGCACAAAAACTCCCTCGTTAGGCTCGAAACAATTTTAATCGGTAATTCGTTTGCTGTATTAATTCGATGTAAGACGTAAATTAGCACATCAAAGAAATACATATGATTTGTTAAGGCTTCTAACTCTCCTCAGACCAATCTAGTTACCATATTTTAGGGTCTCATCATTAATTTTCGGAATAGATTAATAACAATAAAATCTACAAGTTTTATCTGACAAGGTAGCTAACAAGAAGCCTTCCCACCGTATAAAAACTGTAATTCCTAATTTATATCTGAAACGGCTAATGGGTGAACTAAGAATCTTATGAAGTAGCACCACGTTGACAAAATGGGAAAAAAACAGAAACGTCCCACTACAAAGTGCGGAGCTATACTTGACACGATACAAACCAAGCATGTTGGCATGCAAAATGGCGACCGTAAAACGTTCCCGAGTGGCCATAACTTCGGTCTATTTCGGAATCGATTACCATGACGCCCGACAGTAAACGAGAAATCCTCTTGTACGTACGTGAAACTAAGACGTTGAAGCCGGCGTTTGATAACACTAAGTGATTCAGGAATCTTTAGTTAAAGTTTATTAGTTGACTGATCTTTGACGGTGCATTAGCCATTTACACAAGTGCAAATGCCCACCCTGTGAAGTGATATCAAGGCGTTTGCTACCTTTTTGACTATATACCGCATGAAGAAGATAGTAATGCTGACAAATTGGTAATTCTTTTTAGATATGGCAACATGAGAAAAGTATCCTGATATAAATTGATATTTCAGAGTGACAAGTAAGATAAACTAACAGCATGGTTCTTTTGAGGAGATACGCTACTACTCAATGGTAGGTTCGTCGAATTTTTTTCTGTAAAATGGAATTTTTGTGGCCACCAAGCGCCAGTCAATGAAGTAAATGCCTAAGATAGCAACACCGATTCCATAGGTCGTAAGTGGGCGGCTCCAGGCCTTCCAGAAGGTGATTCCCGGCTGGACGGCGATCCTCGCAGCTTTGAGTTTGGTTTTGATGTCCATTTTTTCTTCTAAATAAATTTTTAAATTCAAATACAGTAACAATAGCCATTTAGAGAACGGCTTGTTTTTAAAATAAGGGTAGATGTAGGTATAATGCAAATGGGTGGTAAAGTCAGTTAACACGGATAGGATATTGGACATTCTAGCAGAATAAAAGACGACACTATGGCCAGTACAAGGCAAAAAAGTGCAATTCAAAATAATAAACCTGTAAGTCAAAATCACCTAATTAGATTGTCGACTTCATGACGTCCATTTATTATCGGGAACTAACTGAGATCTCGACTAAGCTATCGACTGACTTTTATGCAAAAATTGCCAGTGAGAGATAAACTTAAACCTTTACAATCCGTGGTTATGAGCTATTACGTATTAATGTGTGCCATGGCGATGGAGACCAACGTTCAACAAATCACATGCACCGAAAATGTGAAACAGACGAGTACGACTCTTTATAGGCTAGAACTAAAAAGACCATTACAATATACAAATTTAAATGATCCAACAAAAAGTGGACACAATATAGAGATAACGACCTAAATATATTTGGGTAACCTGATTTGATTGAAATTCATGCCAGAAAACGTTACGTAAGTAGTTGGAGTTAACCCAGCATAATAAAAGTGGGTGCCATTAGAAAGTGGGTACATACAAGCCAAAATAAAAAAAATAAACAGAAAAGAGAACCCCAAAAGTTTTTTTTTATCAACTTCAAATAACCACAATACAATGTAAGAAAGAGCTTCTAACCAGCATTCCAAATTTCTACATAACAAATAGCAAGCACAGAAAAGTGTGGGAGAAATCAATGACGCAAATTATTTAAAAATCACTAGCTTGAATGGGCACAGCACAGGAAAAATGGTGACCTTGGCATTGATGTAACATTATAGGGGTTTTCGAAAACAACTCATGACGCACTCTTGTGTTAACTGCTAATAGAAAGCAGCAACAATAAAGACAAACTAAATTAAAATGCTTAAATACGTCAATCAAGTTGCAAGTTTGAACAAAAGAATTGAAATCGAACGTTAGCAGAACTAGTGAGGCTCATTCGGAACGACGTAAAATGTACGTCGCTATATAGCAACTTTGTTCAGCATTCACTTCAATGCAAAATTTGCACTAAAAAAAAGCACAAACAATACAATAGATTTGGCTAGGAGGAAACACACACCAACAGCAAAAAAACGTGCAGCGCCTCAACTGGTACAAATTACAACAAAAATGATCGAATTGACAAAATTAAAATAAGTTATTATCAATCCATATCACTATAATTCTCCTAATATTTTTTTTCATGTTTTTTATTTCCTTATATTGCGGCTTCTATTATTTTAAAATCTTTTAATAATGTACTTTTGCAAATTGACTTAGTGGGAAGCATCCACCCTATCCAAATTTAATCACGCCAACACACAAATGCATTATTCTGCGGATTCTCTAAAAGATGAAGTTATAAAGTAAATAAGTAAGGATGGATCCACTAAGGTTTTCTTCGATAGATTGAGCTGACAGACGGTTCTGTCGTGTAATGCCAGAAAGCTAGTCTTAGTGCAACAGTGTGCCCACAAAGATTATGCGACTAATTAACTCACGTCAATAAACAATCCCTTCTTTTTTGCATTCCTCTAGTGTCATGCACTTCTCCTAATACGCATTTCCTGCATATTTGAAAGCATTATTGTCATCTCGAATCTCCCATCAGTGCTATTCGGCAAATTATGGTGTAACGCCACTTTTTCTAGTCCACGACAAAAAAGGTGCTACCAATGGTTAAAGAGACAATTTATTTCTAGAAACTATGATTTAGTTACAGTCTCTCGATTAGGGCACTAAATAAAGCTGGTGGATATTTGTTTTTTCCCCGATCAAGTAGGCAGCTCTCTTTCTATTATGCCTTTTGAAATAAGCTCTGGTAAATCAATTCAAGGAATGAAGCAAAAGCATAAATCCCAATATACGTGCCATGAGACGTTGCATAGCTGGTCAAATACGTGCAAAAGAAAGTTCATTTGAAGTCCACAAAGATTTATCCAACGCACGAGAACAGAACACTCGTGGAAAAACAGATATAACATATATCGAAACTGTCCGGACAATCAAAAGTGCGGTTCGATATTCAGCGAGCGTAACAACGTCCGAAAATAATACATCGCCGAAATTGAACTTGATCTCGTTATCATGCATTAAGGCACTAGAATATCGGAAAAGGATATCATAGAGGAATTCATCATCAGTGTGAATATCAGTACGTCTGTGCTGCTAATGTTGAAGTGCAATTAAAAATGTTAGAATTACTGATACGAGGTTACAATACTAGATTGATTTCAAATAAATAAATCAACTAATTGTCTGCATTTGCAGAAGTTATAGTTTTTCGGCGTAAATTAAATTACTCAACAAAATTAAGAAAAGGTCTGCAATTTTTTTTTTCAGTACACTACATTTTGTCAAACATTGAAAAACACCATGTGGGAAATTTTTGCTTGTCATTTTTGCAGGTGGCAGTTCGTAAAATTTGCCAAAGTTTGGTTTCACAAAATATTGTCCATAAATATCGTAAGTAACTCAAATAAACATCCGAAAAATACATTTTGGTTATAATAATTACCTTAAAGTGGGAACAGAAGTCCACTTTTGCAAGGCTGTTGACAAAACCACGAGGCGTTTCACAGTAAACTAAAAAGAGTTCAGCCTTCGTTTGCTTAAGAAAAAAAGGCATTGCATTACATATTAGTTTTTAACTTTAGTAGATACCATATGCTCTCTCCGCCAATAATCCTCAAGTCTGTAAGTGCGACTTAGTACATTATGCGTTACGTGGCATTATCTCAATGCAATAGTTCATGTAATTTTTTTCCCTTTTTTTGAACCCTTTTGTGATAAATATGCATAAACTAACAGGAATTTAAAAGACTCAAACCATTATTACCTGCCTGCAAACGTCTTTAACATGAACTTTTGATTAGTAGACATCGAAAAAAATTTTCCTTGTTATATGCACGAAACAAGTGTGTTAGATTCATCGATAGTGCTTGTGGCTGCATATTCTCAAAGGATTTCAGTGGTAAGATCGTTAACAGACTTTAAATAAAAAAATGTCGATATAATTTAAGTTAAATGGAATGCTCAAATATTCACGTTAAATGCGTTATAAGAGGGTATATTGACGGTTACATGGGTTTATTGGTACGAAATACATATATCAGTCTCCAGTATCAGTGTTAACGTTCATTATTGACTAGAGGTTTGCTTATATAATCGGTACTAATTTCCGTGTCGGCGCATTGGTTCTGGTTTCGTTTTAGAAATCGAATAGCAAACTCATGAGGTGATTGGATACTCGGGCCTTGAAGCTCCATTCGAAAGCCCGTCTGCCACACTGAATCAGGAATTATGCCTCTTCTCAGCTGATGCCGCCGCCAAATTGACCAAGGACTAAGCATCAAGATGGTGGTAATCAAACCCCACGCTACATTTGATTTCTCTCTGCATAGAATACATGCACACTGGTATGAAGAAGACTGTTTTAACAGAACAGGCTTTATTGACTAAACGTCAGGTGCCGTCCATCCGAGTCTTCCGTGCTGCATGCGCTGTTCATTATATATCACTTCTTAAACCTGTCCCTGTCTCATTGGCTGCCTACATTCCTAGCATGCCATTGGAACTAAAAGACAATGGATTGGCTGAGGCCAGCATGTATCAAGTACGTCTGCGCCCATATATTCGTCGCAACACATCACAGCGTTTTGGTGTAAAATACCCGAGACCTAGTATGAAGAAATCTGGTACAACACAACAGGATTCACTGACCAATCAAAAGCTAGCAACATACATAAGACGCCGCCCATCCGAGTCCACCATGCTGGCCACGGCTCTCATTTTATCCTACACCCCATTCATGTCTTTCTCTGGTTAGATGCTTATCTTCCTCGCATGCCGTTTGGAACACAGAGAGACACAGGATTGGCTGAGGCCAGCGTTGTTCAATATGTCTGCGCACTCAGACGTCGCCACAGGCGTGGTTCCTTGCACTGTTGATGATTAGAAAAATATTCAGTTAGACATTCCCCGACACACAACATCTGACAGGATAGTGGTCCATGCGAATAGTTGACGAGGGACTTTGCTCTTGCAGGAAGGACTCATCATCCATCGTAAGTCCATTCGCAGTTGCAGTCCAGCTGGCTTCTCCTGTCCAAGTCATCGTCGCTGAGTTGCCAATGCCTCTTCAGATGCAGAAGTCCTAATCCCGGGCAATGTCTATGGATCTAGAGTATTGGATATCGGACGAACGCCATGACAAATTCAGCTGGCATTTAAGGGTCTTCGCCCCCGTTAACCAAGGGAGGGAAATGGCTGGGGTTCGATTCGCGTTATTCGAACGCATCCGTTCTCACCAATATTGAATACCCGAGCACTGATAAGAAAAAGACTGGTACAACAGAACAGGCTTTATTGACCAATCAGAAGCCAGAGCCACGCGTCAGGCGCCTTCCATCCGAGT